GTTTCGTTGAAGGACCGTTATTGTGTGGTCTTGTGCTGTTACGTCGCTGAGGTTCTTGGGTCGACTGATTCTGCGTCAATATTTCCCCTCCATTGCTTCTTCAGGAGTTGATATCGCGTACTATTTCTCAACCCATGGCTGGACTCTGTTGGTTTCTTTTGGAGGGGGAGCTTTGCTAGAATTGGCCGCTGCCTCTTTGCGGGCTTTGAGATCGAAAAAGGATGCCATGATCCAAAGATTCGCGAGAGGACTGGGGATTGAAGGTTTGAATCAATTGAAGTTGTTATTGAGTGAGTGCAGCCGAAAATCTGGAGGAGACGCGTCAAAAAAACGCGGACGCGCCAACCGAGCATCAGCACTTTACACGAGAATGAGCCTGACCACCGCTATCTTTTCTTCCTTCATACACATGGCTATTCCCCAACCCAATTGTCGTTTTCACTGAGGGGAATACATCTAGTTACGAAGTGTTTCACAGATACAAATTGAGAAAGCTGGTGAAGTCACCTTCGCAACAAGACGACGAGTGTTAGATTGAGCAGTCCTGAATCTCTTGCTCGTTATTATCTGGTCCCCTGGAAACTTGGAAAGATATAACAGATTATTCTGTTAAGACCTCAAACGAGTAAGGTCCGACTCAAGTTCTATGGTATTATTGTTCCAGCAAAAGAGTTTCTACCGCTTCGCATCAATTAGTTCCACCTTGAATGGGCAAATATCATGCTCCGGAGGGAATGCGAAAGCAGTCTTATGCTTGACTGTAGGATCATAGTGATATTTTTGAGTCCTTTTGAAGCGTTATTCAACAGCTTTCTTGGATCTCCTGAATTTCCATAAGCGCTCATCCGCATTGAGGCGTTTCATTATGTTACGTGGTGTACCAACTTCCATGGTACAGCTTTGACGTTGTCAAGCAAGAGCTATCCGATGTTTACATAATGAGAAGCTGCCTCTTTATTACTATATATGGCAAGATGCTGATACGAAGTCGCTCGCTCAATCATCTTCAGTAGACGAAGCTCCTAGAATTATTCAATGCTATATGGGACGATTGGGACGCCAAGCACTTTACGGGACAATATCTTGCTCAATCCCTCTCGAAATCTCGCAAGAGCAAACAGCTTTTTATCCCACCGGAAACAAGTCCTCTGATTCGCCACAAATATTTCCTTTGTCAAAGCCTCTCATTATTCAAAATCTCCTGAGGGCTAGGTGCCGCAGACGACCACTCAATCCCGCGTTTCCATATCTTCGTCGTACCACGCACCTTCTTTGTCAAACTTTTGAGACACAAAGGAGATCGAACCTGAACTTTTGATCAACACAATCGTCAAGATGGATATGGGAACTTCAACCATGACGAGTATGTCTGGTATGTCAATGACCATGACCTCTGCTGCATCGACGGCTTCGTCTACTGCAACTTCAAGTATGGATATGGGTATGGGAGCTTGCAAAATTAGTGTAAGTACACTGACGGAACATTATTTGGCACATCCACAGTTATATTCGTTCTATTTATAGTGTTTCACTGCAAATGGGGATTCGCGGGAACCTCATGTCTCACAAATATACAACCCACAGTTACCCCCTTGGAGTGGAACATTCTGATACCTATATACCACTTTGTCACAGTATTTCATCCCAGCATTTGCTCACAAATCCTCAGATGCTATGGAGCTGGCACACAATCGATGCCTGTAAGTATCCTCCTTATACCAAGACCCCCACACTCACAGAAACCAGGCTTCATCTCCAGCTCATGGCACATCACATCCCGCGGCATGTTTGCCGGCACCTGCATCGGCGTCATCCTGCTCGTCATATCGCTCGAATTCCTCCGCCGCAGCGCCAAAGAATATGACCGCTACATCCTGCGCCAATTCCAGCGCGCCGGTGCCGCCCACCCCACGTCCTACCCCTACATCACGCCGTCCTGTCCTAGTCCTCTCGCCAAAGCGGCCGAGCCAGCAAACTCTTCCCGTGAAAGTGTCGGCGCCAATTCAGTTGCAGTGAGGGTGGCTGCCAAGTTCCGTCCGAATGTGATGCAGCAGGCGATCAGGGCTACGTATGGATCTCTCGCGGCGCCTCGGCTGAGATGTTGTGAATGAAGCTGACTGACTGGGTTGCAGGTTGCATATGCTGCAATTTGCGGTTGCGTATTTTATTATGTTGTTAGCGATGTATTATAATGGGTATATCATTATGTGCATTTTCATTGGCGCGTGGATTGGGGCTTTCGGGTTTAGTTGGGAGATGATTGAGATGAATGGTCCACAGGAAGAAACTACGATTTGCTGTGGCTGAAGGATGGTCTCATTACGGCACCGTTGAGAAGGAAGTGCCACTCGTGGTAGAAGGTTTTCAGTGTCTAGTTCTGATGGAGACATTTGTCCTTTGCCGCCAATAATCAAGTAGAGGCAGTGGTACTGGCGGTACTGAAGGATCTACTTACATAGGATGCAAACTTCCCAATGCACCATGCATCTATATTCTGATAACTTTATAAATCAGAATCAACCTAGAACCCAAACGCCTCTAGATGCTGCGCCGTTCTTGAGGCTCTTTGCCAGGGTATCTTTTAGCCTCAGCCGCGTAATATGCTGTCTCCCATTTATCCACCCAATCTCATACATCAAGAGCCAATGCCGCCTGTTTTGGAATGCCTCTTTCGAAAAGGGTTTTCTTTTTCCCCTGTCGAGCCTTGCCTTGGTTCCCACCCGCTGCTAAAGCGCTATTATTTTTCTTGCCTTTCCTGCCTTGATACTCGGTTTCGGGAGTGATGCCAAGTCTCTCATCAGCCTCCTTCGCCTGGGTCTCCAAATGCTCCAGACCAAGAGCTTTGCAGGCTTGGTGGTAGCTCTTTGTACTCATGATTTGTTTATATACTGGCTGCTTTCCAGGAATCAGTTGAGTAAGGAGAAATTTGGTATTTCCCCATCGATTGTCCACCTCCATAGCAGTTTTGATATATTGCTCGACGACTTCTTCCCACGGAGCTAACCCACCCTCTACTTCAGTCCTGAAGCAACTTGAATTTGATTCCGCTGCTGTGGCAATCATAGCACCGTCAACTCCGAACTCGCTGATCAGTTGCTCGGCTTGTGCTCTATTTGGCACATCCCCGTTCATGAGGCAAGCTACTCCGTTTTCTCTGCATATATCCGCAATCATCTTCAATTGTTCCCGAAGAGCTCGCTCTCGAGGTCGCATAGGGGTTGTCCGGCAATGGATTGTAAGACCAGTAATGCCCGTAGCACATAACTTCCGCACCAGAACCTCCGTAAGCTCAGGCGTTTCCAATAACCTGATCTTGACACTAATTCCAATTTGGAACTCTGGCACAACCTCTTTAACTAGCGCCTCCAGAATTGAAACAAGTTTATCTGGCGTTTGTAGAAGCATAGCTCCCATCCCACCATGTGTGCTGAAGGGTTTGGGACACCCAGCATTCACGTCGATTCCTGCCACATCTCCAGCGACCATCCGCGCAGCTTGGACTGCTCGTTCGGGGTCTGAGGTTCCGATCTGAAAGATGAGGCGGCTTCCTTCTCGTTCGGGGTGAAGACGGTATATAAGACTTTCTTTCTGATCTTTCCGGGGGTCTTTCGCGCCGTTGGAAGCGAATCGGGTGAAGTCAATCGTATTCAGGGCTTCGTTGACTCTGCGGGTGGTTCCGATCAGGGATCTATCGACGGTCTCAGGTCCTGAAGAAGAATTAGCAGTATTCAAGCAAGTGTTGGATGAAGACTTACCCCATACGAGATCAGCTCCATAGTGAAGTGCTAGAAGACGGGATGGCAGCTCTCCTGAACGGACCATGGGAGCAAGGACAATCTTGCCTCTGTAATCGACTCCTTTCGGAGGAATAGGGACCCGTTTGGTGACTGATGTCATGATGGCAGAGGTAAATCGTTGCATGACATGGCACTTCAAATACCTTATGTAGGGGATATGTACTCCGACAATTAAAGGTATCTGTGTCGGAGTCTGAGAAGCTCAAAAAATTAAGTGGTAATCTAAATGCCATGTGACCAGGACAGGCCTCGCCTCTTATCGCTCGGCTGAACGGTGGCCTATGCGTGGAATTTCGGCATCTTTTTTTGCTGTGAACTCAAGTCTCCAGCAAGAGCCGCGGATCTCGATATTAGTGGATATAGTATGGGACGGAAGGTGGTCTAAATGAAGACATATAAAGGGCAATTCCCTTTGGCGCATATGATTATCAGAAATTCTATCATCCCTTGTATCCGTCGTGCAGGTACAGGAACAAGTACAAGTACGTCGCAATCGAAGGTGCAATTATTCACCAGGTCTCTTGACCCTTACCCTTCCTTCTCCCAGACGCGCTGCAACTCTGTCTGGTTGGCCGGGCCGTCCACGCTGGCGTCTTCCGCTTCCTCCAAAATTTCTCAAATAGCGAGACACTTCTCAAGCTCGTTGTCGTCCTACGAAAAAATCACTTCTGACAACTACGCAAACATGGCCTCCCAATACAAGGTCAGAAAGGTTGCTGCTCCCAACACTTTGGAGCACCGCATCTACATCGAGAAGGATGGCGTCCCTGTCTCCCCCTTCCACGATATCCCCCTCTATGCCAACGACGCCCAGACGATCTTGAACATGGTCGTTGAGATCCCAAGATGGACCAATGGCAAGATGGAAATCAGCAAGGTATGCGAAGCCCTCCAGTGTATTTCCATTGTCAACAGTCAATATCTTCTGATTACCCCTCCTCGTTATACCTGTCAATTTACCCCGCAGTGAATCTGCACACACATCTTACGAACAAATATACTGACTTTCAATTACAGGAAGAGCTACTCAACCCGAGTTCGTTTAACCCTACACTCGATAGCTGATTTCAAATACTAAATCAATACTTCTAGTCAAGCAGGATGTCAAGAAGGGCAAGCTTCGATTCGTCCGCAACTGTTTCCCCCACAAGGGTTACCTCTGGAACTACGGTGCCTTCCCTCAGGTAAGACTCCACTGTGGCATCCCACCATGGGATGACAGTTGCTGACTACTGTTCAGACTTGGGAGGACCCCAACGTTATTCACCCCGAAACCAAGGCCAAGGGTGACAACGATCCATTGGACGTTTGCGAGATCGGCGAGCTGGTCGGATACCCTGGTCAAGTCAAGCAAGTCAAAATCCTCGGTGTCATGGCTTTGTTGGATGAGGAGGAGACCGACTGGAAGGTCATTGTCATTGATGTCAACGACCCCTTGGCTCCCAAGCTCAATGATGTCGAGGATGTTGAGAGACACCTTCCAGGTCTGTTGAGGGCTACCAATGAGTGGTTCAGAATCTACAAGATCCCAGATGGAAAGCCTGAGAACCAGTTTGCTTTCACTGGAGAGTGCAAGAACAGGAAGTAAGTCAAAGTCCGAATGTTATGAGAACAAGGCTAACAGAATGCAAGATATGCCACCGATATCGTTCGTGAGTGTGCCGAGGCTTGGGAGAAGCTCATCACTGGCAAGACCACCCCCGGTGATGTTTCCATGTAAGCTTATGTATACCTCTTTACCAAACTTTCACTAACTCATCTACAGTACCAACCTCACCGTTAAGCAATCACCCAGCCGTGTCTCCCCTGAACAACTTCCTCCTATCCCACAAAATGAGAATCTTGCTCCTGCCCCAATCGACCCTAGCATTGACAAGTGGTTCTTCATTTCTGGAGCTGCTGCTTAAATCGGATAAAGCAAGAGCACTAGACTATGAATAGGTCAACAGCATATTTTGGTTCATGGTTAAAAAAACTGTGATAAATAATGGCATAGACGGAGACGAAGTATTATTTCCCCAATATACAATGACATGCTCGCTCTTTTACGGATACCTTTTACACCAGTTTGTGAATGTTCTGGTGAAGTGTTGCTTGTGTAGCCCCCTGATAGAATTTGACTTCATGATCAGAGTTCACTAGTTGGAACTTCCCATTGTACAATTCGCTATCACCGTATACCCCAAGTCGAATGGGGCTTTCAAATGTTGACAGAATCTTACGGTTTCCAACGCCTCCCATATGCACGTAATATACAATCGTCCCAACTATACTCAGTTTCCAGTCAATTCTTCCTGCCTCGATAATATCCGCGAATGTCGATCCACCTCCTCAATAACCCCTTTGATCCCTAACTTCTCCGCATCAAGCTTCATCTGCATCCCATCTTCTACAGGCGCACTGTTAGAGCTTCCTCATACAGCATCATCGAGAACGAAGGGCTCTTACTGAATTTTAGCTCCACAAAGCTAGGCTCCTTCGACATCCTCGGCAACAGTTTTGTGTTTATCTTCATAGTCTGCCGTGCGTTCGGGGGGAGGAATGAGAGGAATAGGCGCGCGGTCTTTGCTTTAGGAGAGAAGGGGTTGAAGACGGTTGACACCTCGGTGATGAATTTGGAGATCATCTTGAATGGAATGGAGGTCGAGGAGTCTGTCGTGGAGTTGTTAGCAATTGAGCTCACGTATATATGCCATAGGAACGTACATGAGATCTCGAAATAGAAGCAATTGGCACAAAGGTTTCTATTGCGACAATTATCTGTGCTTGTCCGGAATGTCAATCCAGACTTTTGGCTAGCGCCAAGCTTTCTTTGACATCGGCGAATTCGTTCAAAAGCTCCGACCTGGTGGACCAACTTGCCAACCTTCCATCTCCCAAGTACAGAAGTCACTATTCCAACCTCATTACTATCTACGTCACAAATATCCCAAATGTCTTTTCAGTCAGTGTCAGAGCGTCTATCAGCTCTACAAGAATCAAATCAACAATTAAAAACTCTCATCGAGCGCCTCGCAACAATCAAGTTCCAACCCGGTTCCGTACCTGTGAACAATGAAGAGGACAATGTCATCGGCGAGCTCACTTCGGAAATCCACCAGATGTTAAAAGACCAAGATGAAGATTTCGAGTTATTACAAGAGGAAGCCCTCGACTTAGATACTGGGAGACGAGGCAGCGAGTTCGAGCAGCAAAAAGAGACCTTGATTGCAGTTATCAAAAGAGCCATCAAAGAACTCAAGAGGTAAGACCCCAAACCTTGTCAGAATGAAGCTCAAAAAAACTAACCACTCTTCAGCTGCGAAATAGCCTTCCGCAAAGCCCAACTAGAAGCAAAACGCAACCTCCATTTCGCCCAACGCGCCGAAAAAAGGCTCCTCCTGGAATCCCTCACCAAGTCCCCCTCTACCTCCGCCTCCACTTCCCCTGACCCAGGCGCCCAAGCCTTTCTGACCCCTCCCCGGAAACCCAAAGCCGATCTGTCGAGTGCAGAACGGGAAGTAAATGCCAGCAGCGACGTCACGGCCGCCTTGCGGCGCACGCACGATATGATGGCATCTGAGCTGCAACGCTCACAGTTCGCGCACGACACGCTGAAGGAATCAACAGCTGCGTTGGCGCAGCTGGGCGAGACGTACTCTACGCTCGATACGCTGTTATCGAGCTCGAAGAATCTACTGGGGACGCTGTTGAGGAGCCAGAAGAGCGATACGTGGTATCTTGAGACGGCGTTTTATATACTGGTGGTTACAATTGGGTGGCTTGTGTTTCGACGTATTCTGTATGGACCGGGGTGGTGGTTACTCTGGTTCTTGCCCAAGATGTTTATTAAAGGGTTCATGGGCGTGGCTGCCGTGTTGGGGATTACGGGTGGGAATATTGGCGGTGAAGCTGCTGGTACTTCTACTTCTGTGCTTAATGGGGGCAGCGCGACGGTTACGCATGCTTCTGCGGGGAGGATCTCGGTGCCGACATACGCGAGACGGCCTCCTGGTGTTCCTGTTGGTGGGGGTGGGAAAGGTGGGCCTATGCCTCAAGGTACTCCGGCTCCTCAGGGGCAGGGGGGAAGTGTGTCGGAGCAGGTTGGGAGGATCATTGATGAGAGTAAGGAGCCAGGTGCGGGAGAAGAGGTGAAGAATGATGCAACTGAAGAAGAACCTGCTGAACAGCCAAGCAATCCTAAGAAGAGGATGTGGGAAGAAGATAAAGAGGCTGCCAAAGAAGAACAGAGGAAGAAGGATGAGTTGTAGTTTTACTACTCCAATACCCTAATGATGTCTAATTTTACTCTCCGCGTTCTATCTAGGGGTTTTTATGATCTAAGCCACTCTTTGCACTAACCTGACGAAATGCGCTTCCTCTACTTGAAATTTCGTTGGAAGGTACACTGTTCATTCTATCCTTCGTCCTACAAGCGGGCTCTTGACATTGACATTGAAAACTATGGTCATACAATGCGCAATGCAGGTAGAACTAGTAGTCTAATCAAAGCTGTTTGATATTACTTAGGCGAGTTAGTTCTAAGAGAAGGGATAAGTGGTCGGGATGTCTCAAATGCCCCTGAAACTTAATACCCGATATTTCATTGGTTCTTATTTACATTCAAGCTAAAACAAACTCCTTTTTCTCATACTCAGCTATGAGTAGGCATGGAAACATCTGCTGCCTTCGAGATCGCATCCTCGCTTTTCCACAAGCTTGTTACTGTCTTTAGTTGGGTGTAGAATTGCAATCCGGGTTTGCCATAGAAGTAACTTGCTCCGCCACCAGCGATACTCTTCTTGTTTCCTGTGAACGAAAACATGGGAAGAGGGACCTAGTGGAAAAGTCAGCGGTGCTACGAATGCTAATGTTTTTTTTGGTGTAATCAAGAACATTATGATAAACAACGTAGAGATCTCACGATTTGGAAGTGTGTAGGATCATATGAAACGAGGAAAGCTGGGATAGGGGTGAAATAACATTAAAAGAGCCATTGTACTTACGGGTATTGGCACGTTGATTCCGACCTGTCCTGCCTCGATGTTTTTCTGGAAGGCTGCCGCAGTGGCTCCAGATTTGGTAAAGATGGCCACACCGTTTCCATACTCGTTGGCATTAATGAGATCGACCGCGCTGTCCAGAGAGTCAACGTTCAAACAGACCAGAACAGGACCGAAAATCTCCTCGGTATAGCACTTCATGTGCGGCTTAACGTTTGTGATGATGGTTGGGCCAACCCAGTTTCCGTTGGGGTACTTCTCAGGCTTAAATCCACGACCATCCAACAAGATAGTCGCACCCTCCTCCTCGGCACTTGCAATAAGATGTTCAATTCTCTCCTTGCTCTGAGGTGAGATGACTGGCCCTAAATCCGCGCCCTTCTCAAAGCCTCCATCAACTTTGAGGGCCTTGGCAGTCTCAGCCAATTCTGAAAGCCATTCCTTAGTCTCTCCAACCATCACCAAGGTACTTAGAGCCATACATCGCTGACCAGCGGCACCGAAGGCAGCACCAACAATAGAGTTCAGAGCATGTTGCTTGTTGGCATCTGGAAGGATAGCAGCGTGATTCTTGGCACCCAAGTTGGCTTGGACACGCTTGCCATTAGCTGATCCGCGAGCAAAGATGTACTCTCCAGCACGGTTACTTCCGACGAAACTTATTGCCTTGATTTCTGGTGCATCAATAATGAAGTCCACAGTCTTGGCCGAGCCGTGAATAATGTTGAGAACTCCTGGAGGCATTCCAGCCTTCTGAGCAAGCTCAGCCAGGATCATTGCCGCACCAGGGTCCCGCTCTGATGGCTTTAGAATAAGACAGTTCCCAGTAGCGGTGGCAATTGGAATGGACCACAGAGGAATCATAGCAGGGAAGTCTGACAAATTGTTAGCTATATTCAATATAATGTTCCAAATTGCCTACTGAAAGGGCAAATAGCAGCTACGACACCCAATGGCTCTCGATAGCTTCTAGTTTCCATATCCTTGGCGACTTCCAGGACTTCTCCCACCATCTGTTGAGGAATATTGCAAGCTCCTTCGGCAACTTGTAAACCACGGAGCACATCACCCTTCGCATCTTTACGCACGTTAGTCCTATTCCTAGAATATTGGTGTTGACCATACCAGCGAATGTTTTGCCCTGCTCTAGAGTGATACTTGCGGCCAATCTATCCCAATTCTCCCTGACCAACTGGGTGAACTTGAACATGATTTGCTGTCTTGCCATCACACTGGTAGCCTTCCATTCTGGGAAAGCTTTCTGAGCACTCTCTACAGCAGCCTTCAGCTCCGCATCTGTACTCTGCGGCACCCTTGTTACGAGGTTGTTGGTTGCGGGGTCGTGTAAATCGATAAATTGTGTAGCTTCCGACTTGACAAACTCATTGTCGATGAAGTATGGGGTATCTTGCACGCTCTGGATCTTCTCGTGTGAAGTAGGGTAGTTTTCGGCATTGGTTGCAAGAGCTGCGGAGGGCTTCAACTGCTGGGCTGTGGCATGCAACCGTCGAGCAGCTATCTTGGATGTCTCCGCTGGGGAAGGCATTCTGAATGCGGGGATAGAACGTGGGGTTCTTCCTGCCAGAGCAGGAACGCTTCTGGTAAAAGCTCGACGCATCTCTGGGAAGTGGCACTGGTACTGCAGACTGAAGCTTCCTCACCTATGCAAGGGGCATGCTGCTTCAAACAATATTCGAAGAGTGGGATCAATAAATACAAGACAAGTCCGTACTGCCGGGCCAGAGCTCTGAACTACACTTACGGAGTATTGACCCGAGCTCTACCGTCGGCTACTAAATGTACTTGCGGGGCAAAATCCCGGCGTCGGTCATAATTTGCATTTCCGTCAGACGGAGAAGAGCGCGCCGCGGGTGTTTGCGAGGGAAACCTCCGAATTTGCAGCATCTCCGTTGAGAATGGATGACCTTCTACTAGTTCCAATACCGGTATTGTATTATTGGTGAATAGGTACTTATAGATCGTTTGGTAGTTCGAGTTGATTTCAGCTGGGTTATGAACTTGACGACCTCACAGGACAGACAGCACGAGATGGGTGTTTTGAGGTTACAGCCGTACAAATAACCAGTGTCAATAATCGCGATTTTGCTGAAAACACTTAAACAGGAAAACCACATTAAATATTAAGTTTATTTCATACGTTTCATAATGTACTTTATTACCACAACTTAGACAATTAAAGTAAATAGCTAGAATCAAAGTGCTAGGTGTTAGAAATGTTAAGGTTATAATTATTTATAATATCTAGCTAAAGCGCGCTTTTATTAAAAAGAGAGGTTTAAGATTAGTTAAGATAATCCGCTATTATAATATAATTAGATGCTATAAGAGCTAGTTTTCTCCCCCTTGGATTAGAGCTAGAATTCGGGTAGTTATAGCGCGTTCTCACTTGCTTAGAAGCTAGAATTCAAGTCTGCGACCGCAGGGGACCTCAAAGATCTTATAGATAATCTTTTAAGAGATAAAGATGCCTAGTTCTTAAGAGAGAGGCTTTACTATAATCACTGCAGCTCTACTAGGTGTTATAGCCTGCTTTAGAGCCTCTAAGAACTCCAGCGGAGGGGTATAATAACGCGCACGAGATTTGCGAGGCATAGCTGATAAAATGTAGATGGAAGGGAGGGTTTATTGACCTAAACACCCCTAATTTAGGTAGATGCGCATATACCTTTGCCTGCAGGCCAATTTCGGCCACTTTTTTCTGACCCGAAGAGGCCGGCCACACCACTGCAGTATTAAAATTACACAATTCAAACTCCGTTATGAATATCGCCGCCTTTCCTAATGACATATTTCTCCTTATCATTGCAAATCTATGTCCGACGGACCTAATTCTATGTCGTCGTGTATCCAAGCAATTCCATGCCGCATTCTCCGAATCAGATCTCAACTACCATCTGCTCAAGTTCCATTATCCTCGGGTTCGCGAGCTGCGTGGTGCAGAAAACCCAGAGTCAAACTGGTCAGAAGCGTTCAAGCGGGCTGCTTCGAGGTATCACCATCTAAAGTCAGGGAGGCCGCAAAGCATTGAGAAATTCCCACTGGCAAAATCACTCGTCGTACCGAGTTGGGCGAGGTCATACCCAGTTGCTCCTTGGCAGCGTCACTTGCAGTTCGAAGAGAAAACAGCTCCATTCCACTATCCAGATCCTCTATGGACTTACGATGCGGGGTTGTTGATATTTCCGAATGCTCAGAAACAGAAATATACCGTGTACGATCTCAGTACTGGATGGATGGCAGGAGCTGATATCAACTCGGAGACGAAAATTGTCAGGAGACTAAGGTTAAAACAGAAAGTTCTCGTCGTTGAATGGTGCGAACCAGAAGCTTTTCATCAACTCAACGAGAACGAGAGAGTACATAGGCATTTTGCGACTACCTATGATATCGTTCGGGATGGCCAACATGCCCCATGGCGAACAGTCTTTAGGTACGTATTTTCCCTTTAAAACTGAACTCAAGTTGAGCATCTTAGGAACGAGTGGAAGATACATTTCCTGGGAATGCCATTGAACTCGCGAGATCGCTTCTTCAGTGTCCACACTGAAACTCATTATGCGATGTATCTCTGGCAACCAAATCGCGGTGCTTGGGGCGAGGATGATCCGATTGAGTCATTGGCGATTTGGGACATATCCTCAAATTCGTCTTATCGCGCATCTGAAGATCCCACAGGCAAAGCCAAACCTTCAGAAGATCTAGAAGGACCAAGGGTTCTTAGGCGTTTTTCATTCTCAGATCTCGGATTCTACAGAATAAGACAACGATCAAGCCCTATCTTTCGGGGTCTCGAACTGGATGAAAGCAACGTGTACTTCATTCAGGAAGATCATCGATGGATTGTCGGATCTCAAGCAAGCCATATACATCCAAGACTACACAAGGTCAAGACTACTGGCATCCCCTTTTCAGCTGGACCCTTCTGGGAAGATGAATGCGGGGCGGATGGAGATGTCAATCTTTCATTCTGTGAACGGGCTTCTGATACGAGAACGCCGAACATTGCTCCATGTTGGAGACATGAAGTTTGTGCAAACCTATAGCCGGTCTTTGTTTTGATTGTCACGCTGACATAGAATAGGAATTCCCATACCTTACAATCACTGAAGCCATGGACGTTGACGCTGGTGTCACTTTCAGCGCCCGTCATTGCTTTATGCTCGAAACTATATCGATTAATGTGAAGCCGAGAGTCCAAATGATGGGACCAGGCTATGAAATTTCACTGAGGGATGACTTATGGCAGCAGCTACTAGCCAAAGGGACGATTCGCGGCGATGAAAGATGGCTTGTTGGGGAGAACACGAATGATGAAGTCGTGATCTTACATTTTGATAGGGCAGCGAGGGACACAATGTAGGTCTTTTCAATATGGGTTGCGCGGGAAGACCAGATTACATGCGATTAAACACTTACAGACTACCACCAGTACCACTAGTGTAGTTACCCCCAACTCGGTGAACCCAACCACCCAAAATCTGTACGGGAGTGCTACCGCTCAAGCTTATCACTAAGGATGTAAGATTGTGTCTTGATGTTATCGTTCAGGTCTGTCGTCCATGTGATAAATCGAATAAATCCCCTTGGGACCCTGGAATACGAAATGTTGCACCTCTCCTCTCTGTGCGAGGTGGCTAACGTGCCCCTTACATTATTTCAGAGCGCACTCCAACATCCCGATCGTTGATGGCCCAGTTCCATTTTTATTGAATGCTCCCGCTCAGATCTACCATTTCTCAGAATGATCAACATCATCATTACTTGCCCGGCAATGATTCCGGACCTAACGTTTCCCCGCAGTGTACCAGTCAAGCCACGCTACCCCACACTTTTCCCCATGGTTCTCTCAACATAACAGTAAAGACTAATCCTCCGATTACAATAACACTTAAGATCACAATGGTTTTCTATGCAGAAGAAAAGTCTGTCCCTATTCCGACTAAAGACATCCCGTCCTGGATCTTTGACGGTGCCAGATATGACCAAGATCAGCCAGTGAGTCTTAATCAAACATCAATTCCTAATCGCTAGCCATGCGAACGATTCTAACTCGGGTAAGATGTACATAGATGCGAAAGATCCATCTAGGTCTATTTCTTTGAATCAAGCTCGTGTTGTTGTCCGAAAGCTCGTAGCCGGACTCCAAGCTGCAGGAGTGTCTCCAGGAGACTGTGTTTGCCTCCACTCATTCAATGATGTAAAAACTCTTATTCCTGTGTTATTCCTCCCCTAAATATTTTTTGCAGATTAACTATCCCATGTTATTCCTGGGAATCATAGCAGCAGGAGGCATTTTCGCAGGAACAAACCCCTCTTACACCGAGTTTGAGCTAGTCCATCATATCAAGACAGCCAAAGCAAAGTTCTTCATCACTGAGTCCGAGATGCTCAAGAATAGTTTGGCAGCAGCAAAGGAATGCGGAGTTCCTCAGTCCAATATCTGGATATTTGATGTGCTTGGACAAGCTATTCCCTCTGGATTCAGGTCCTGGACCGAATTGCTGAGCCACGGCGAGAAAGACTGGAAGAGATTCGATGGTGAGAAACTCTGCAAGGAAACCACAGCTGCAAGACTTTTCAGTTCTGGTACCACTGGCCTTCCTAAAGCCGTGGTTCTTTCTCACCATAACCTGATTTCTGAGCACACTCTGGTGCATGAAATTGTAAAGAAGCCGTACAAAGTAAGCAGTCCTAGGCGGAGGGGGGGGGGTGGGGGGTTAAGCTATGAACTGACCATCTCAAGGTAAAACGTCTCCTTGCTCTTCCGATGTTTCACGCAGCTTGTGTGCCCGGTAAGAAGCGCCAAGCCAACTCTCGTCTCGTAAGGAACAGGAGTAACAATAGCAAAGTTGCCCACACGACTGCCTTGAGGAGGGGTGAAGCATCTGTAGTTATGAGACGTTTTGACTTGGACGGATTCCTTTCTTCTATCGAGAAGTTTGGTATCAACACTGTGGTAATAGTTCCACCGATAGTCATTACCATTATCATGTCTCCGATCACCAAGAAGTACTCCCTCAGAAATTTAAAAGCCGTCTCGTGCGGCGCGGCTCCCTTGGGTAAGTGTCCATTCTGTCTTTCTCCAAATGATATTTTTTAGCATCGTCATCTGGAGCTGCAACATACTAGTTCCCCCGAAATGCTCATGTACACACCTTTCTCCATCTACTCACTATAATGCAAGCGAATAAATCTGACCCCGAAATGTTCACGTTTAGGAAAGGATTCTCAAGAGAGGCTGAGGCAATTTCTCTCCCCGGAAGCGTCCGTCACGCAAGTTTGGGGTATGACGGAAACGAGCTGTATTGCGACCCAGTTCTACCATCCTGAAGACGACACCACAGGCAGCGTGGGACGCCCGATGCCGTGCTGCGACATAAAGTACACCACCCTGTCCACCATTCTATTAGCACCAAATCTAACTGTTTCCAAATAGAATCATCGACGACAGCGGCAACGACATCTCAGCATACGACACTCGTGGTGAGATATGCGTCCGCGGCCCAATCGTCTTCTTCGGCTATTTCGAGAACCCCAAAGCAAACGCCGAGTCCTTCGACTCCGACGGTTTCTTCAAAACCGGCGATATCGGTTACTGCGACTCCAAGACCAAAAAATGGTATGTAGTTGATAGAAAGAAGGAACTAATCAAAGTCCGCGGTTTCCAAGTAGCGCCTCCGGAGATTGAGAGTGTACTTCTCGGACATCCGCAGATTGCTGACGCTGCAGTGATTGGAATTAAGAAGGCTGATGCGGAACAGCCGAGGGCGTATGTGGTGAAGAGACCTGGTCCTGAGAGTGAGGCACTAGATGAAGCGGCTGTGAAGAAGCATTGCGGAAAGAGACTGGCTAAGTTCAAGGAGTTGACAGGTGGTATTAGATTTGTAGATGCTATCCCTAAGAATGCAAGTGGGAAGATTTTGAAACGGCTGTTGAGAGAGGCGGCCGAAGCTGAACAAGAACAGGAGAAGGCGAGATTGTAGAAAGTAAAGAGGGATATGACATGGCGGGGAGATGGTTCAGGCAACAAAGGGAAAAACTATATCAGCGAAACTTCACAACTGTTCCCCAAGAAGTGATGCAATTAGCAAATCCTCAAAATTTGTCTTCACTCTACAGCTTCCAGATCTACACCCCCTTCCTTAGGCTCCCCATAGATGAGATACACGATCAATGATACCCTAAATTCACATCCAAATAACAATTCCAGAATCTCTGTTGCACGCCGCTACTTTAGAACCTACCCTAGAGACACCCCCAACTCAACCCTCCTTTAAAAAGGGATTGGGGTTATTGCTACCTAGGTTGTTTAGGCGCAGCAGATATTGGATAGCAAGATTTGCTGTGCTTCAACTCTCCTATCTTCAACGCAACAATCAATGGCAACTTCAGTGAGGGCCACAAGGAAACTGTTTGCATGAAAGAATTCGTAGTATACCATTGGCACATTAGCATGTTTGTAGAGTGGATCTCCACACCAGAGCTGCCACAATGAGTGAAGAGTATCCGCCGCAGAAGCTTGATCTCTACCTGGGCTCCTAAAAGCTGGTCGACAACATTAACTTCTTCAGACGCTTCACTTCCATGACCATACAAGATCCTTCCAGACTGCAGAGAAATATAGAGTCGAGAGGATTGCGGTTAATGGCTGTATATCCATGTCTTCGCACTACAGAATGAGTATGAACAGTGTACGTGGTAATTCTAAAATTAGTTTAGGCTCCACTCGCTTGGTGGAAAGGGAAGAAAGGGGCCTCGCTAAGGTACTAGTGTGCCTGGTGTACAGTACTGTGAAAGCGGCACCGACCTTTAATGTTCCACGTCAGTGAAACATTAATAAGACCTCAGTCCTCAGGTAGGCTGCCGCTGCCACGAATTGCTTCGACCTCGATTTTCGACCGACTCCCTCTCGAAACACCAGCCACGTACAGCAAGATTTACGCCAACCCTTGGCCACAATGTGCAACGAATCACCCGTGCGGGTATCAAGATTAGGTGCTACTGTAAGTAAGCCTGGAAGCGCGAGGAACGTGCAGAAAATCCGCGAAGCCATTCTTTTTCTCTCCGCCGTGGTTTCGGGGCAAAAGTAATAGTGGCCGCCTTTAGTGAGGAGCACTACTACTCGTACAAGCTGGCGCTCGTTTGCAGGCTACTTTGATTCGATGAGGCTGGATTCTCGGACATTGTAGCTTTCCGCGACCCAATCACGGGGCTTCAAAGTATATATAACGGGAGGAGGGAAAAACAGCCTGGTCCATTCCAAGGAGTCATTGATTTTTACGAGACGCTGAACATGCAATGATTCCTTGACTACGGCTCAATTTTCCCCCGACATATTCTCCTCATGTCTCCATTTCGCATACAATCAATTCTCTTGTTTGAATTCTCTCTTTTCATTGTTCTTTCGTGTATGTTTCTTTCATACATATATGAGGTCAAAGCTCGGGTTTTTTTCTCTTCTCTTAGACAACAACATTGTCCGCACTCTATGTATAATATCCCCAACGCGGTATTGCACCTACTTCGTACTACGGAGTACTACGTAGTATCACTCGGATACATTCTGGATTTAAGCTTCTTGGTCCGTGGATCTGGGTCCGGAGCCGTCTAAGATCCGCCGAGATCTCGGAGCAGCCATAGACCCCAGACAGGGACATAGTACATCAGATAAAGGGCCAGCCTTTCCTCATCTTCCTTCATTTGTTTGCAGTTCAAAGTCTTCCCCAAAAGTCTTAAACATGACGGCGAAAGACGAAAAGTCTACCACGGACATGGACATGGACAATTCCACTCTCAAAAGCAGCTCACCTAGCATCGACGAGAAGCCAAGGCTCGAGTCTGAAGGGTCTGTTAGGCAAGGCTCCAGCTCTCCCACCCCTACACCTTCTGTTTCTGAGAAGAATGAGCACCATGAGGAATACGACTTGAGAAAATCCGTATCTGCGAAGGATGCCCAGGTCGAATTGACAAAGATTATGACCAGTGGGGAAGGGATAGAGTATCCTACAGGGATGAAACTGGGCCTGATATCCATGGCATTGTGCCTTTCGGTGTTTTTAATGGCATTGGATAATTCGATTATTGCTACCGCTATTCCCAAGATTACAGATCAGTTCCATTCGTTATCTGATGTCGGGGTAAGTACATATGACTTCTCTACCCACTACAAGTAGTCAATTAACCTATTATAGTGGTATGGAAGCGCTTACTTACTCACCACTGCATCATTCCAATTACTCTTCGGAAAATTTTATACTTTCTTTTCAATAAAATGGGTCTACCTCATTGCCATTGGAATATTTGAGTTAGGGAGTTTGCTGTGTGGAGTGGCCCCAAATTCGACGGCTCTTATAGTTGGTAGGGCTGTAGCTGGTGTTGGTTCTGCCGGCATTTTCAGTGGTGTAAGTCAAGTCGGATCATAATCTCTTACTGGGGGTGGAGCATTCTCTTCCCACAATACCGCACTCCGCTCAACCTCTAAGAAGCATAGCTGACTCTAAGATCTTAATGTTTAGGCTTTGATTATTGTAGCATATTCAGTTCCACTAGCCAAAAGGTAATAACGCCCGCAATTTCCCCGAAGAAGTACTGCTAATTAATATACGTAGGCCCATGTATACAGGGTTCATCGGAGCAATGTACGGAATAGCCTCAGTCGCAGGTCCCCTTCTGGGAGGCGTTTTCACTGACAAGGCTACGTGGAGATGGTGTTTCTTTATCAATCTGCCAATTGGGGCCATTACTGTCATTGTCATTCTCTTCTTCTTCAAAAACCCTGAACGAGCCGCCATATCAGATCTCGGTTGGAAAGCCCGCGTCCAGGAATTCGATATCTATGGCACTATAGTTTTTATGCCGGCAATCATTTGTTTGCTGCTTGCTCTTCAGTGGGGCGGAACAAAATACCCGTGGTCAAATGGGAGGATCATCGGTCTGTTCGTCGCATTTGGTGTGCTGATAATTATCTTCATTAGCATCCAATTCTGGAAAGGAGACTCGGGTACTATCCCGCCTCGTATGATGAAGAAGCGATCCATGGTAAGTCGATTGGGCATTTCGTTATCTAATGCTCAGCCCATACGAACCTTTAAAAATTAGTGCTAATTTTTCATTATTTAGTGGGCTGCATCTTGGTTCTCTTTCACTATGGGATCATTTTTCTTGCTGCTGATTTATTATCTCCCCATTTGGTTCCAAGCTGTCAAGGGCGCCAGTGCTGTGAAATCCGGAATTATGAATCTACCTATGCTCCTGTCACTCGTTCTCACTAGCGTCCTTGGGGGAATTGGGGTTACTCTTATGGGATACTGTGAGTGTCCTAGCTTATTGGTTCCTTTAACATGCTAACAATGTACAGATGCACCTTTAATGATCGTCTCCTCGATCCTTTCTGCTATTGGAACAGGACTGCTATATACTCTCACTCCAGAATCTGACCATAGTTACTGGATTGGATATCAAGCAATTGTTGGAGTAGGAATCGGTCTGGGTATGCAGCAGCCGATGATTGCTGTACAAACCTTTTTGGATATCTCCCAGGTGCCTGTAGGCACGTCAGTGGTAAGCTTTTTGCCTGATACTTCCTGGAGGTCAACCACATTTGATTAGAGACGAGACTGATGTTTGTTTAGATCATATTTTTGCAGACCCTAGGTGGGGCTTTATTTGTCTCAATAGGCCAAAACGTATTTGCCAACAAACTTGTGGAAGGACTAGCGAAATACGCCCCTACGGTTGATTCAGCGCTCGTCCTCAATACCGGCGCCACATCCATCCAGAAATCGATAGATCCGTCCGTGCTCCCGGGAGTTACGATGGCCTACAATTCTGGCTTGACAGAAGCTTACCTCGTGGCTACTATTATGGCTACTTTTACTATCATCGGAAGCTTGGCCATCGAATGGAAGAGTGTAAAAGGGAAGAAAATTGAAATGGGTGCGGCATGAGACCCATTTTATTTTCTTATTATGGAATTCTTTGCTTTTGGCATTTGCATATACCTGGCGTCGAAAATATCTACTTCCTATTCATTTATTTTTGCTGAGAAAGACTTGGTGGTTTGGACATAGACGCATTTCGCATTCTTTTTGTATTATATGGGATGGCTGGCTGGTAGCCTCTGAATTGGATATATATATATAAGAAACCACACCACTTAGAAATTAGAACAAGTTTAGATCAAACGCAAATAGGATAATTCAATAATCTTTCACCTGAGTTGGCTGAGGAATTGAGGGCGGCTGAAGTTCCCTCTTCCGATCTAGGACCCGGACTATGTGGGCCATCTTATATCTTTAGGCGACTATGATTAACCTCTCAATTGGTAAGAGAGTATTCTATGGACTCCAAAGTAGTAAAATAGTTGACTATATGCAAGAATTTGTCACTAATGTTGCATCAAGGCCATACCTATTTGCTATTTGAATATCCTGTGGGGGTCGGAATGCTGCAGCATTATGAATTGTTTATAGAGCAAGCTTGTTTATGTACAGCGTAGAAATTACAATCATGTGAGATCAAGAAGAACAAACTGAAAATATGAATAATGTCACGGCAAAGGAAAACGACCTGGAAGTGGTGATGTCGCACCCCTATTTTTATATAGGCTAGTCCATTTCTAGCCATCCACGTGACTGAGGCTGGCGAGACCAGGTGGAACTTAAAGTACAGCTACGCGGAGGCTTCCCAGCATCAAACTCAAGAACCCCTATCAACTCCACGAAGACCCACTACATTCCCTAATTCTCTGGGAGCTCTTGGGAAATACACTCTTTACGTTGCCTCTTAACCTTCCAGCCGCCTTCCCGTTGTCATTGAGCGCGCATCTGGTGGACAAGCGCCGCTTGCGCAAATCAATACAACAAGATGGCGCCCAACCTGCCCATCAAGTTTACGGAGCTGCTCCAGGTATGCTTCAAGATCTGTACTCTGATGGAATATGGTAGATGAGAAACTGACAGATGCCCCCAGTTGACGAGCGTTAATGTTGAGGTATGTGCCGTGAGCTCCGCAGGAATTGAGCTGTTGGAGCTGCCCAGGCAACGATGTTGATTAGGGGGGAACTGACAGTCATCATTTTAGCAAGCATCAATTGGATTCAACTCATGTGTAAGTAATTATGGCTCTGCGGAAGCTGGACCAACATCAGCTAACGGTTGAGGCGTTTAGACACTCGAATCTGACCAGTTCATTTGTATCCGCGAAAAGAAGAACGAAGGCGCCTCCCCAGAAGTCATAATCGTCGATCTCAAAAACAATAATAATGTCATTCGCAGACCGATCAAGGCGGATAGTGCCATCATGCACTGGTCCAAACAGGTCATTGCGTTGAAGGCACAATCTCGTACACTCCAGATCTTCGATTTAGGCGTAAAAGCAAAATTGAAGTCGGCTACAATGAATGAGGATGTGGTCTTTTGGAAGTGGTTTTCGGAAACAAGCTTAGGCTTGATCACTGATACGGCCGTCTATCACTGGGATGTGTTCGACCCAAATCAACCCTCTCCTGTAGAAGTGTTCAAGAGGAATCAAAATCTCTCTGTAAGATTATGTCTTTATACGAGCAACCAAGATAATTCGCTAACCTGCTCCAGGGATGCCAAATTATAAACTATCGTGTCAGCGATGATGGAAAGTGGATGGTGGTCGTTGGTATTACGCAACAGCAAGGACGAGTTGTTGGTGCAATGCAACTCTATTCGAGGGACCGGGGCATTAGTCAAGCTATCGAGGGACATGCTGCTGCGTTCGGCACACTACGACTCGAAGGAGCACCCGCTGATACAAAGGTTTTCACATTTGCCGTCCGCACTGCCACTGGCGCAAAGCTGCACGTTGTCGAAGTCGATCATCAAGCTACGAACCCAGTCTTCTCAAAGAAAGCAGTCGATGTTTACTTTCCAGCAGAGGCAGTAAACGACTTCCCCGTGGCTATGCAAGTTTCACAGAAGTACAGCATCATCTACTTAGTGACAAAGTACGGCTTCATCCACCTTTACGACCTAGAGACTGGAACATGCATCTTCATGAATCGGATATCGAGCGAAACAATATTCATCACTGCGCCAGATTCTGAATCTGCGGGTCTTGTCGGAATCAACCGTAAAGGACAAGTGCTGTCTGTTGCTGTTGACGAAACAACTGTCATTCCCTACCTTCTTCAAAACCCAGCAAATTCCGGTCTTGCTGTCAAGCTTGCTTCAAGAGCTGGTTTGCCCGGTGCAGATAACCTCTATGCACAACAGTTCGATCAGCTTGTGAACGCTGGAAACTACTCCGAAGCTGCGAAGATTGCTGCCAATTCCCCGCGTGGCTTCCTCCGAACACCTCAAACCATCGAGCGATTCAAGGCTTTGCCAGCCGTCCCTGGGCAACTATCGATCATCCTCCAATACTTTGGCATGCTTCTCGACAAGGGAACCCTCAATAAGCACGAGACCCTTGAGCTTGTTAGACCAGTTCTTGCACAACAACGGAAGCACTTGCTCGAGAAGTGGATGAAGGAAGAGAAGCTGGATTGTTCAGAAGAGCTGGGTGATATTGTTCGACCGCATGATCTGAACCTGGCTCTGAGCATCTATTTGCGCGCAAACGTTGCTCCAAAGGTTGTGGCAGCTTTTGCTGAGACTGGCCAATTTGAGAAGATCCTGCCTTATGCTGCGCAAGTAGGATATCAACCAGACTACGTCGTGTTGCTTCAAAATATTGTAAGAGTGAATCCGGAGAAGGGATCCGAATTTGCTACCCAGCTAGCAAACCACGAGGGCGGCCCATTGGTCGACATTGAGCGTGTTGTCGATGTTTTCCAATCACAAGGCATGGTTCAGCCTGCTACCGCTTTCCTCCTTGATGCTCTCAAGGACAACAGACCAGAGCAGGGTCATTTGCAAACTCGCTTGCTGGAGATGAATCTCATCAACGCTCCCCAGGTTGCAGATGCTATTCTTGGTAACGACATGTTCTCTCATTACGACAGAACTCGCATTGCTCAACTTTGCGAGCAAGCCGGTCTTTTCCAGCGAGCATTGGAGCACTATGATGACCCGGAATCCGTCAAGCGTGTAATGGTTAACATTGTTGCGACTCCTAACTTCAGTCAAGATTGGCTCACCAACTTCTTTGGCCGTCTGTCACTCGAGCAATCTTTGGATTGCCTCGATGCCATGTTGAAGTCAAACATCCGCCAGAATCTTGGCGCTGTTGTGCAAATTGCGACTAAATACTCTGATTTACTCGGCGCCACCAGACTAATCGACTTGTTCGAAAAATATGACAAGACCGGCGAGGGTCTCTTCCATTACCTTGGGAGCATTGTCAACCTTAGCGAAGACCAAGATGTTAACTTCAAGTACATCGAAGCCGCTACTAAGATGGGCCAGTTCACAGAAGTGGAGAGGATCTGCCGAGACAGCAATTGTGAGCTCCACTTTCCCTTCATTTGGATTATACCCCCTCCCCTACCTGGACCTTCCTTGATATTGATGACAGGGTGCTCTTGCCTAGCATGAGGCAAGAGCACCCTGTCATCAATATCAAGGACTCTTTCCGCTCTTCCAGGTTACACCCTCGACACAACATAAGGAAACACCACTGCACGATCTGTGATCATTCCTTTACTACCTCCGCGAACCTGAATATACACCCTGAGATGAAGAAAGACGTCGATAACGCTGCCAAGCAGCCGAATCGACAGTGTCGAGCTCCTGGCTCGACTCAACTCTAACATGACGTTTCTTTTTGGACCAATTCATCATTAAAAGTACTTTCTAACATTAAACCAGTCTTCAACCCCGAAAAGGTCAAGAACTTCTTGAAGGAAGCCAAGTTGACCGAACAATTACCTCTCATCATCGTTTGCGACCGATTCAATTTCATCCACGATTTGGTTCTTTACCTTTACCAAAACCAGCAATTTAAGTCGATCGAGGTTTACGTTCAGCGTGTAAACCCAGCACGAACTCCCGCTGTGGTTGGTGGATTGCTTGACGTTGATTGTGACGAGTCGATCATCAAAAACCTCCTCCAGACAGTCAACCCTGCGTCTGTTCCAATCGATGAGCTTGTTTCCGAGGTTGAGTCAAGGAACCGCTTGAAGTTGCTATTGCCATTCCTGGAGGCCACTCTTGCAGCAGGCAACCAGCAACAGGCTGTGTTCAACGCTCTCGCCAAGATCTACATTGATTCAAACAATAATCCCGAGAAATTCTTGAAGGACAACGATCAGTACGATACATTGCAGATCGGGAAGTATTGCGAGAAGCGTGACCCCAACCTTGCATATATCGCGTATCGGAAGGGTCAGAACGATCTCGAGTTGGTCAGCATCACAAATGAGAACTCTATGTTCAAGGCTCAATCTCGATACCTGCTTGAGCGGGCGGACCGTGAACTGTGGTCTTTCGTTCTCAGCCCGAACAACATCCATCGCCGATCGGTCATTGACCAAGTCATCTCCACGGCTGTCCCAGAATCTACAGAGCCCGACAAGGTCTCTGTGGCTGTTGCCTCTTTCCTTCAGGCCGATTTACCTGTAGAGTTGATCGAGCTTCTCGAAAAGATTGTCCTTGAGCCATCCCCATTCAGTGATAATGAGAGTCTTCAGAACCTTCTTATCCTCACTGCTACAAAGGCCGATAAGGCACGTGTTATGGACTATATCCACAGACTCGATGCTTATAACGCGCCCGATGTTGCTCAAATCTGTATTGATGTCGGTCTTTCTGAAGAAGCTTTCGAGGTCTTCAAGAAAATCGACGACCACAAGAGCGCAGTCAATGTCCTTGTTGAGCATGTTGTCAGCATAGACCGTGCACAGGAGTACGCTGAGCGAGTCGAGCTTCCGGAGGTCTGGAGCAGAGTTGCTAAGGCTCAACTAGACGGCCTTCGGGTCAGTGATGGTATTGCTTCCTACATCCGCGCCGAGGACCCCAGCAACTATAACGAGGTAAGCAATATCCTGGGGGAAATATCTCTTTACATCTCAGGAGCGGTTTTCAGATCCAGGTATTCCTAGAATATTGTCTCAATTCCGGTGGAACATTGTTCCGATGTCTAAAATCTACTTAATTAGACAATGCTGACTCGAAGATCTGCATTATAGGTTATTGAAATTGCCACCCACGCTGGCAAGGACGAGGATCTCATCAAGTTCCTTCGGATGGCCCGGAAGACACTCCGCGAGCCTCCCATCGATACTGCTTTGGCTTTTGCCTATGCTCGCACCGATCAACTGAGCGAACTGGAAGACTTCTTGAGAGGCACAAATGTTGCTGACATTGAGGAGTCCGGTGATAAGGCTTACGCTGAAGGCTACCACCAAGCTGCAAAGATCTTCTTCAGCAGCATCTCCAACTGGGCTAAGCTTGCCACGACCCTTGTACACCTTGGTGAATACCAGGCAGCCGTCGAGTGTGCACGAAAAGCCAACAACATCAAGGTCTGGAAGCAAGTCAATGCCGCTTGTGTTGAAAAGAAGGAATTCCGCCTCGCTCAAATCTGTGGTTTGAACTTGATCGTTGACGCTGAGGAGTTGCAAGACCTGGTCAAGCAATATGAGCGCAACGGTTACTTCGATGAGCTCATCTCCCTCCTTGAGCAAGGTCTTGGTCTCGGTACGTTCCTTCCTTTACTTATGTTTTGATCCTTCCCATCACCCCTTTGCCCTTACTACCCGGACACATCTACCTCCGGGCTGCACCTGCCATCTGGTACTCTCCCCCATTAAGATGGCTTCAATCAGCTTCAGCACTTACGAAGCACGATAATGGACCCAAGCACACCCAGAGGATGGCTGAGGCTATCTTATAGCTAGTCTCACACGAACACTACCATAAACATTTCCTTTTGTCTCAAACATTGTTTCCTCGTGTTCTTCTAACATTGTCAATTTTAGAAAGAAACCACATGGGTATGTTCACCGAGCTTGGTATTGCACTGTCGAAATACCATCCCGAGCGTGTGATGGAGCACTTGAAGCTTTTCTGGACTCGTATAAACATACCTAAGCAAATCCGAGCATGCGAAGAGGCTCATCTATGGCCTGAGTTGATCTTGCTTTACTGCCATTACGATGAGTGGGACAATGCAGCACTCGCTATGATGGAACGTTCTGCCGATGCTTGGGAGCATCACTCGTTCAAGGACATTGTTGTGAAAGTTGCGAACTTGGAAATCTACTACCGTGCCCTCAACTTCTACCTGGAACAACAGCCATCACTCATTACCGACCTTCTCCAGGCGTTGACACCCAGAATCGACGTCAATCGAGTTGTTAAGATGTTTGAGAAGTCGGATAACATCCCTCTGATCAAGCCCTTCCTTCTCAATGTTCAAACTCAGAACAAGAAGACGGTTAACAGTGCTATCAACGATCTGTTGATCGAAGAAGAGGATTACAAGACTCTGCGTGACTCGGTGGAGAACTACGATAACTATGATCCAGTGGAGCTTGCTCAGCGATTGGAGCGCCACGACTTAGTCTTCTTCCGCCAGATCGCTGCCAACATCTACCGCAAGAACAAGCGCTGGGAGAAATCCATTGCTCTTTCAAAGCAGGACAAGCTGTTCAAGGATGCAATCGAAACCGCAGCAATGTCGGGCAAGTCAGAGGTTGTTGAGGAACTGCTTAGATACGTAAGTTGGACTGATTTCTATAGATCTTCAGCTTATCTAACTGTTTTTAGTTTGTTGATATCGGCAGCCGCGAATGCTATGTTGGAATGTTATATGCTTGCTACGATCTCATCCCTCTCCACTTGGTCATGGAGATCTCATGGCGCCACGGTCTGACTGATTTCACCATGCCATTCATGATCAACTACCTCGCCCAGCAGGGGTCTACGATCGAAATGTTGAAGAAGGATAATGAGGAACGCAAATCGCGGGAGAAGTCGCAGGAGAAGGAGGAGAACAGTACTCCCATTCTTGGCGGAAACCGACTCATGATTACTTCGGGACCTGGCGGACGCACATCTCCAGCTCAGTTTGGACAGACCAATGGATTTGCGCCTCAGCCAACGGGGTATTCGGGTGGTTTCTGAGGATAAAATGAACGGTAGAGCGGCCGCGATGTAATAATGATGAGGCATGTTGGGTTGTACCTTTTCCGATTTCCAGCGAGGATGATTCCATGGGACTGGGGACATATTTCTCGTCACGATGTAGTAGTATTCTGCACACTCCGGGTGGTTCCCATTTGAGAAACCACTTGCTGGGCACAATTGTAACTCATAGGAGCGTTCTTGAACTTGCTTTACTAGACCACCTTGATGTATTTTGACAAAAGCGCGTTTATACTGTAAATGTTTATTAGATGATGGCTTACATCTTGTGACGGGGCCTGTTGCACTAGTCAGCACGACAGGATAAAGGAATCGAAAGATCCTGCCACTGTCCGACGAGGAAGAGTCTCGACAACGCCAATAGTAACTTACCTTAGCGTGTCGTGTGTTTCTTTCGATCGGCTACAGCCGGTGTAACGGACCGTACAGCAGCACTCACTATCACTCCTTTTTAATGTGCCACTTGTCTTGGAACGTTAGAAACCGGTGCCGCTTTTTCTGTCCAGCCTTCGCTCGTCATTATTCAGCCTTGCGCGAGGAAGAAAAGCCGAGATCGGAGAGTCGCTGCCTCTTGACCGAAAAAACGAGGTTGTTCTCGGCTCATGTGCAAGATGCTGTACTAGGGGTTTTTATGTGGGCCTTGTTGATACTGACTGACATGGGCATTACCTAGGTACATTATTACATGGCATGAGAAACCCGCGTGTAGACATGGACATGATAGTTTTAGACGTACTTCATACCTACCTACCTACCTAGGTAATTACCTAGTGTGCATACCTAAGTCTAGCTTTCGCTCTATGCGCGGCAATGACTTGAAAGAGCGGTGTCAATTGCTGGGTATGCAGTACCTACAGTACCTACAGTGCAACTGTGAATGCCGTGGGCCTGTCCTACTATCTCGTATCTACCAAGGTATCTACATAATGTCTACTGTAGAAGTCGCGGCTGAAAGACTAAAAGTATCTACGCACCGAGATCTCGGAGTAAATTCGCTTCATTATGATTTAGCATAGCATATCACAGCTTTTTCTATTGGCCCGAGAATGTTTACGCTATGGGTATTAAAACCCCACTACGACGCCGATGCGATGCCCAAGCTCCCCCTCGTCTCGCCCCGCCCCAGCAAAAAGAAAACCTAAGATATCTAGATACTGTGTGAAGGGAGTCATCACCAACACCATCACCACCTGGCCCCGAGAGAAAACTTCTTCCAGAGCTTCTGCTCTTTCCTTTCCCTCCCCGCCCTCTGTGCCTGACCAGCCAACATTCGCTCCTGCTCGTTTTCCAGACATTGGTATATTAGCGACTCGCAGCTACCTACCCCTCCCTCCCTTCGTCCTTCAACAATAAATATCATTCGACGGGCCGCAAACCTGCACCCACAACCCTACACCCGCGCCTCTTAATCGAATCGAACATTGCTGCATCTTATCCTATATCCTATCCTATCCTATCAGCATCTTTATCTCTCCCCTCTACAGCTGCAGCTTGTCCCTGTTCTCCATACCTGCCCAGCCCTGTAATTCCCGCTATTGACGGTAGCTCGGGTTTTATCCCGCCCGCCAGCTTGATCAACAGTCGGTTATCAGAGCTGTCTGTGTTCAACTTCTTCCCTCCTTCCTCACCAAACGCATCCCACTGCACCTACAGAACCAGCAACGCAATATGGCCGACCAGCATGATCCCAATGGCGCCTACAGCGAGGTCTTTGAGGAGGGTTCCGACCTCAAGCACCCGCAGACCGTCCATCGCATTCGGGCCAATTCCAGTATCATGCAATTGAAGAAGATCCTCGGTAAGTGCTTCAAATCGCAGCCTTGGAGCCAATTGACCAGGGCAAATGCTAATCTTGCGGCTTGCAGTCGCCAATCGAGGAGAAATTCGTAAGTGACCAATTCAATCCCTACATGCTGCTGCTGTGCGATCATGTGAGGCTAACTGACGTTGTGTAGCTATTCGTGTATGTACTCAATTAGGCGGGGTAGGGTGCTACTAAATGAAGCTTGCTAACCTTGTGTTCGATAATTGTAGATTTTCCGTACTGTGAGTCTATCCTACGAGCGAGCCTTGCAGTAGTTACTTTTGCTGGATACTGATCTGAAAAATAGGCACACGAACTTTCACTCCAAACGGTCGCAGTATTCAGGTAAATCTTGCGAGGGGCTCTTCTTGTTCGGCATTGACAGTTTGGCAGTTATGAAGACCGACTTAGCATGCACAGGCAGAGTAAGAAATTCCCATAATCTCCAGATGATAAATATACTAATCGCTATTGTTTTTGCAGAAGCCGATGAAGCCTACGTTATCGGAAAGCGCGGTCAATATACACCTGTTGGAGCATACTTGGCTGGAGACGAAATCATCAAGATTGCTCTAGAGCATGGAGTCCAAATGATTCACCCCGGTATGGCAGGTGCATACAATTGCGATGACGCTATCTAATTATTTTCACAGGCTATGGATTCCTCTCCGAGAATGCAGAATTTGGTAGAAATGTGGAGAAGGCTGGCTTGATCGTATGTCTATATTCCATATATTTGTTTACCAAAAAGCTAATTGAGCCCCATCACAGTTTGTCGGTCCTTCTCCAGAAGTCATCGATGCTCTTGGTGACAAGGTGTCTGCCAGAACTTTGGCTATAAAGGCAGGCGTGCCAGTTGTACCAGGTACCGAGGGAGCTGTGGACAAGTTTGAGGATGTCAAGCACTTCACGGACGAATACGGCTTCCCAATCATCATCAAGGCAGCTTACGGAGGTGGCGGACGTGGGATGCGTGTTGTCCGAGAACAAGAAAGCTTGGAGGACTCCTTCAACCGTGCTACATCTGAGGCTAAGTCCGCCTTCGGGAATGGCACAGTCTTTGTGGAACGTTTCCTTGACAAACCCAAGCACATCGAGGTCCAGCTTCTTGGAGACAACCAAGGAAACATTGTTCATTTGTATGAGCGTGACTGCTCAGTTCAACGAAGACATCAAAAAGTCGTCGAATTAGCACCCGCGAAGGATCTCCCGGCTGAGGTCAGAGATGCCCTCCTTGCGGATGCCGTGAAGCTTGCCAAGTCGGTCAACTACCGCAATGCGGGCACTGCAGAATTCTTGGTTGACCAGAAGAACCGATATTACTTCATTGAGATTAACCCTCGTATCCAAGTCGAACACACGATCACCGAAGAAATCACAGGGATCGATATTATCGCGGCCCAGATTCAAATCGCAGCAGGTGCAACCTTGGCTCAGCTTGGCCTTACACAGGATCGAATTTCGACCAGAGGCTTCGCAATCCAATGCCGTATTACAACAGAAGATCCGGCCAAGCAATTCTCGCCAGATACGGGGAAGATTGAAGTCTATCGATCAGCTGGTGGAAATGGTGTCCGTTTGGATGGTGGCAATGGATTTGCTGGTGCAATCATTACTCGTAAGTAGCTCCTTTCTCCTTCCCCAATCCCCATACCTTCGTTACGCCGCAGAAGCACAAGCAAGCTGCTGCGGATGCCGGTCGAGCTTATAGCTCTAACCTGACTATACTGGATTTTCTTGGATCCTTTTGGACTCATTATCCTACCGCTTCAACGTCTGATTGTTGTTTTATTTATTGCTATACTTGCTAACAGATTTGAAGCCCATTATGACAGTATGTTGGTGAAATGTACTTGCCATGGTTCCACATATGAAATTGCTCGCCGAAAGATGATTCGAGCTCTAGTCGAATTCCGTATCCGCGGTGTCAAGACAAACATACCCTTTTTGGCAACACTGCTTACTCACCCAACCTTCATTGAAGGTAACTGCTGGACTACCTTTATTGATGATACCCCTGAGCTCTTTGACCTCGTTGGCAGCCAGAACCGTGCTCAAAAGCTTCTGGCATACCTCGGAGATATGGCTGTCAATGGCAGCAGTATCAAGGGCCAGATTGGCGAGCCCAAATTCAAGGGCGACATCATTATGCCAGAGCTCCTGAGGGAGGATGGAAAGCCGTTAGATATTTCCGAGCCTTGTAAGAAGGGTTGGAGAAACATCCTTGTTGAGAAAGGCCCAGAAGCATTTGCTCAGGCCGTCCGAAAGAACAAGGGATGTCTTCTCATGGACACAACCTGGCGTGATGCACATCAGTCATTACTGGCTACTCGTGTGCGAACTGTTGATCTTCTGAACATTGCTAAGGAAACCAGTCATGCTTATAGCAACCTGTACAGTCTTGAATGTTGGGGTGGTGCTACTTTCGATGTTGCCATGCGATTTCTCTACGAGGATCCTTGGGACAGACTGCGAAAGATGCGCAAGCTCATTCCCAACATTCCTTTCCAGATGCTTTTGCGTGGTGCAAATGGTGTTGCGTACTCTTCTCTCCCAGATAACGCCATCTACCACTTCTGTGAGCAAGCAAAGAAGCACGGTGTTGATATTTTCCGAGTCTTTGATGCTCTAAATGATATTGACCAACTCGAGGTTGGTATTAAGGCTGTTCACAAAGCCGGTGGCGTTGTTGAGGGTACTGTGTGCTATTCTGGAGACAGTGAGCAACCCTTTTTTTCCCATCCCTCTTTAATCTACTACTCCCGATGAGTGCTTTATCCCTCTTCTCAGCTCTCAATCTCTGCAGATGAAGCGCTACTAATTTCTTCGTAGTGTTGAACCCAAAGAAAAAGTATAACCTAGAGTATTACTTGAGCTTGGTCGACAAACTTGTTGATCTCAAGATCCATGTTCTCGGAATCAAGGACATGGCAGGTGTGCTGAAGCCAAAGGCCGCTACGCTTTTGATTGGATCTATCCGCAAGAAGTACCCTGATCTTCCAATTCACGTCCACACCCACGATTCGGCTGGTACCGGTGTGGCATCAATGGTTGCATGTGCCAACGCTGGTGCTGATGCCGTGGATACCGCTACTGACTCCTTGTCCGGGATGACATCTCAGCCTAGTGTTGGTGCCGTCCTCGCGTCTCTTGAGGGCAGCGATCTTGACCCAGGCCTGAATGTCCACCATGTCCGTGCGATTGATTCATACTGGGCTCAGCTCCGTCTTCTGTACTCTCCATTTGAATCTGGTCTTACGTAAGTACAACATTCTTTCAGATTACATTCCCCCTTCCCATCATGTTTTATCTCACGCACTCCAACTCCTTGCACCCCTCCCTAAACGAAACTTATTCTTCCTCTACTCCCAAACACTCTTGAATGAAATAACTAACGCCCCCGTTAAGTGGACCCGACCCAGAAGTCTACGAACATGAGATACCAGGTGGCCAACTGACCAACATGATGTTCCAAGCTTCTCAGCTAGGTCTTGGTGCGCAGTGGGCAGAGACCAAGAAGGCCTACGAGCAGGCCAACGACTTGCTTGGTGATATCGTCAAGGTTACACCTACTTCGAAAGTCGTTGGTGACTTGGCTCAGTTCATGGTCTCCAACAAGCTGGACTTCGACTCTGTACAGAAGAGAGCTGGAGAGCTTGACTTCCCAGGATCCGTCCTTGAATTCTTCGAGGGTCTCATGGGTCAACCGTACGGAGGTTTCCCAGAACCTCTCCGTACTAACGCTCTTCGTGGCAGACGCAAGCTCGAAAAGCGACCTGGCTTGACTCTAGAGCCTCTTGACCTCCAGAAGATTAAGAAGGACATCCATACCAACTGGGGTACTGTCACTGAGTGCGATGTTGCAAGTTATGCTATGTACCCTAAGGTCTTTGAGGATTACCGGAAATTCATTGCGAAATATGGCGATCTAAGCGTCCTTCCTACAAGATATTTCTTGTCGGCTCCGGAGATTGGAGAGGAGTTCCACGTCGAGCTCGAGAAGGGCAAGGTCTTGATACTGAAGCTTCTCGCTGTTGGTCCTTTGTCCGATACTACTGGTCAACGTGAGGTCTTCTACGAAGTAAATGGTAAGTATCATGATTTCAGAATCCCGAACTTTGCTGATGCATGTTTAGGTGAGGTTCGACAAGTGACTGTTGATGACAACAAGGCTGCTGTAGAGAATACGGCCCGACCAAAGGCTGATCCTGGAGATTCGAGCCAAGTTGGAGCTCCGATGTCGGGTGTTGTTGTTGAGATCCGTGTTCACGAAGGTAGTGAGGTTAAGAAGGGTGATCCTATTGCTGTGCTCAGTGCTATGAAGATGGTAGGTCACATGCTTCGACTCTGGCTACTGAATTTTTACTAACAATTAATAGGAAATGGTCATCTCAGCACCGCATGCTGGTAAAATAGGTGGCATCCAGATCAAGGAGGGTGACTCGGTGGGAGGTGCAGACCTCATCTGTAAGATTGGCAAGCCTGGAGAGTCAAAGTAGATTGATTGTATTGCGGAGTCCTCGAGGACATGGAACTTTTGGAGCGATGGGCAAACTGACGGGCAAGTATCCTTGGTACGAGGGCAAGTGTAGATGCTGTGAAAAGAATATTGATGGCTAAGAGGGAACTCTGTAGACGCTTTATGACTTAAGATCCTTTGCTCATACTTACTGACTTATGTGCTTCTTCTCCTACTCTTGGCGTGGTAGTAAGGCCTTGCTGACTTTCCCGACATTGCGAGGACTTGAAAATTAACGCGAAGAAGTGCAAGAAAGTATAAGAAAATCGGAATTCAGGAAGACTGGGATTACGAGAAATTACGAGAGTTACACAGGGGCCCAATTTTTGAAGTTTGATGCGGAGCTTGGCCGGATTTCCGAGCATCTAGTGAGCGCAAGGGGCGCGCGCGGAATGAGGGTGTTGATTTACGATGTGCAACAAAGTTTTTGGAGTGACCTAAAGAGGTTGGCACGTGACCCATTTAGCTTTTATGGCTTTTATTCCTCTTCCTGTGTATTTATTTGGTTATATCTTTCACTTTATCTTTAGGTATAACTTTGATGTCGAGTACGTGTAAAAGTGAAGAATGAAAGGAAAGCCCATTTTACTAAGGTACTAGTAGGAGTAAGTGAAGTCTTGACTCTTTAGGTAGATCGGGAGATCGCCCCACTAAAAGTGGAGAGGCTAGCGGCAGGACAGGTCGACAGCGCAGCGTCATGATATTTCCCGGCGATCTGATTCGACGGGTGGAGCAGGGGACATATGTGTACAAGGGTCACAATACAGTACTCGTCTGGGGGTAGAATGGAATGGTAGCTTTGATCAAAGGCTTCTTTCACATTGAGCCTTTCTGATTGGTTGGGGATGGATGAAGAGTCAGGCCATTTGCGCGGGGAATTTTGGGATGGAAAGTTCAATGGGAGGTGGAAGGTTGATGAGATCATGACCAATACTTTGGAGCGACGGATGTGTATAAGGTCTCTGGGACATTCCTCTGATTTTACCTTTTTCTGCTTTAAAGAACCTCATTGATGTAAAACTCCTAATCCTACTCTTTACACAATTCCTATACCTTTCCTTCAACTTTGACTTCATCAATCAATCAATCTATCTATCACACGCATACATCGAAATGGCAACTCAAGGAAGTTCAGCATCCGCCGTGAGCCGTGGAGGTACAGGAACTACCAGCACACCTGCAAACAATGTCGGAGGAGACTATACCTCTGCCACCAACCGTCGTGTTAGTACCCATTCCCACACTTCTCAATCGCCCATTCAAGTTTCCTTGCTGACCTACCCATACAGCCTTCCACCGGAAGCCAAAACACCCTCTTCTCAGGCCTCGTCAACCAAAAGCGCAACAGCACTGATGCTGCAGCCAATGCTCGCAAGCAGTCATTCAGTGATATGAAGCCGGCGACTGGGTTTCTTGGCAAGATGTGGAGCGAGTGAGTTTTCTTGGATGGCATTGCTATAGATATGTGTGATGATATGGATGGCTGATTGAATTGTGGTAGTTTTACAACGGGTTCTTCGCCGCCGAAGTGAATTGGGAATTGGGAATTGGGACGGGAAGGGGATGGGGAGATAAGTCAAAATTGTGCATAATGGTATTGAGACGAGGTCTTGGCGTTGAAGCGTGAAATGAAAGGCTGGTGTTGAGGGCGTTTTATCGTCGGTGTTATGATGACATGCATGGATGGCTGTGTATCAATTGAATTGTATTACGGGGAAAATAAAACTATTCTAACTACTTTTAATCTGTGTCCACACCCACCCGTCCCTTCCTTGACGATTAAAGATTGACTACCATAAGGGATGACTGGTAGAAGATTTTGAAGTCTCATGTGGAAACACAAAGTGAGCTTGCAACGATGCATTATCATTATCGGCGATTCAAAGGGTTGAGAAACCGTGAAACATCAAAGGAATCCGAGGGGGGGGGGGGGGCGGGGTTTATAGTTGGTCCTAGTCCGGATTCGGTACCGACTCTCTCTCCCTTCCCTTCCGATGGACACTCACTCGCCTACTTACACCTACCTCACACTACAGCGACTGCCTCTGCAACGCAGCTCTGCCTGGGAGACCGCATCATCGCACAGCAATCAGAAAGCTCTAGCTCTAGTGCATATTTTTAGACCCTACAACAGGGGGGATGACGCTTCCATTAGGAGAGCTCTGAGATGATTATGTAAAAGAGACAGGACAGACCATTCAATGAGTCAATACTTCAACAGTAACTTAATATTCATCACACAATTCTTCCACTCATAAATTTATTTCATAAAGACGAAGGAAAACAAGCAGAGAAAAGACCAGAAACACCCCAACCAACAACCAACAACTATGTCTTCCCAGGACAAGACCACCTCAAGCAACCTCGGGGATTTGATCTCTGGAACGACGCCTGGCGTCAAGAGCATCGAGGCTGCCTACAGTCGAGCAGGTGCTTCCGTCCACCACACGCCAGGTTCGGCGTCGAAATTGGGATCCCAGGAGCAGGCGGACGCGAGCGCGAGCGCACATCAGGGTGTTGGGAGCGCGAAGTTCAAGGATTCGATAAGTGATCAGAGACAAGAAGTAGGTCGTTGTTCCACGAGCTAGCAGACATAGCTGATAGTGTAGCCTTCTGTGGTGGGAAAGATGGTCAACAATCTTATGAATGGAACGGGTAGCACAAAGTAGAGATGGGGTGTGGGGAGAGGTTTGTGTATTGTAGAGGGAACTGGGTATAGAAGGACTGGTTTGCATTCCACTGCCACTTTGGCATGGTTCCGGCGTACATATAATGGAGAATAAATGGGGAAAGACGGTCCATGATTTCATTTAATAAATATTCACAATCAGTACAACTATTGCAAAAGCCGGCAAGCCGGTCGGTCTCTTAGGCCGTAGCAGATTCAAATGAATCGCTGGACAGTTTGGTGCACTATGCATTGTGATCTGATCCGTAGATGCAGTAAGGTACAACCAATGATGCCAGTGTCATGCCATTTACTCCTTTTCCCATGCTGACGAACACCGTAGAGAATTTATCGGACAATGCCCTATTGAGATTATTAGCAAAAGAACTCGACGTATAAAACAGCCGTTCTTACCTCGAAACGGTTCTTGAACCACTTGACGGTCTCATCACGCTTGATCTTGTGGGCGGAACCAATGGAGGTCTTGCATCGGCGACGCTTGGCAACACGCTCACCAGGTCGGGTCCTATTACTTGTCAGTGCTCATCCACTGTATGCTAATATCCGTTATACTCACATGCATGCGTAGAAGTCCATTCCGTAGATACCAATCGCCGGGTCGTACTTGATACCGAGATCGATGTGTTCGCTGATACCGAAGCCGAAGTTGCCAGTCTCAGAGAAGTTGCGCTTGCGGAGTTCATATTCCTTGACCTTCAATCCACGCTCCAAGATTTCCTCAGCCTTTGGGCCGCGAACGGTGACGTGGACGGAGATCTTCTCGTTACGACGGATACCGAAGGTACGGACGGTGTATCTAGCCTTGCCTGTGAAGATGCTGTTAGACAAAAGCCTCCTGAGGGGATTCGCATTCAAAGGGTGGTCATCGTACTGTAGACGGGAGTTTGACCACTCAGTTGCTCCAACACCTTGGCCGCACGAGTAAGTCTGTCACCAGATTCTCCAACGGAAATGTTGAGGACGATCTTCTGGATGCGAAGCTCCTTCATGGGATTGGCGCTCTTTCCTTCGGCCATTTTTGCTGTTGGTCGTCTGTCGTCGGCGTGAAAATAGTCGTTGATAGAAATCTCAAAGTTCGCGCGGTTGGATTATTCGAAAATATGAGTGTGCGATAGCGACTTTCGCGCTAAACTTTAATTGGCGTTAGCGTAGACGAACAATTTTGGAGCTTGACTTGAGCCTCGATATATCGAAACAACATCAAATCCATACTCATAAGCTTGCCAGAGCCGACGAGTTATTTGAAGTCCCAGAACTTCAATACCCATTCTTTGAAAACCTTCAAGAGACGCCGTGAATTCGTGCATCTCGTCCATCATGGCAAACAAGCAAGGAAAGATGGTGAGTCTCGCTCCTCGCGCCCATCTTCGCAAGCTCTTGGTTGACATTATAGGCTGACTTCTGCTCTCTTTACAGGCCGGACTCGTACGTTATACCCTTTGCGATGGCTCCTGAAGCTCTTTTGCGCTCTCGCGACATGGATTTGTGGCTGATGTGGAGTTTAGATCAACTACCGGATGAGGGTCACGATGAACGATGGACGCCAGATGGTTGGACAGATGTTGGCTTTCGACAAGGCATGCAATTTTCGGAGACGCTGCAATATGTACTTGCTAACATCTGGAATAGCACATGAACCTCGTTCTCGCAGACACCGAAGAGTTCAGACGCGTCAAGCGCAAGGCCGCGAAGTCTAGTGCGGCTCCAGGCGCAAGCAGCAGCTCAGCAGCCCTCGTCGAATCCGAAGAGAAGCGTACATTAGGTCTCACCATTGTCCGAGGCGCCCATATCATTTCCCTGTCCGTCGAATCACCCCCACCAGCCGACCCCGCTGCGCGACTCGGAGCCAGTGCGCCAGGTGGAATCTCTTCGACTCTGCAGGCAGGTGCTGGTATCGCACGTCCAGCTGGAAGGGGTGCTGCTGTCGGCTTGGCAGTAAGTTCACATATGTTGGCTATTACGATATGTTGCTAATGTTGCATTCAGGGACCTGCGGCAGGTATCGGTGGACCCCCCGCATTTGGAGGCTTTGGAGCGCCACCCCCATTTGCTGGCAGAGGAGGTAAGAAGACCATTCTCTTGTCTCAAAATTGTAACAACTACTAACAATTTCGAATAGCGCCGCCAGGATTTCCTCCTGGAGGCTTCCCACCACCTGGTTTCCCGGGACAAGGCCCACCTCCTGGGTTTGCTCCTCCAAGAAGATAGAATTCTCATTCAATGCAGGATATAACATGAAAGATTGATGAAGCATGACACGGGCAGAGAAAATCCAATCAGAGTAACGGCGTTGTAGGGGAGTTTGGCTTCATACCAAAAATTGAGAAATTGTAGCATAGACAGCACTACCATGCAAACTCATGCAACATGACCTGTCTTACCATTTGCTATCTATGATCCCTTTGACCTGCACCCCTAGTCTATAATGGCATACATGAAGCTCTAATTCTGAAAGCTTATGAATCGCTCTTTAAACATGGCACGTGACTCATCTCGGAAAAAGGTGGGTAATATCAAACCAACTCCCATCAAAAGGAAACCCGAACTTTCCAAGAATCCAGCAACCCTCTCACCTTCCCCAACCTCACAATGGCATCCTGGTTCCGCGGTATCAATGCGAAGATTCGCTCTCGCCCTATGCTGAGCTATTTCTGCTCTACGCGTACGTTCCTCTCGATATTTCCCCTGCGATACCGGAGCTTTTGTTATCGGCGTTCATGTATCTGTTGAGACTTGAAAGGAAGAATTATAAAGCTGACAATGAGTAGATTTCTGGGGTCCCGTTTCGAACTTCGGTATCCCCATTGCAGCTGTAATGGACACGCAGAAGAGTCCAGAGTTGTAAGTCCTGATAATTTTCCCTTCCCGCCATCTCAATACTTCCCGCCGGCCAACGACATACCTCTGTCTCCCTTGTGCACAAGACCAAAGCTAACGTAACGTCTCTCAGGATCTCCGGCACCATGACCGGTGCTTTGATCATCTACTCGGCAACCTTCATGCGCTACGCCTTGGCCGTCTCTCCCAAGAACTACCTGCTCTTCGCCTGCCACTTCATCAACGAGGGCTCGCAGCTTACGCAGGGTTACAGGTGGGCGCAGTACAACAAGTGGGGTGGTAGAGAAGAGGAGTTGAAGCTCAAGGCTGAGAGTGGGGTCAAGGGTGCTGTGGGCAAGGTTGAGGAAGAGGCAAGGGCGGCGCTTGATAAGGCCAAGGAGATTGCTGGGAAATAAGTGGTGGTGGTGGTGGTGGTGGAAGTGGAGTTGGTACAGAGAGACAGAGTGTAAAAACTTGGGATCTGGGGACGTGTATTAAGATTGACGATTGCGAGACGAGGTTGGGAGCTTTCGTGCTGGTATTAAAGGCATGGACTTCCTCAGGATGACATGGGATGAGTTAATGCATGGAGTGTATAACATGGTCGATGTGGATACGATATCTTAGCAACGTGCTCGCAAATGCAACGGATTTTCTGATCATTCTTCACCGTGCTACGGAACAGTTTATAGAGAGGTCCAAACCTTCAGTGAAGCACCCGGAGATGTCCTCTTTTCCAAGCAGCCTGCATCGTTATATCCTTTTTCAGTTCCTGGTCATTTCAACTCAAGTGGGTAAAATAACTATAAACCCAACATCAAGTCATTATCTCTGACCACGGTTCTTTTATTTTATTTTTTTCTTCCTTTTTCTCATTCAAAATCTAGAACTTCACGCTTTCCTCTTGCAATGTCATATTCTATTCAGGACAAGTGCTAATGTTGCAATGAGCTTTCAGATTTGTATCTAAAGACATTGCTTCTTCAGCACCTTTCATGGTAGAAGAAGAGGCTAAATAACAACCTATACCTCGAAATGATACGTTTGCTTGGCTATTAGGTTTCAGGTTCACAATATGGTCCAAGTTGATAAATAATATACCAGGTACTCATTTAGCAGTGGTATACTTTATTGCTGTCCCATAGACTCTCGACTTATTATGACTAGTGTCTGCCCAGAGCCAGAGTTGCTCAAATCATATTGACAGTTTTAATGTTTCATGATCCATTGAGTCTTTTCATCCACATGCTCTTCTCTTCCTCCTCCATGGTACAATAAAACAATGACCAAAAATCAAGACCAATGGTTGGTTAGACCCAGCAAGGACATATTAGGACTATCTACAGGAGGAGTATACTGGTCATAATGATCCGCATCTTCTGCCAGCCGAGATGAAGCTTGTTCATAGTCTTCCCTCCACAATCGTCCATAGCGTATGAGATATCCTGCTTTGCCTCAAGCCAACGTCGTCGAGAAGCCTGCATCTTCTTCACGATACTCCTCACACCCTCATGTTCATATCCATCCCCAACTCCAACCCCCATCCCCAACTGATCTTTTCCCAGCAGCATCTTTCATCACATCCGCAATAGTCAAAGACTCAACCAGACCTTCCACAAACTCAACATCCAGCAACTTCAAGATCTCCACAGCAATCCGAAACCCGCTCCAGCTTCCCCTCTTCTATGCACATCTCCTCTGCCAATTATCTCGCACTAGCTTCAGAATAACCCACTCTTCATTCTCCGCCCTCGTCATACCCGTCCCAGCCACTTTCTCCTCGTTATCTAGAATAATCCACAGCGCGTGATTTTCTTGGAAGCTAGGAGGAAAGGTTGGGTTATGTTCTTCTTTGTGGTGCAGGTATGTAGACCAGGTGTGTAGCTGGGCTGGGCAGGGCTGCAGAAGAAGGTCGGGAGGTTGAATAGGTCTGCTGTGGACCAGCTTAGCATTTGGGAGACGGAGCCTCGGGAGATGTAGGGACGTAGCATTACTATAATGACATGCCACCAAGTGTTGCTCTTACGAAAAACGTGTTGGCCTGGCAGAAAGGGGTTTGCTGGAAAAGAAAGTGGGACAAGAAAATGCGCCGTGTGCGAAAAGTTGAGGTTGGTAGCTTGTTTGAACCAAATACTATTTGTCCCACGTACGTAGGTAGTAAGTGCACCTACTCGCCTTCTAAAAGGGGGCGTTAGCGTCTTCGCTTCTACCACTTTTGACAGCGCACAATCTACTCAAGCTCCACGAAGAAATTCGGGGAACTTTTTCGAGGTGCAAGACAAGCAGTGGAGAGATGTTTAACAGTAAAAAGCGAGTGCTTAAGCAGAGGGACGACGCACGAGGTGCTGTACCCAGGCTCCTCATTATCGTTGTTATACTAGTATAGCGCTCTGTTTGGATTAAATGGTATCTGTAGGATCAGAGCAAGTGAGAAAGAAAGACTCAGTCGAAACTGTGACTTTCGGGCAGACTTGCTTAGACTAGCATGCATGTATGGATACGGTATAGTACATTCAAAGAGACGGGCAGTAGTAGTATACCGGAAATACCGGCGAAAACGTTTGATCAAGCATGGCCTGTTTGAGGCCCGAGTCTCAGGTTCAAGGTCAAATATTCCTGGCCAACCTTGGCGCTTCGATGTCTCAGAGTCACTATGCATGGAGGGCACTAACGATGAAGATATCAATTCATATATTGATTTGTATTAACAGCTAGCTAGCTCGTAGTAGCGAGTGACGTTCATGTTCGTATTCATGATTGACCCAAAAGTTTCACGGGCTACCCCAACTCCTCCCAGGATATATCCCAACAAAGAAAAGAATACACACACACAACTTTATATAATAATCAAAACATCTATTTCCACCCACGTGGGCTGCCAGGCGGGCTCCCGATCCGTACATCGCTCGTGACTGCCTGTCCTACACTGCCGAAACGGGACTGTTGAGGCGGGGGGCTTGTCAAGGGGCTTGCATATGCGCCTGGGATAGGTACTGAGGCATATGTTTGCTCGCCTGGTGCTGCTGCGACGTGCTCGATGACTCGCTCTTGCTGTGGTGCAGGAGCGGACTCGAATCCGTTCTGTGCTGTCTTGGGTGTGGCGGAATGGACCTTGATAGGAGGTGGCTGGAGGGCGAATGGCTTCTTCTCCATGGCGTATGAAGGTTTGGATTCAACGAAGCGTGTTCCTGGGCCTCCGGCCATTCCGTCCTCAGCAGTTGGGCCAGACTGGTAAGCGGATGGTGGGAATCTTGGCGATTTCATGTGTTGTGAGTATGAAGGGGACATAGGTCCGAACCCTGGGGTGTTTGGCGCGGATTGAGAGCGCAGCTGGGCGAGGTAGAGGTCTGAACGGGCGCGGTCTCGGACATCCATGGACTTGCGAAGACGCTGCTTGGAGTAGTATCTGTAGAAAACGACGGCGTAGAGTATGATGCTGATGCATTCGAGAACAATCTCAATGATACAGCAGACTAAGGACCAGGACTGATAGTTTGTTAGAATGAAGTTCGAACGAGACATAGCTAGAGACAAAAACGTACCTGCATTCTGCAAACCAGTGCATAGTTGACTTTCTCCTGGAATAGTTGCCGCCTCTTGTTATCAACGCAAGACCAACCCCACACATCCTTGTTGTTGCCGCTGTTCTTGGATCCCTGCAATATACCAGCTGCAATACCCCACATTACAGTGCTGAAGATGAAAAAGGCAACTGCAAATAGTGTATAATACACTGCGACTTTCTCTGCCCGTTTGTGGCCACCCCTCCAATATCCATAGAAGATGACGAGACACAGTGCAAGAGATATACAGGCTATTACGAGCACAGCCGTCTGAGGCCAGGTCTTCGTTCCTTGAGCCCAAGCCGGTAAGTTGTTCCGGGTTGGGAGTTTCTTTGTTGCGTTGAAAATCGTAAATGTCATGGAAAGCATAGAGAGAACAATAAGACTGCAACTGAAATTCACGCCTCGCAGAACAAATTTTGCCATCCGGACTCTCGTCTTAATTTTCTTTGGGGTGGTTAGCATGCCCAGAACCAGGATAGTTTGTGGTACTTACCAGATCATTTGCTTGCTCCTTTTCTGTCATCTCCTCGTGCTTCTCTAAAATTTGCTCTTCACGGAATGTCGGGCTCAGAGGATTATCGATCTTCCGCCCTGGTGTCCCTGGAGCTCTCATCGCACTCTTTAATGGAGATGCTGGCGTGGCCGGTATCTCGACATGCTTTGAAGGATCGGTTTGAGATATGTAGCCGAAGCCAATATCTGAAGGTTGTGATTGAGCCATGTATGATTGTGTTTTGGTTGTCGGGGGGTCTGCGAACGGTGACCGGCTGTTCTCGCTCGGCTCTATTGGGGAGTATACAGTTGTTGCTTCAACGAAGCGGGGTGTTCTTGGGACTTTGAGTGATGATTCTGACGAGGAACTGGACGAAGCACGTTCTCGTGATAAAGGCGCTGGTCGTTTCTTTTCCTTGAATGCTGAACGGAATTGTCAGAGAATCTGCAGGAGCTGGTTAGATGAGTACACTCACTGGACATGTTTGATTGAAGGAAAGAAGTCTATCGGTGTAGAGGAGATAAAAAATAGTGCGTACGAGGTCGATGAAGTCAAACACAGCAATGTGAAGCTCCGAATGTAAGATACAAAGACGTTGAAAGATGAAGAATTACAGATAGAGACCAGCTACCGAGGGGAAAGAGAGAAAGGTCTTCAAGAGGTGGGCATACAGGCCGTTTTGTGCTGGCGCGCGCGCCGGAAGCAGGTGTCTAATTCGAGACAGGTTATGAGGCTACTTCTAAAATCAGAAAGATGAATCGGAAGATGGGAAGCACAGTGGGGTATTGACTGACTAGGGACTTTGGAAGTCACCAAGCTGACTGGCTGGAGCTCTGTAGGGAACCCGCGAATCGAGTCTAGAATAGACGCCTAGAACTTGCAGGCCGCTGTGGTGGTACCTCTATCCAGACCACTCGTAATCTGGCGATGTGGTTGACCGCCGTGGAAACAAGACACAAGGCTGAGCAAATCGCGATGTATGCTTTCCCTCAGCGATTACAGCTCAAGGTCACAACTGCGAATACAAACAAGCAACTCGACAACAAATACAGAGAGTCAAATATCTCCAGGTCATCGAGAATCCCAAAGACTTCAGGACGCGAAAAGGGTGCACGCATTCACACACCCACCCACACTCACATTTACAGTTGGCGCCCTCTCACCACATGAGTGAGGCGGGGGGAAGGCATCTTCCAATAAACGCTGGCAGCTTCGCGCCTGCACACCCTGGTAGAAAGGCTGCGGTGTGCATAGGTGGAAGGTCGTACAGCCATTGGTCAGAACTGCTGTCGACCCCTGGCAGTGCCCGAATGAGACTGAGAGTTGTGGTTGGCGGTTAAGAAAAGAGTCAAGGAGACGGCATGGGACCTTAGCTTAACTTCCTTAGCTGGGCGTTGAACATGAGGTGTGATAGGCTCAGCCTCTCGATTGTTAGTTTCACCAGCCACTAGCAGCCACCAGCAGCCTCCCTCTCCCTTCCACGCTCCTCCAGGAGCGAATGATGTGCATCGGCAATCTCTAGTCTTCCCGGACCCCGAGTAGTCTGAGCGCCGCCAGCGGTAAAGGACGACGACGACCCAACAAGACATTTGTTACGAATAGCGTGGCATGGACTCATCCATATCCATGCCGTGGGAGAGTGCGAAACCGTTGCAAACCTTACTCGACCCAATATTGATTAATATTGATTTAGGGCAATTAATTTTGTTTATTTTTAAACCTGTGATGGCAGCTGCATTGCAGATAGGCTGGGCTCCCGATGTGGCGACTTGGCTGTACAGTCCGTCCAGTAGAGTACTCCATATCCCTGGAAAAGACGAGTGTTTGCTCGGAAGCACCCATGTGCAGCTTAGCGTCGATGGCTGTCAGTGACTTTTCCAGGCAGGCTAATTGCGTTTGCTGACAACCGTTTGGAAACGCAGCCTATCGCAAGAACGATTGCCGAACAATACTCTATTTAAAGCCCCGGGCGATTTGAGCGACAGAGTTCATCGAAATAGAAATGCCAGAGAAGAATCCCAATAAGAAGAATCTGACAGCCGTGAGCGAGGGGGGTAATACCCATTCCTGCTTGTCACACATTCTATACATGGCCTTTTCCGGAAGACTACTCTCCGTGGAACGCACTTTTTAATATCAGCCGAGGATCTATTCGTAGTACAAGTGACCTCTTGTATAGAACTCAGGCGAACCTCGACTCCCACGTGAGTGTATCGTATTATGAGCAAGTGTTCGTTCCTGGGATTAATCCGTTAGAATGATCGGTGAACACTTTCTTTCTTCCAATTTTATCTCTTTACTCCATTTAAGGATCCCTTGAGAGCCGAGATCCTCCTCGGCATTGTCTTGTCTTTCTAACTCTCGATAGCTCAATAGAGATGGCCTTGCATCCTATGAGTACTCGTTTTGAGTTCTCCACGAAGCATAAGCATCACACTTCCAGGGAACTCATTCTCGGTATGCTTTGATAGATGCCGTCCCGGAATTGCTCAGCCACTCACTGGAGATGGCAAATAATCATCATCACAGAGAGTTCCCCAGAGAGGGCACTGCGAGGAAGGAATATGTTCCGCTTTAAATGCTATCTGAGAGTTAGCGACACATAGACATAGAAGCACAACCGACGACACTTCGTGCGCGACACTTTTGTGTGTTTCATAACATGTCCATTGTTCAAGCAACATGTTCAATATGGGTATTCGACCTGGTCACTCATTTTGATTTGCCCTTTATTCAACCCGGAAACCCGGAAGATGCTGCGTCTAGTGGTGGAACAGGCGGATGCTCTGCTCAACAAATGTGATACCCAGCTTCTCGGCCGTCTCAAATACACCCTTGTCATTCTGACTGCCACTTGGTGCCGCAATGTACTTGGCTCCGGAACGTCCAGCCCTGTAGACATTATCGATGAATGGGAACTGTCTATGTTAGTCTTTACAAATTCGCTCCAGCAAAAATCAACTTACGAAGGCATCACTTGAAACAGCTACCTCGCTCAGCTTTCCCAGCCATTCCTTCTGCAAAACTTGATTAGCATGCTATTTGAGGAGAGTATCCCAGATATCATGGGACATTATAGGACTTCTTACCCTCTCCTCCTCGCTGAACGGCTCCGGGACTTCATCGAAGAAGGCTTCGTAACCATCTCTCTCTGGGCCATCTTTTGGTAACTGTCCGCTGACTAGCAAGTCAATTGCATTGCTCTTATCTGGTCGCTTGGTGCCCTTCTTCCACTTTATACCTAGGACTCGTGGGTTGAATCTCAGCCACCAGTTGTCGGCCTAAACAGACGGTCAGTTGTGCATTCGGGGAGTAGGAGATTTTCTCGGAGCATAGAAGACATGTCGGAGAAGCGGATGGGCTGACCTTATCACCAGCAAGCCGAGTGCAATGAATGCGTGACTGCTGCCCTGCCCCTAGTCTGCAGAATATCAGCATCACTTATAGGAAAAATGTCTCGCGTATTTTGTAGCCTTAGAAGTAGTGTGGAATAGGAATTGGATTACGTACCCGATGATTTGACCATTGAGGGCGTAGCAAACCGAATTACTTTGAGTGTATTTCAAAGAAATTGTAGCTACCGTCAAATCCCTATTGGCAGAATCCGGCAATGGACCTGATTCCTTTGGAGTGATGATTGAAGTGAAAGACTTGGGCGAGATATGGGCATCGTTTCGGTGCTGGGTTAAGGTGATGCCATATACTGTCCTAGACTCTGGGCCAGCTGGCTCATATTCTGGATCCATCTGTAGCACAAGATATTTCCCGCCTTTCTTCTTCTTAAGGATTTCGAGAGCGGCATCCTCATAACCGGCAGCAATGACACCATCAGAAACCTCTCTCGAAATGATCTTCGCAGTTGGAACATCAACAACATCGCTCAAAGCAATCATGTCACCAAAACTACTCATTCGATCGGCACCACGGGCACGGGCATAGGCTTGTGCCAAAGGTGAGCTCTCCAGACCTTCAATATCATCGACCATGTAAACCTTCCTCTCGTCCGCGCTTAGAGGTACACCAATTGCTGCTCCGGCAGGAGAAACGTGCTTGAAGCTTGTGGCAGCTGCTTGTCCAAGTGCGGTCTTCAATTCTTTAACCAATGCCCATCCATTCAGAGCATCTAGAAGGTTAATGTAGCCAGGCGAACCATTCAAGGCCTTGAATGGTAATGATCCATGCTCGACCAAAGCCGCAGCCGGTTTTTGATGCGGATTTGCTCCGTACTGAATATCATACATCAGTATTACAAGTCTCGGAAGGTCTAGGAAATTATGGGTATCCTGGCTGACTTACTCTAAGTGCCAAGTGCTGGACGCCGTCACCTGCGTACTTCTTTCGGAAAAACTCAGAAATAGATTTGTCGTAATCAGCTGTGTGTTCAAACGCCTTCAGAGCGTATAGGTTCCGGCTACGGTCAGAGATTTCACCATTTTCCAATTCTTGAAGAAACTCTGGGTAGTCTGCAGGGTCACTCAGAATAGTGACTCTCGTATGGTTCTTGGCCGCAGCACGGATCAAAGTGACTCCTCCAACATCGATTTCTTCGACAGCTTCGGAAATAGTGACATTGATCTTCGCAACGGTATCCTTGAATGGATACAAATTGCATATAACATAGTCGACTTTGTCGATGTTCTGTTCCGCCAGGTCTTTTTCATCAGAGGCAAGATCGCGCGCAAGGATACCGGCATGGACTGCTGGATGGAGAGTTTTGACTCGTCCAGCCAGCATCTCTGGGGCATGGGTAATGGCAGAAATGTCCCTGGTTGTAGTAGTTAGCACGTAATGATGTAGCAGTTGGCAGGTGCGATAATGCCCCGCCATGAATAGACGTTATCCTCCATCGGACAACTTACTCGACGTCAAACCCGGACTCTCGGATCATCTTCGCAGTGCCCCCCGAAGCAAGGAGGCGTACATTGTGCTTGATTAATCCCTTGGCTAGGTCTAGTAGTCCAAGCTTGTCGTAGACCGATATGATCGCTGGCAGACAGGTATTAGCTAGCAAACAGACACTTGCGAATAAATCCTGTATATATACCTGTTTTCTGGTTCGCAGACATCTTGCAGCAGTTTTGATTGAGCTCTACTTGCCGTTAGTACAATCGAGTGTTGCTTCTGCCGAACTGAAAGATAAATACTCACAAAGTTTGGGATGTTGTGATAGAGGGGCATTTTTTTTGTTTAAGGTTTTGGAGGGGTAGGTAAGACTCCGTTAGTGCCTTACTTGTGAGGCTGCTAGAAAGCGCACACAAACTAGTGCACTAGCGCCCGCAAGAAATTTTCTATATCTGCTGAGATCCGAGTCCCAGTTTCTTTTCCTCTCCACAACATGCCAAATGGCATACAACGCAAAAAACACTTCCTCTATAAGCATTCTGTTTGAGAAACCCGTTACCCTCGTGGCAATGTGAGGTTCCATGACGCACAGAACCGTCAGCAGGAAAGGAGAAAAAATTGGCCGATCTTGGGTGAAGCGTTCTCCTTTACCCTATGGAGAGGGTTTCAATGATTAGCCGTACATGTTCTCAACACTTCAAGCGATCAAGTCTTTGGATACTGTTTAAATCACATGGAAGGAAATGGGGAGTCAAGATCAACCTGGACCTGTTTGACGGATTCTTCGTGAAGACACAAGGCCAGATCGTCGGCCTGTCCAACAGATACTGTAGATGTTCCTTATCAGCATCAGTCGGTTGGCCTAACCGCATTGCAGCGTGAAGTCTGCCCGCTATACTGCAACAGTCTCTAGTGCTGAATATTGAACCTCGATACTTTCATCCACGATATTGATTCCGAGCCCCATCGTGCCACTGTGGCTGAACCATATCTATCCGTTATGTGGCGTCCTGGGTAATTATTCACTAGGGAAGAACGTGAGGTCCATGGCGCCTTTCATATAACGAATGAAGCTTGCTTCTAGTAGAGTGGTAGGTTTGGAGTAGAAATAGAATCAACGACTGCCGAATGGGATGAAGTATCTTCCCCTACTAAAATTCATGGCTTAGACTCGCTGTTCTGACTTCGTAGTTAATAACGAAACAAACGTCGTAGGAGAACAAACAATCGGCGGGGAAAACATGAAAAGACCTAAACACCCGTTATTATTAGAAGTCTGGAATATTGGAACTGCCAGTTCGGTTATAGTAATAATACTAATAATACTAATAATCATAATAATAGCAACAACCATATCCCACCCTCCGTTTGATTTCAAATTCATGGTTGCGCAGCTTTCAATATCAATGTTGCAGACGCAATTTGGATAAGACTTTCGTCACAGTTACTCGTAGAATATGCACCAATCAGACTGCATATGAGAGATGAGGAACAGGGCAGTGGTTCTTGATGGTTGCATTGCAATCTTCGAAAAGTCAGGGATTAGGCGCAGGTACCCGCGATAAAGTGGCCGAAAGGGGGGAGGGGGGTGATACCGCATTATGCATATCGTGAGTTGCCCCCGGAATAATTGGACTGGTTTCTCTACATGGAGAAGTGCTTGAACGAGCGAACGGGAGATAACGCTTTTATGAGTTGTCAATCTAACGATGCCGTGAGATTTATGTTGCTTCTTCGTTTCCTCAGAAATGATCCGTGGCTGCGAAACGTTCCAGTTGTGACTGAGAGATAAACTTCCCGAGCTAAGTACATGGCGTTTATTATCGATAGCACGAGCATTCCTGCTAAATGCGGATGCTAATCGTGAAGCTTCTTACGCCTCCACATACTGTACAGGTACCGGAACGGCGTATGCATGGCTAGGTTCATGTCTATTCATCTCCGCCTAGTGGGTCCTCTAGAATTTGAGGGTAGGACGTGGGACACTCACCGTACGCAACGTTATCACAGGGGAGGCTCGTGGATAAGTCGACGCGTACAGTACCGTACATATATAGCAGACGTTCCTTCTCCCTCCCATTCTCTCTTTCTTTCTCCTCATCCTCGATCACCCACACTCTTTTGAACAATACTTAATAGTAGTCACTCACTCAAACACACAACAAGCTTCCTTCATAACCTTTTCAACCCTACCAATCCATATACCAATCTTATCAAGCAATCCAGCTTCATTCCAACCATCAAAATGCAATTCAACGTCGTCGCACTTGCTCTCGCCACCATGGCAACCGTCGCTTCAGCTGGAAGGTGAGCAACTAGAGCTTGATAGATCTCTGCTCTATGCTAACAATTGCATCAAGTATCACCACAGTCTACGCCTGTGCCTCCACTGTCTCAACTGTCTCTGGTGTCGCTGCTCCCACTGGCGCCGCTTCTCCCACCGTTGCATCAACTGGGGTTGCCTCAGCACCAACTCCCACTGGTAGCCCCATCGCCTACGCTGGCGCTGCTTCCTTGAACGGTGTCTCCGCTTTCGGCATCATCGTTGCTGGCGGTGTTGCTCTTGTACGTTCTCCGGAAGGCTTTCAATCTGATCTCAAGCTTACATATCTACCAGTTCCTGTAAACATCTCGTCCTCCCCTTTGAGGTTTGACGGTGTCACATTCCAGCATTTGCGATCCGGTATATTTAATATGACTGTAACGACCTTTCGATTCTTCATGGCTGCGAGATACCCTGTCATCTGCACTGGCAAGTACGGAGTGGATGTTAGGTGAAAGGCATTGCGTGTTGCAGAGATGTGATGAGCTTTGACATCAGCATTATCTTATAAATAGGAGATCATTGCACCAAATCAAGACAAATTATTAATGAACACTTTGAAGCGAGATGTGATATTATGACTATAACTATTTGGACAACGAGAAACGGACGCTATCTATTCCAATAGACAATTAAGGCTGTATAGTAAGGAAAGCTCATCAGGGGTATGACTGGCACAAATTGACCAACTGTCAGCTTTGGACTTCCTCGCTGCTCTTTTGACGCCCAACGATTTAAATTTGACTGCAGGCGGGATCATGCAAACAGGTATCGCGATGAGCGAATAATAGTACTGCATAGAGCATCCTCAATCTTAATCTTGAAGTGCCCTACGATGTAATGGTAGAAGATCTCCCACTGCATGAAACTTGTTCTGTGGAGTCTTATCACAGGCGTACAACTCCATTGCAAAGACGCTTCGAAAACCAACATGGAATCCGATTGTCCAGTGTCCAGAAGCTTTCTGTTGACTCACTTGAGCTGCTCTCCGTTACTGTACTGAGACACTGGTCGCGTTGTAAGAGGTGATGTGAGTTTGCGGGAGCTTGTGTGAATCTACGTCACGTTTTCCAACGCCTCTCGGCAAATCCATCTTCTTTTCCAGGTACAGTACAGTACTTAGTTTTATTATCAAGCAACTGCAACCACCACCCACCTTTTCTCTCGATCTTTACATTGGAGATGTCGAAAACACTTCAGATCGCGTCTCCCGCGCAGTTCAGCGCGCTTCTAAAGTCCTCAAGAATAGTTGTGACGGACTGTATGCTTACCCCATCAACCCCGCCCGCACTGATCAATCAGCTCTTTGCAGGCGCCTGAAACTACAATTCAGAGCTTCTACTGACCTATATAATAGTCTATGCAGATTGGTGTGGACCATGCAAAGCGATCGCCCCAATATATGAGCAGCTCTCTGCGCAACTGTCGCGCCCGAATCAGATTTCTTTTACGAAAGTCAACGTAGACACACAGAAGGAAATCGCCTCGAAATATGCTGTTACCGCCATGCCGACATTCATGATCTTCAAGCAAGGAGAGGTTATGGAGAAAGTACAGGGGGCAGACCCAAGGAAACTCCAAGATGTTGTGCGAAAGCTTGCTGCTGAGGCCGATCCTCATTCGAGCTCAAGCGGTTTCGGCGGCTCCAGCAGTAGCAGCGGATGGCGCGTTGGAGAACTGCCAAGGGGATATCATGATGTAACGGATCAGATTGATGTTAAGGGCTTGGAGCTTCTGAATGCGGATATCGAGTTTGGAGGTGTCCGAGGTTTGTTTGAGGACAGTAAGCCTTCAGGATTGTTGAAGGGCAAGGCAGCAGAGAAGCCTGCGAAGGACTGGGTAGAGAGTGATACAGATGAGCAGTTGATGTTATTCTTGCCATTCCAGTCTACTCTCAAGGTCCATACTCTGCAGGTTAGTGATTAGAGTCTTCTATGCTACTTTCAAACTAACTGGATAATCAGATTACTTCCCTACCTCCGTCAGCCGAAGACGACGAAGAAGTTCCTATGCGGCCAAAGACCATCCAAATATATCCAAACCGTCCACACATTCTTGGTTTTGAGGAAGCAGATGATGTCCCTGCAGCACAAAGTCTCACCATCGCACCAGAAGACTGGGACTCGACTGGCACCGCAACACTTTCCCTCCGGTTCGTCAAGTTCCAGAATGTCACAAGCCTGGTACTTTTTGTTGTAGATGGCAACGGAGAGGGCGAGCGGGTTAGATTGGATAGAGTGAGGATCATTGGTGAGACTGGTGAGAAACGGGACCAGGGAAAACTTGAGAAGGTTGACCACGATCATTAGAGGCAGTAGAAGAGATGACGGATTATGAGTTATGCACGACATAGAATTAGTTCTTGGCTGGCGTTGAGACATGATATGCAGTTCAAGGTTTTTGAAAATGAACAGCATGAATTTCCATGTAATGATTGGTTCCATATAAAGGTAGTAAGTAGGTAATCCTTCAGCTCTTGAGTTGTTCCCACCACAAAACCCCCAGCCAGCCCAACTCCCCTCTTCAAACATACACACCATTAGTCTTCTATCTCTGCTACCAATATAAATCCCCTATTCCCCAAAGTGAATGTCCAACTCCCCATCCGGCCCCGAAACCTGCACCTCACGAGCCCGTTAAGACAAATCGCGAGAGCGAACGCGGTTCAGGCTTGCTATGGACGGAAGAATTGCTGCAATTAATTTCTCTGTGGTCGATTTGACGCTCTGTTTGTTTGACTACACCACTGATTTGCAAAAGAATTGCAGGTGTTTAGAGTAACACGAGGATAAATCGACCGCCGCACGAAGAAAAAAGAAGAAGGAAAAGAAGGAATGCTCGACGGGAAATTTTCTGAAATACTGCTCGGCAGACGCGAAGGGGCTAGGCTGGTTTGGGGATGGTGGATATTAGAAAGAGGGTATGCTGGATGGGAAAAGCGGCATCGCTTTCTAACCAGATGCACATTAAAAGTTGCCATAATGAATGCCGCTTTCTGTGTACAATGCGAGCTGGGATGTGAATTCTAATGGACTCGAGGCTAGGTATTTAGTAAGATCAATCAGTCGTCATTTATGAAAGGCGAGCATTGAAGACAGCTTACTGTACAACATTTTGGGCTTGCGGTTATCTATAAATTATCAATCATACAAATTACTGTCACTAAAGAACTCATATCACCTCTCAAATACGAGCAAGTAGGAGCGCAAGTATCGTCAATATATTATTAACACCATTGTCTGCAGGCAAGAAGTGAAGATTCGAGAGCTCTGCTGACTGCTTCCCTTCTGAGAGCCCTGACCTATAAATCTAGAACTGGATCATGAGACTACTTTGTAAGTCGCGACTGAAATGTTTGAGTCAGGTGGACTGGGGTCTTATGGGTACAAAGAGTAGCCCTTAGTATGCGGTACAACAGCTTTGAGGAGAAGATCGGGTCTTAATATACGGTATTGTGGACTACATACCCAAGAAAAGATGACCATTACAAAAACATCTCAACAACCCGAGCAAATAAAACATGAACAGACATGATCAACCCTTGTTAATTACTTATTATCTACATTAGTCATAACGGCCCTTTCGCATCAAACATTCCAATCATAAGGCTGTTCTAGGCCAGACCGTCCAAAAAGTAAAAGAGAATGGTATCATCGCTGAACGAGTAAAAGAAGACATCCACGCAATGCTAATCCCCCAATCCCTTTTCTGAAGAATGAAATAAAACAGATAACCTGTAGATGCTGCATGCAGATCCTTAGAACGCGTCTTCAAAAGGACAATCAATGCTTTCATGGCCTTCTCTCTCACATACTCCACACCATTTATCCATGTTCACTACTCCACTCTCTTTGCCTGCAACAGGGCCAGACTCCATGGGATTCGGAATGATCCTCACTGGTGTAATAGCTGTAGGACGAGGTGATTTCTTGATTGGCGACAAGGGTGCTGGTTTGTAGTCGGGGGCCGGTGGAGACAGCCCTTTCAGTCCCTCTTTAACAACATCCTTGCCCGTCCGCTGCTGTGAAGGCTCCCTTTGAGTGCCACTAGGGGTGAACATGTTCGTACATGTTAAGATATCATGACCGGATGTTTCACAAAGCTCGCAGAAGCTCTCATTTGCTGACGAGTAGGCATCACTCTCTGGCATTGTCTCAAGCGTATTCGCACGTCTGTGAGTCTCGGGGGACCTTGGCAGTTCTCGATCCCTCCAACTGACAACTGTTCCCTTGGAGTCTCGGTCGTGAGTGACCGTTCCAGAGCTGCCGACAGTAATTCCGCTCGCACGTTGACTGGCCGGATCACTAGCACTTCCTCTGCGAAGTCGCTCTACCTCACGCTCAAGCTCCTCTTCTCGATTATTCTTAGACTCGATGACCGAACGAAGATCCAAGAGTTCACGTTCGATTTTCTCCCGAGCCAATCGCTCCTCCATGGGATCTCCGTTACTAGCATGTCGATTTCGCGTGAAACTTTCTTGTCTCTGGGTTGGGGTTTTCTGAAGGTCTAAGATTGCACTTCCCACATCTGGTACGGCATCCCGGCTCAAAGAGTGTATGATGGCTTTCAAGCCCCGAATCTCATCATCTCGTTGTTCAACCTCCTTGGACGCGGATCCAGCGTCTCCGTTTGCGCCTCCACTCAAAGATGCCGCAGCCTTTTCTCGCTCGCGGCGCAACTCTGACCGTGTACGCTCAACTTCTCCACGCAGGAACTCAACCTCTCCTCTAGCTTCTGCTTCACCTCGGCGAGCGTCCTCAAGACCTTCTTCTAACTCTTGAACAAGTTCCTCTAGTTGCTTTAGCTGTCGTGCTACGCTGTCGACATCTTCCCCACGCTCCTGCAATTCTCTAATATCCTGCAGAAGATCCTCCACTCGTTTTTCGTATACGCGTTCGGTCTCGGTGCTTGCTAGCTCGAGGGTATCGATAGTGCTTCGGAAATCTGCTCGGTGGGCATCAAACTCCGCGGTCAACATGGCAATTTTCTCATTCTTTTCCCTGAGCACTGCTCGCAATTGAGTAGCATCTTTGTCCTCCATGCTACCTCTGTGTTGCCTGGGTATCCCTTCTGGGTTACCCATCAATGTCTGGACCTCAGCTAAACTGCTCTCCATCTCTGCTAGAGCCGAGGCTTGTTCTTTGAGTTGTCTGTCTCGCTCTTCTAACTGTCCTCGTAATCGATCGGCTTCATCATCGTTCGGCCTGGATGCCGTCCTAGATGCCGGTCGCATTTTGGAATTGAACGAAGAAACGGAGCCCATGCTCCCGTTGGTTGTAGTCCGGGCAACTCCAATAGGTGTAAGTTCGTCATCGCTGATGCCCAAAGAAGGAGCCTGTCCCAAAGCAGATGCACTTCGAGGGCCAACACTGGCGTTCATGCCATTCCTAGGCATGTATCCACCTCTCTTGCTTGGGTCGCCAGAATCCTTTGTTCCCCTCACACTCTGCCCGAATTTTCCTGGAGCAGGACTTCCATAACGGGAGGGGGTTTGAGTTGCCGGATTTCCGATATTGGATGGTCTGTTGGTAAGCTGAGGTCTTCGTAAAGGCGACTCTGGGCGAGGTAGCGATGGTCGCGACTTCTTGAATTGAGGGCTTGGTGCCCTTCCAGGACCAACAGACTGGCTAAACTTAGGCAGCGAAGGGGTTGGCGGGGTGTATGCGCTTGATCCCTGGCCCGATGCCTTGAAGCTGCCACCAGCTGATGGGGTTGAAGGAGTGAGGGGGAAAGATTCGTCGCGCGATGGAGGTGTTCCACGTCTCGTGGCTTTGTTTATTGGGAGGAATATACCGGCTCCGGGGATCGAAGTTACAAAGTAGGACACACTATGTGACTTGTCAATAGAATTCCTGTAGAAGCCGCCGTTTGCTGTCTTACCCGTCAACATCCCCGTTATTCTTGCCGCGTTTAGCAAACTCCTCGCTCAGTTCCACCCCCGCAAAGATGCCCTTTTTACCTTGCACACTGCCTTTGAATTTGACCGTTCCATGCATGTTCCCAGGAACATCAACATGGTCTCCGACGTCGAGATCTTCGGCGTCGGCCGGCCGGGATGGTGTGAATGGGGCCATGTTGTTCCTATTTGTACGCGGATCTTCGTTCATCATCATGCTCATACCGCCGTACGCTTCGCCGGCATTGCGTGGGTTGGAATATGAGGCAGAGAGGTTCGGGCTCGAAGCTGTATTAAGGCCATTCGAAGGTCTTGGTCTGGCGAGAGAGCGGCGAGGCGTGAAGCTCGACATTGGCGCGTCTACTTATAGGTGTTATTGTTTTCTTTGGCGTGCTTTTTTCGGGGTCATCAGACACCCCTGTCAAATTCTACTGTTGGTGGAAGTGAAGTATTGAAGCTAAACGTGCCAACTGCGTTTTTCGTCTTGGTCTGGTGCGCAGATTCGCAATAGGAGGAAGCCAGTGAAGTGAAAGTTATCTATCGAATGTCGAGTCGCAAAGTAGCAATAATATAGTCATTTCTCACCCGCATCGCTGAAGGATTCGCGACTGCCCAATCGGAAATATGCACAGCACAGTACATGTGCAGTACAGCACTCCAAGAGAACGCGTTTGGTATATCATCTCTTCCTTTTAAGTACTATAAAGTTCTGTACAACTCGATAATTACTCAAGCGCGTGCTGGCCTGATATCTTGACAAAGGTATAAACCAATTCCCCAGCCTGATGCCCCTTGTGCTCGTGCGTGCTCGTGCGTGCTCAAGCCTCAAGGACCACCTCATTGCCGGCTCGGTACATGTCATATGAGTAATTCGAAGTCCCACACGGCGGGACATTAAAAATCTCAAGACGCTTTGTCTGTCTACCACGAGGCTTTATCCTTGCGCGATGCAGGAACCACAACGACACGGGGATTCAAGGTTGAACTGCTTTCCTAACTCAACGGTTTCTACTCCGCATTCAAGTGAACCTCCTCTTTCTCGAGATTTCCAGCATTCTCAAATCTTGTAAGAGGTAAATTGAGTTGGGAAGCACAGTCTACGCCCAGTCTACTTTGGTTTCGGGAAGTAGCTCTATGCATACCCCTTTTCCTGCAGGATGGGAACCTCTCTCTTTAGTGTAATGTGCTCTTGAAGTACTATTAATTGCCTGTGGTATATGCACTAGTAGAGTTGCAAGTAATAAGAGAGAAGCTGAGTGACTATGGTTTATTCTGCCCAATTGAAACAAGTTAATGTCATTTTATTATTAGAGTGATCATAGCATTTTATTTAAAGGTCTATTAACTGAGGCGACTATCTGCTAAATCTTTTGATAGTATTATTATTAGATACTTCTGAAAGAGGTTTCAGAAGCAGAAGGCTTCTTTATGTCCTTAATGTCCAAGCCTCTATTACTGACATGTCAAACTTTGAGGTCTCTTACTACGAGTAGTTCGGATCCCACAGAAAGTTTGATTGGTACTTGCATTTGCCGTTGCAAGCAAATCACGCGACGACATTGATTGACCCAACTCTTGGATATGAGATGCAATGATGCGAATCGCCAGCATTGCAAGATTATGAAGAATATACAGGACATACCTTAATATTAGAAGTGATTCTAGGCTCTACGCCCCTTTGAGCGCAAGGAAGGTTTTGACCCTATGAAAGACTTGCTCAAGTCGCATGTATTAAGCGGAAAACTTGTTTTCACAATACAAGGTCGTTAGTTACTACGGTATAGAAATACTCTTGCTAGCTTATGGACTCGGTTACTAAACCTTTTGATAAAAGGTAGCTTAGCTTAAACATATGACGGTCTAGCTAAGGCTCGGTAGTCGGCAGTCGGTAGTCGTCGTCGTCTATGTAATCCAGGGAGCGGAATACTGTACGCAATAAAAAATAATAAGTTTTCAGCGGAGATATCTTAATAATTTAACATTTACTAAGATCAGGGAGTTCCCTTAAGTCATTGCCCGTTGAAAAGCCTTGCTGAAATGTTAGCAATGTGATATAAAGTCGCTTGGGGCTGGACTAAGCGATACCCCTATTTTAGTAGGCTGCGCTTACAATCTATCAGATAGACGTCATTATAGCTCTTGATAATAGTGAGAGTCTGGCACGATAAGTAAAGGCTTTCACCAATCAAAAATATATACAGTCCTATCATACACAAGTAAAAGTTGGTGGGGTCCAAGCAAATAGCGCGGCTATGCAAAGCTATATCACATAATCTAGCATTCACTTCCGGGGGAGCTTGTATGACGTTACACCTTATCATACAAGGTCGAGAGAGTATAGTATCTATAAAGCCAAGCGAGATGCACTAAAAACATTCAGATAATCTTGGCCCTGAAGCCGGTACCTATTCTTTAGGAAATACCAAATGGCAAAAATCGCAAAAGTTTACTCCAATGGAGCGATATATTACATCTGGTGGGTGTCGAACCCACGACTAAAGAAAGAATTAGCATTGCTAGTTCTTTAGAAGCCAAGAATATAGCTTGCCTTTCGCATCTCTTTTGAAAGAATCATATTAACCAGTTGCCCGGAGAATATAAGAACGACACGCTAACCACTCTATAACAAACGTTAGCCTCTGATATGAAGTCAAGGGCTGTGAATTGAACGCACGCGTCACAGATGTGTCTGTTTTAGATTGTTTGAAGTCAAAATTTGCTTATTTTAATATATATTATCAACAGAAAATCGTGACTTTGGCCCAGAGTTGTGCCGAGGCCGGGCCGGCTTCTAAAAAAAACTGTGGCCCCACAATGAACATTAAAAGACCCAGACCAGACCAGAGCCCGAGTCACAGCAAAATCATATTTGTAGTCACAATGCCTACGCAAGGTCCAGCGCGCGCGGAAAGCGAGGAGGAAGATGAGGAGGACGATTATATGAATATGGTGATAGCAGAGCCTACGAAACCCAAGGAGAAGGAAACCTACACCCAACGCCGACTCCGTAAAGAAAGAGAATCTGAAGCTAAAGGTCGTGTCAAATCTAAAGCTGAAAGAGCAGCAGATGAAGCTGCAGCCCGGGAGGCAGCACTATCAAAATCGCTACTGGAGGACCCCGCTACGTCGTCTTCAAATAAGGGGTTGGCTATGATGGCTAAGATGGGATTTAAACCTGGTGTTGCTTTGGGCAGCAAGGACAATATCGGCGCAAGATTGGAGCCGGTGGGTATCAACATGAAAGAGGATAGGGGTGGCATCGGATTAGATACGGAGAAGAAGCGAAAGTTCAGGGAGGAATATGAGAATGAGGGCAACAGGGTCAAGGCCGAGGAAGGGGAATATAGGGAGCGAGTCAGGAGTGAGAGAGAAGAGGCTAGACATGAGGGAATGGTTGCTGCGGCTATGAGAGTTGCTGAGCGCATGGATGGAGAGGCGCAAGAGGAGGCATTAAGTCGCAGTGAGGGCAATGAGGCTGATGCTAAGAAGCGAAAAATCTCTACCAAACCTCTGAAGCAGATCAATATTTTATGGAGGGGCCTCATTCGGCAAAGGGAGGAGAAAGAACGGGATCGGAGAATGAGGTACGATCTACACCAGAGTCTCTCGCGGCTACCAACTTATGACGACCCGGACGAGGATAAAGAGGACAAGAGAGCGCTTGGCAAAGATGTAGTCCAGCACACCCTTGTGGAGGATCTCGAGGAGGAGGATCCAGAGCTCGATACTTTCAAAGCATTGAGCCCATTAGAACGTCTCCATAAACTCGTTTTGCATCTGCGAGAAGAGTACAATTACTGCTTTTTCTGTAAATACACATACCCAGACAAGGAAATGGAGGGCTGCCCAGGTCTCACGGAAGAAGATCACGATTGATGTTATTACCTTATTTACCTGGCGTTTGCAAATGATACCCTACCTGTTTATTTTTGAACTCGTTTCGTTGCATGTGAAATTATGATGGTATATGTATATTACATTGCTTTACATTGGCTAAGTTTCTATTCTGACGCCTCAACTACAGCGAGTCCATCCCATGGAATACATTCCGGCACCCCCATTGCTTCAGCCGTCCTTTTTGAAACCTCAAGAGAAGTCAATATCTCTCTCCTCTCAGGAGCTATCTTTGATTGGAATGCGTGACGAAGCAAATCCGACAATACCATCATGGCTTCATGTAGCTTCTCCTCTTCCGAGAGCTCTTCGAAAACGATCCCTTGCTCGAGCAATTCTTCAACCCGCTCCTGCCTGAACCTTTGCAGTATTTTTGTGACGTGTGCGTATCTTTCTTTCGTGAGTCTATTGGTGACATTGAGTCGCCGTGATTTGTACCCAGCCTTGTTCGTCTGCCCGAGGCGAGTAAGCTGAAGTATGATGGTCCTTGCAGTCTGCTCGCCTGGAAATGTGTCAAAATGCTGTCGCAACGCTATCAAAGCAACCGCAGTTCCTGCCTGGTCCTCTGCTAAACCAAAAGCCAGAATAATCGCATCGTACAGCTCCCGTGGGACTTTTCCATCCTCCTTCAAACAAGCCTTGTATTTTATCATATCCACGAATAGATGGTGTGGGGTCGTGAATTTAGGCCGTTTGCCAAGCTGAACAGGGTCCAAGGATTGGCAAAGGAGGTTGTAGAGAATAGTAAATGTTTCGTAGTTGGGACGCACAGCTCCCGATTTTGTCAAGGAGAGATATGTGTTCCATGCCCATGCTGTTTTATGACTTCTAGAGTCCATATTCAGGAGTTCGTTCATGAAGTCTGTGTTTGGTGGTATTTCCGCTTTTCTGAGAGTGTCGAAAAGGTCTAGAAGAGCCTGAGTTTTTTGTCGCGTCCTGTACTGTCGGATGAGAATACAGAACGTTTCGATTGTAGCACGAGGAATGAGGCTTGGAGTTTTTTGGATGTGCTTCACGTCCGGTTTATGAGCCATCAGAGGAACAGCCCGCAATGGGCTTTTCAACATGGAGAACTCCGTACGACTCTTGACAAATACTAGCCTAGTATTGACCATTTTCCAGGCCATATCTTCAGCTAGGCTCATACTTTTCCCACTTCCCTCACGGAATAAAGCACCGATAAGACCGTTCATGTGTCTGGCGTCTGGACATATGCCTATATCGGATGTGAATTGAAGGACCTTTTGGGCGGCGTCAAGTTGCCCTTCGCCGATGAGTTTCTTGAGCCAGCTTCCAAAAAAGAATTTGTTTCTGAACTGTGATGGCAGTTTAGTTAGGGCAGCGGCCTTGTGAAGTTCCAGCTCTTTGTCACTGATACTAATGGACTTGAGGCCATCCTTAGTACCGGTAAGAGAAGAATAGAGTGAGGTCGAATCTTGCACCGTAGCCATGTCCTCTGTCAGCATCATGTCCTTAAAGACACCGCCGGCCAGATCCGGCCGGTTGGCTTCCAAAAAGCTCAAGGTGAGTATGTCGTAGTCGTTCATATCCAGCTGAGGACCTAGCCTGACTCTGAGCCTAATATAAAGTGCCCATGCCATCTGAACCCCAAAGATATTTTTAGAAACAAGACAAGCTTGAATGATTGGTAGCAGTATTCGATAATCAGCGACGTCTTTTGTCTTTTTAAGGAGAACGCTCGCTATTTGCAGCGCTCGATCAAGTCGATCCTGCCGACAGAATATGTTGACGCCTAGCTTCCAATATTCCTTTGCATTGTCGCTGCTTTGAATGCTCACTCCGAGCTTTTCCCATATACCAGCTGCAATGTCCACATCACCTTGCACCAGCAAAGATTCAACATACAACAGGCATTGCTTTGCATCCATCTGGATCCCAACCTTGCAGATATCATCGCCAAGGTATTTGATATGCGCCATTCTGTCAACATCCTCGGATGGATCTGCATTTGATAGGACATCCCAAAGACCTGACCATATTTCCCAAGGGACCTTTCCTGGCCGCGATATGAGCGCACTTCTGCACTTTATATAGGCCGACCATATACTCTTGCGCAGCTTAGTAGTATGGCCCCCTTTAGCTGTAGCTTTGAGAAGATTCGCCTGCAATGATTGGATATGATGTTGATAAACAGGAGGGAAGTCTTTGAGGCGGAGCGATATCTCTATATCTGAACTCCCACCTGTAAAGTCTTTATGTGGGGATGCGGAGGACAACTGTTCTTCTGTTATTGCTGAAGATCTTGAAGATTTAGGTGACATTTTAGGAGCCGCTCGATCAGTGCCTATGAAATGATTAGAATGCTATCGGTGTGTAAAGACTTATGCCCTTACCGTCTCGAGAACCAAGCTTCATCGCCTGCCCCGATGCGATACCTCTGTTAATTCCTTGGACACCCTGTTCAGGATCAAACAATAGCTCTCGTATTTGTCTGCGTCGTTCCTCATATGGCGATTCCCCATCTTCAGAGAGAACTTTGAGTTTTGTGATCAAAGCATCCAGCCGGTCAGTCTGCGTTGCCATGTCCCGTGTATCCTCATCATCGTAGACTCTACCTGCCATTGCATTTTCGATATCCTCAAGACCTCCGTCTTCTTCGACCGGGGGATTGTTTCTCGTGGACCGCAGGTATTCCTTTTCCGTTTCTCCGAATCCAAACTGGGTGGCCAGTGACTCCATAAACGCTTCCTCGTCGTCCTCCTTGAGCATTTCCCTTCGTTCGCCATCTGGGGTTTCTTCGAAGTACTTGACTGTAGGTTCGATGTAGTCTTTTGGTGGCGAGGTAGCTGGTTTGACCCCTTTGAGACGAGAAGCCGTTCTCACATTTCGAGAGAGCCAGGGAGGCTGTAGAGATGGATTTAATTTCGAGAGGCACGATCTGCATACAAAGCCACGCAGACTTGGAGCAAAAATCTGGTGCGGAGGCGGCATATGCGCTGATGTGAATGGGTGTTCTTAGAAAGGTGAGCGTTGAAACATTTTTTGTAGCCTTGTCTTTTTCGCGACTCGACGCGTCTTCCACTTCCACTTCCACTTCAACCTCCTTTTCACCTTCAAATGTCAGACGTTGGAGAAACCAACAGCCACACAGGCTTTGATGCTATTGATCATCAGGTATATTGTAATAAAACATGCATTATATGTGCGAGCTAATTTTTCATAGCCGGCGTACATATATACTCCCAGTAACACCAACGATGATGCACTGGAGCGGCCTACAAAACGACGGAAGGTGGCTAGGGGAAGGCCTTCCGTACTGCAGCCACACGATTCAATAAACTCCCTGGTATTCGAACCACTCTTAGGGGACTTTGAGACCCTCGAGTGCGTACAACAACGGCAAGATCTTTTCCAGAAATGCTGGTCTGAGACCGATGCCCGAATTCAGGTTCGATCATGAACTCATGTCTAGAGAACATTGGCTAAGAATGCGTAGTCAATTCTCAATGAAGCAAACGAAGATACACTGGCAGAAGTAACGGCATTTGTGGATGGTCCAGGAGACATAAATCAGGTGTAAGTTTGGAATGTTTGACTTGCGAGGATTGGAATTAACGACTTTACAGTGATGATGAGAGAGTTCCTGCCAGCTTTATTGTGACTGGTCCAAACATTGCATCTCAGGATCTCCTCTTTAAACAGCTCTCTGCTCGACTGAAGAAAGAGATCAATGGACCTATTGTCATCTTGCGCTCCGGAGATGCTTCAAATTTGAAGGCTGTTCTCAAACAGCTCATTCGGGACGCTACAAACCAAAGATCAGAGGATGAAGAATTGTCCCAGGAGCAAGATGTAAGTGGGTGTATTCAATTGAAGCTATGGAGCTCATTCAAGTAGGGCCGGAAATTGTTAAATTACGACCTGGAGATTCTGCAAAGCTATGTCAAGAAACATGGCAGTCAAAGGGTTGTGGTAGCATTCCAAGACAGTGAGGCTTTTGATACCAATCTAGTGGTTGATTTAGTCACCTTATTCAGGTAAGTTCTACCAATGGTTTCGAACATTGTACAGTGCTGAATCGTGCAGCTCGTGGATGGACCGCATCCCATTTACACTACTATTTGGCATTGCCACGTCGGTCGAACTCTTTCAGGAGCGGCTTCCTAGAGCTGCAAGTCGCTGTCTTTATGGGTTTAGATTTGATGTCGAGCAGACGAGCAGCATCTTGGAAAGAATATTTCAGAGCGCTGTAGTTAATACAAAGGCCTCATTGAGGTTAGGGTCAGAGGTTGTGGCAAGTCTGATGGAACGCCAGTATGATCACGTACAAAGTGTGCAGTCATTTATTGTTGCATTGAAGGTAAATCCAAAAGACGCCTACTGCTTCATGTTCTCTGACATATCTCTTAGTACGCATACATGTGCCACTTCTACGGAAACGCCTTGAGCATACTCACCAATCCGTCAACAAGCTCCCAATTGCTTTTGAAGCTTATCAAACCTTATCATTTTGAGGCTATTCGGATGCTTCCATCGTTCCGTAAGCTGATTGAGTTGCGAGTGGAATCGCAGGAGTTGGATCGCGCTAGGGAGCTAATTCAGGATGACACCATCCTGGTCCAGGAAATCGAAGGCGCTCTCGAGTCCAAAGATGGGAATATCCTCCGTCTTTTGAGAGCTTTCCATGTGTTTGCAAGCGCTTTATCTGAGCCACCTAGTGGGATCGACTTGTACATGACGATATTTGAGGGTGCCCTTAGTAACTCGGATTATCTTAAACGTGCCCTCGACTCTGTCAAGCGGATGACGCCTGATGACCTGGTTGTCTTCATACAAAGAATCAAGGGCGCTATAGAGAATGGAAGCTATGAACTGGATCTTGACGGATGGGCCGATGAAGATGAGGGTTTGATCAGAGAACTTCGAGATGTGGAAATGAAAGCCCTTGGGCTCTCGGAAAACTCTGCAGATACAGAAAAACCGATCCGTAGTAGCGATGCTATTCATAGCAAAGGTCTTAGGACAACAGTCATTGCCCAGAGAGTGCAACTGAGCTACGAGAAATCAACCATCACCGAAGAGGAGAAAGAGTTTATAAATCTCATTGATCACGTATCCAGACTGCTGGAGCAATATTTCACATTGGAAAACCCGAAGGATATATTTCTTAATGAATTGTGGCTCTGCGACTCTGCCGATTCATTCCTCGATGTCTTTGCACCTCGACCTCGAGCCGCAATTGAGAATGCGCTTTCGGCACCCCACGAGTATCTTACTTGTGAGATGGGTGGATCTGAGGCAGGGTTGTCTTCAACACATCCACCGACAGCTATTATCTACCAAAGTTATCTTGAAGCGGGCTCTCTAATCAATATGGCCGACCTGTGGACTACATTTCATGAAATTCTGTCTGGCAAAAAGGGAGATGAAGGCGACGAACGTGAGGCTCTAATGCAATTCTATAGAGCACTGGCAGACCTAAAGCTCGTTGGTATGGTGAAACAGAGCAAGAAGAAGGCAGATCATCTCGCTAAGGTAGCTTGGAAGGGTCTCTGAATGGCCAAAAAGCTCACATCACATCATTGATTCCTCACAAAGATGCACAAAGTACTTAAAATGGATGAAAGGGCTTTCTATTTTTCAACGCAAGAAGAACATCAATCAATATGCTACACGAACTCCTTAGCAGTCACCAGGATATTAACTATACCACCGCAACTTTCGCTTCATCACCTCATCCTCATCTCTTGCCCTCGCCCTCCGTGCCTCGCGCTCAATGTCCTCCTCACTCCTCACAACCATAGGACTTTCACAGCCCCTAAGCCCAATGAATCTTCCTATGCGGCGGCGCTTCTGATCAAGAGTAGCATCATTCCGCCACTCGATCTGTATAGGATACAGACCCGTCCATTCAGAGGGGGTGCGTTGATGAAAGTGGTGGGCTAGTTCATCACATTGCTCCGACGTCAGAAGATGGAAGTTCAGGACTGTGAGCGGGAATGAAGGGTGGTGAGCACCGTTTGTGACTCGTACGAGGGGGCGGAGGGTGCGTGCCATCTGGGCGATTTTTGCTTCCAAGGCAGGGTTTTGGCGTGTGGAGAGCATGGTTGATATGTATGTTGAGTTGGAAGGGGGCGTGATGTGCTGGTAGGCTGAATGAAAAGATTTAATAATATGCTTGTTTGTTTAAATGGAAAGAAAGAGTGTGTGTTCTAGAGCTGCCAGCAGCGTGTGTTGGACGGAAGTAGAATGTACGAAGTGTATATAGAATCAATGGAAAAGGAACTGAAGATGTTGTATGCCTGCAGATCTGGGAGGAGCGCGCTTCTTGTATCAACTTGCAATGTCTTTGTGGCTTGCCTTCCTTTATCTTCGAAGCAAGTCATGCTTTATCATGAAAATACTCGTTGATAAGTATACCAGGAATCTTTGTGGTTGTTTCTATTTTAGGCTTGTCTTTCTTTGTTGCATTTAGGGGACTCTAGAAGTCTCATAGACTTTGTGGTTTTGGAGATATTTTGGCGGAAGGATTCTGCTACAACACAAAGAGACTCAAGAGATTAGAGACCTGGAAAAGCCAAGTTTTCCTATGGGACATAGGTTGACAATAAGAGCCCCTTGCTTTGACATCGTTTGTGGATAAAGTGTCCAAAGATACTATGTCTTCACTCGGTCCCTGGAGCCATATTTAGGGAATTGAGCCGCACCACTCTCGACACTAATGATTCGATAGAGCCAAACCTATTTAGAATGTCTCTGAGCACATAGCTCTTTATGGCACTTTATATGTACAAAACTGGTGAACCGTAAGCAAAGGTTCGCATCTCTACCAGTACCTTGCATTACGTCGCAACCAATGCATTTTCGCCTGAACGCCACCATGCAAAATTATGTCTCTCGATGCTCTGTTTTACAGAAAAGCCCCCTACTCTTTGGAGAAGTTTTCATTTCTTTCCCTTCTTCTTCCTAATGCTTGCGGTGTTATTCGCACCATTGATCAAAACGGCGTCATCGTCGCTTCCACCCTTGCTTGGGGCCTCTAGTTCCTTCATAAACTCTGACTGGATAGATGCTCTTCGCCTCTCCCACCATTCTTTCTCTGCGGGTGCTTGGGATTGTATGTCTTGTAGCTTCTTTCGGAGCAATGTACCTGCGGCAATTTCATTTGCAGACTGGAAGATAGTTTGGCCCCAGTTCGGGGTAAGAGCATTTGCCTATATAAGATTAGCATGGCTGTCTCGGTCTCAGTCTCCCTTATCTATAAGCTGAACACTGACCTCCGTAACTACATCTCTAAGTTCCTCCTCCATTTCCTTCTCAGCCCTTTCGAATCGTTGCCAAAGGTCATCCCCTACACTGCCACGTTGCAAAAGCGTACTGCAGGCTTGCTTTGCGCTTCTGATCTGGATGATTCGGTGGATATCTTCAACAGCTCTACGTAATAGTGCAGCACGTATGACGCTGTCTGGAACTGCTGGGGCCTTCTCTTTGCCTTCCTCAGGCTCAAGATGGAGTAATGAGAGGTAGATGTTTCTTTGCAGGTGCGGTGGGAACCATGGCGCAAGGTTGGCAGATTTGGCTATAGGGAAATTAGTCAAAGAATATTTTCTCAGTACGGGTGGAACACTCACCTGCTCTCCGTTTCCGTGACATGGAAGAGAATGTGACGAGAGCGCCGAGGAGAACTGCAATGTAGGCAAAGGGGAGGGCGAGCCCCCACCAGTCAACTCCGAGCATGGTCGTTGAGTACTTGATGTTCCAAGAGGATTATGGTTTGACCGGCGTGGATTTAGGAATAGATGCTGCGCGAGGTTGGGGTGTCCTCTTTGTATGCACGAGATGTGTTCTTGTTCTTGATCTTATGATAATTCATTAGGTACTACTTGTCTGAAAGGCCAGCTAAGTATAATCTTCCAGCCACACCACGCCTCAGCCACAAGTACAGATTTATTATGCGCTAAATATACTGCCGGCTGCGACCGCCCTTGGCGCCCAAGGCTGAAATGAATTACGAACCACTCGATCTGGAGCTTGACTTGAGAGCTCTCTCCCTCCACCACTTTCCTCCTCCTTCGACACTGATTTGCCCCTCTCACTTCTGTGTCCGCATCCTCAATAAGAACCACCCACTGGTTCTGGGGCATTTACAGGAAGGCTACAGACCACCCTCGAAGCCAATATGGCCATCACCTTGCGATTCCGTGGTCCCTCAGGAACTGTACGTTTGCAGGTAGAGGCAACAGACACTTTTGCGAAACTCGGTGAGAAACTACAACAAGTTTTACCAGAGAACGTCGATTACAACACTCTGACGCTCTCGAATGCACCGGCTGGAGGAGATAGTAAGCGTTTGGTCGACATCCTCCCGCACAAGGTCTCTAAGATAGGCGTAAGGTGAGGTGAAGAGATCCGACAGTTGCTTCTTCTGTATTTAATATCTTTGCAGTCATGGCGACCTCATATTCATAAACTACAAGGAAGTAGATCCATTATCGAATGGCCACTCGAACGGCGCCGCGTCCGCATCTGCCTCCACCTCGACAAATCCCTTATTATCCTCCACCAACCGCCTAAATGGCCAGGCCATACTTCCAACTGAAGATATACCCATCGAACCACTCCCGGTCACATCCCCATCTGAAAAGATCAAGAACCCCTGGGAAGTTGTCAAGCAATCTGCTTTAGACGACCGGTTAGACAAGCAAAGTGGCAGGATACCTCGAAAGCGGGACCCTAGGATGTGCCAACATGGAGACAGGGGAAAGTGTGATTACTGCACCGATTTAGACCCTTTCAACGCCGATTACCTGGCCGAGCGAAAGATCAAGAACCTCTCCTTCCATTCGTATCTCCGCAAGATAAATTCCGCGACAAACAAGCCAGAGCAGGGCAGTTCATTCATGCCACCTCTTTCGGAGCCATATTACCGAGTCAAGAGAGATTGCCCGTCAGGTCATCCCCAGTGGCCGGAAGGAATCTGCACAAAATGCCAACCCAGTGCTATCACCCTACAACCGCAAGCTTTTCGAATGGTTGACCACGTGGAATTTGCCACACCCAGCATAATCGAGAATTTACTTAATTTTTGGAGATCATCAGGGGCACAACGTATGGGATATCTGTATGGAAGATATACCGAATACACCGAGGTTCCTTTGGGAGTTAAGGCTGTAGTAGAAGCTATCTACGAACCTCCTCAGGTTGACGAATTGGATGGTGTAACACTGAACGTTTGGGAGAACGAGAAAGAAGTCGACGAAGTCGCCAGGCTATGTGGCCTACAAAAGGTCGGTGTCATTTGGACTGACTTATTAGACTCCGGTGCTGGTGATGGAAGTGTTGTCTGCAAACGCCATATTGACAGTTACTACCTATCTTCACTCGAAATCGCCTTTGCCGCCCGTCTTCAAGCCCAACATCCAAAGCCTACAAAGTGGAGCGACACTGGAAGATTTGGTTCAAATTTTGTCACCTGTGTTGTGACCGGAGATGAATCTGGTCAAATTGCCATTTCTGCCTATCAAGTCTCAAATACTGCAGTGGAGATGGTCAGAGCGGATATTGTTGAGCCATCAGCTGACCCAGCCGTTATGATTGTCCGTAATGAAGAAGAGGACGACGGTTCTCAAAGCCGCACACGCTACATCCCGGAGGTATTCTACCGAAGCATCAACGAATACGGCGCAAGTGTTCAAACAAACGCAAAGCCCTCATTCCCTGTTGAATACCTCCTAGTTACATTGACCCATGGATTCCCCAGCGACCCCAAACCGCTCTTTATGGCGAATCCCCCAGGTTTCCCACTTGAGAACCGCGCTGTCATAGGAGTGGATCCAGGTCTCAAAGATGTCGGCCAGCGCCTAGGAGTCGACAAAAATGGTGAGATCAAGAAATCAGGCGAAGGCATTCTAGCAGTCTCTGATTTTCACCTTCTCACTTTCCTCCATGGCTGTGGCATCCTCAGCAAGGTGTGTTGTCTTCATTCTTCCCCTATTGAAATATGTTCCTATTGACACTACATTCACAGGAGGAGGAAGCACTTCTCTGCCGCGTGGCAACGCAGCATGATCTCGCCGACGGCTACCAACTGCTATCTACGCCTGGTTGGGCAACATTACTTGCAATCATACAATCGACTGGTGAGAGACCCCCCAAACGGCCATCACCTTCTGAAAATGATGGCACAGAGCGTCTTGCTAAGAGGGTTGGCGGGGTAAGGCTAGAATAAGATACTAAAGAGGATATTTCCATCTGATTTGATCTGAATGCTAGCTGGATCCTCGTGGATACATATAGGACCGGTATTTTGAACGCACGAGATGAGATATGATATTGGCAAGGCTGGGGGGCATTGATACCGAGTGAAATGGATGGTTAGGCGGTAATAGGTGGTGCATTTATGGCGCATAATAGGCTAGACCATGGCTAGCTAGGTCAATTAGACATTCATGGTACAAATACAAGGATTATACAAGTATCAACTTAAGAAACTTTTTCTTCACTTTGTGATTGATTTATTGTATTTACAGATGCGTGGTTATCGGAGCAGATCCCCTCCTGATCACACCTCGGCTCGTGCTAGATACAAGAAGCGGCCCAGCTTTTAATGTCCCACTCCGCCTGACACATTGTAATTCGGTACCACTTTTTCCATCCACCACGAGAGCGCTTCAACAATGAGAAGGAGATTAAAACCACTTTTGAAATATACTCGAACTTCTATATTTTTTCGATGACGAATATCCACACTAGAACGCCCCGAAAGAAGCGCAAATATACGAGAAAATAGCAACTAAGTCCGTGACTGTTTACAATGGCTTACCACCGATGAAGTCAGACCATCTACGGACTTCGCTTGGGATTCCTTCCTTTCGGGGTAGCTTGACGCTCATGCACTGGGCAAAGAGCTCAGCAGTCTGTAATGCTTTAATTAGTATGACAAGTTTGCAGAGTGTGAAAGAGTATGCTTACCTTTGGTTCCATGAACAACGGCACGCCAAAGTCGACAGCGTTTCTGCGCATGACATAGTCGACATCAAGGACAGTCTTTCCACGAGCTTGAGCCAAGTTGAAAACACCACGAATATCGTATTTCTGGAAGACTTCTCTTAATGCACGCTTGTCCTCAGTGGGGAACTCAATGACCTCGACGGAAACATTGTTCTTGGCGGAAGACTCAAGGAATGTTTTGATTTCTGGTTCAGCAGCGTAAAGCTTGTAGCCAAGTGGCGAGAGGTAATCAACAATCTTGGTCAAGGACTCCTTGGTGATGTCTCCTCCGAAGAGCAGACCCTCTCCAGGTTCGGGCATGCGGAAGTTCATGGTCGATTGCAGAGAAGCCCAGTAGGCCTCGACGAGATCCTTTCCGAAACAAGCAATTTCACCAGTGGAAGACATCTCGACGCCCAAGAAGGGGTCGGCACCAGCAAGACGGGTCCATGAGAATTGTGGGACCTTGGTAGCAAGGTAGTCACGCTTGATGGCCATAAGGTCAGTTGGTTCTGGAACATCACGGCCAACGAGAGCTTTGGTGGCGACATCGATGAAGTTGGTACCGAGAACCTTAGACACGAAGGGGAATGAACGGGAGGCACGCAAGTTACACTCGATGACCTTCAAAGCCGGGAGACCTCCGTTGGGGTCATCAGCCTTGATGATTTGCATGTTGAAAGGTCCAGTGATGCTCCAGGCCTTGGCAACCTTGACAGCAATTTCCTTTACTCGGTTCATAGTGGTATGGTCGAGAGATGCGGGTGGGAGAACAAGAGTGGCATCGCCAGAGTGAACACCAGCTTGCTCAACATGCTCACTGACCGCGTGGATGATAAGCTTACCGTTCGAGCCGACTGCGTCAACATCGATTTCTTCGGCGCCTTCGATAAACTTGGTAATGACGACAGGGTGATCAGGAGACACATTGCTAGCAGCTTCAAGTTTGTCCTTCAGCTCATCCTTGCTACGGATGACAGTCATTGCTGCACCGGAAAGGACGTAAGACGGGCGTACTAGAACAGGGTAGCTAACTTCATCGGCGAATCTTTCGGCATCAGCGACTGAAGTTAGTTCTTTCCAAGCAGGTTGATCAACTCCGATGCTGTCCAAGATCTCAGAGAACTTTTGTCTGTCTTCTGCCTTGTCAATGTCGATAGGATCGGTTCCGAGAACCTTGCAATGCTGGAAATGAATTAGCGATAGTAATGGGTTAGTTGTTGACAGTATGAAATCCTAGTCCAGAGTCTTCCAGGAATGGCCTGGTAAAATGTTGTTGAAAGTAAGGAGCTGAGTCTGGTCAAAAGTACTTTTGAAGTTAGCACAGAGAATGGACAGCGTCGATTTGGATAACTTACTCGGGGTGGTAGAACTTCTCGATCAGGGTAGTGCATGGAAGGACAATGCACTGCATCTGTAGCCTTTTGGTGGCGCAATGTATTGTTATGACGGGTCAGATTGCTCTGGTTGTAAAGACCAAGATTGCAGGGAGAGCATCTAAAAGGATTGCTCGACTCGAACTGCTTGCGGATGTGTGTTGCGGACTTCAAGTGGTTATCGAAACTTTGCTTTTTGCCAAATGCTATATCGCAAGCCTTGCAACGGTAGGACTTTTCTCTCAGAGTTGTCTCGACTCGGTTTGCTTGATGAATTCGGTCCCGTCCTGGATTACTAGCCCTGGATTTGGCTACTCGGGCGCTTAAATCACCAATGTATTCATCGTGGTCCTCCGCTATCTGTTTGAAATGGTAGTTTGTGGCGTTGTTAGCTTTCAGCGCAAGGAGCTTCTGCTCCTTGTCAATGGCTTGTGCTTCGAGCTGCTCAACAGAGAGATCAAAGCCGCCATGAATGCCTTCGTTCAGACTGCAATGGGAACAGCAGCCATCGTACTCGCGCATGGTGCGACCACAGAGTAGGTGTATCCAAGGCAGACGAATCCAGAGGGGGGGTGTGTCCAGAGGGGGGGCGTGTCCAGATGTTTAGTGTTGAGGGAAAATGCAACCCACTTGGGTCAACGAAAATGAAAAAGAACATAACTTACGCCAGTTTCTTGTAAACGACGCGCAATATTCTAAATCAAGGTATTAGTACAGTAAAGTTATGACATTCTAGAGAGAACCGCGGATGAGAATGAGCATACCTGTGGCAACTGTCCTCCAAATGAGACAACGACTCCAGCAGAATTTTCGAGTTCGTATATATCCAATACCCTCTCGTAGCTCAACTCTTCAAAGTAGAGTCTATCAGCAATATCGAAATCAGTGGACATCGTCTCTGGGTTATACTGGAAAAAATTTAGCGACAGTAAGGATGTTGAATCATAAAGTTCAGACTTACATTGATCATGATAGTCTTCTTGTTCATCTCTCGGAGTGCCAGACACGCTGAAGTACTACACCAATCGAACTCGACGGAACTTCCAATACGATAGACACCACTTCCAAGCATGAGGGCTGCAGGTTGTCAGTCAGTGTTGTCCAGTCAAGAAATGTTTTAGGGGTGGGGGAAGGGGGGTTGTTGGGAGCATCTAGCGAGGTCGAGATTTTATATGTCTCGGCATTTCTGGAACATTTAAACATCCCGAATTCTACATAAGAAAATAAAGGCTTAGTGAATATACGTACTCCCGTGACTGTCAAAGGTGACATCGTTTGTGGTGGCGTTATAAGTCGTATACTATATTAATCAACTCCGTTAGCTCTTGCACTTACACCGTGATGAGGAAAGTCTCACCAAATAGTTCGTATCAGCTGGGAACTCTGCGGCAAGGGTGTCGATTTTCTTGACGAAAGGCTTGATTCCAAAACCCTTCCGGCGAGCTCGAACTTCATCCTCAGTACTTCCTACGGCCTTTGCAATTTGTCTGTCGGAGAAACCCATCTTCTTCGCCTTCATGACAAGTTCCTTCTTCAAGCCAAAAAGACTTCCAATATCTTCAAGCTCGTGAGTGCAATCGACAATATTTTGCAATTTGTAGAGGAACCATTTGTCAATCTTGGTCAGCTCATGCACACGGTCCACGGTGTAGTTCTCGTGAAGCATGGCTTGGCCAACAGCGAGCCATCGACGATCAGTGGGGTTTGCAAGTTCGTAGTCGAGATCATCGAACTCGTCACCTTGGAAACCAATGAAACGGGGGTCAACCTGGCGAATAGCCTTTTGAATAGATTCTTCAAAGGTTCTTCCAATAGCCATAACTTCACCGACGGATTTCATTGCACTTCCAATGTCACGCTTGACGTGCTGGAACTTAGCCAAATCCCAACGTGGGATTTTGGTGACAACATAGTCCAGGGAAGGCTCAAAGTTTGCTGTGGTAGTTTTGGTGACAGCATTGGGTAGCTCAGGAAGGGTGTGGCCCAATCCAATTTTTGCAGCAGTATAAGCCAGAGGATATCCAGTGGCCTTCGAGGCGAGAGCGGATGAACGAGAGAGACGTGCGTTCACCTCAATCACACGGTAATCAAGTCCGTCGGGCTGTAGGGCGTATTGAACATTACACTCGCCCACAACTCCCAAGTGACGAACGATCTTGATAGCAGCAGAACGAAGCATGTGATATTCCTCGTCGCTCAACGTTTGACTGGGTGCCACAACAATTGAGTCACCGGTATGGATTCCAAGAGGGTCGAAGTTCTCCATATTACAGACCGTGATACAGTTGTTGCTAGCGTCACGGACGACTTCATATTCGACTTCCTTCCAGCCCTTGAGAGATTTCTCAACCAAAATTTGAGGGGACAGTGTAAGAGATCTGGCAGACATGTTTCGGAGCTCTTCCTCGTTATTGGCAAAACCTGATCCAAGACCTCCCAGAGCGTATGCGGCTCGTACGATAATTGGGTATCCAATCCCTTCGGCAGCAACCAAAGCTTCATCTACAGTCGAGACAGCAATAGACTGAGCGGTTGGAATATTGATCTCAGCAAGAGCCTTTGCAAAGAGATCTCTATCTTCGCTAGTCTCAAGGGTCTTGATGCTTGTACCCAAAACCTTGACTCCGTAGCGCTCGAAAATGCCCATCCTCTCCATTTGAACGCCCAGATTGAGAGCGGTCTGACCACCGAATGTAAGGAAAATTCCATCTGGTCTCTCCCGTTCAATAACATAGGTAACATATTCTGGGGTGACAGGTAGGTAGTAGACCTCATCGGTAAGGACGTGGGCGGTTTGGATTGTAGCAATGTTTGGGTTGATGAGCACAGAAGACACACCAGCCTCTTTCAAAGCTTTCAAAGCTTGGGATCCTGTGAAGTAGGTAGGTTAGCACTGATATATAGCTTCTGTAAAGCAATTGAGCATTACTGCACGTCTTTGGCGAACATGCCCCAGTGACTCATTTCCTCTGGAGGGATGATGTTTGGAAGACGAACCTGAATAATCAAATTCTCCAGCTTGTCCAATGCTTAAACCACCACTGCCAATAACCAAGACCTTCTTGACATCCACTGGGTTTGCAGCTCCCTTTAAGACCCCGCTCTCCAGGTAGGCCTTTGCGTTGGGTGCGGTCTGGGTCTCATTCCTGCGAATCGTCGAGCTCGAGAAAAGGCGGACATATCTAGCAGTTTTACCAGCAGATACTGGGTTTATGGGGTAGAGGCATCGTGTAGAGCTTCGAGTAGTGAAAGTTCTGGCTGGAATTGGGGCTGGAACCCTGAACTGGCGGAGGAGATTGCTAGACCGACCAGCAAGACGGCTGGAGAGAGCCATGGCGAGAAGAAAGAACTTCAATTAGGTATAAAAATGTCGAATGAAGCTCTTCCCCCTGTTTGAGACTCCTTTGCCTCCCAAGATTTATGGGTGAGGGGTGGGTTTGGAGGTAATTGAGAGTTGAAAGCTTCGGGTGAAGGTAAAAAAAAGACTAGCTAGCTTGAGATAACGAAGTTGCGATTGCGACTGCAATTCTGGATATTGTGTGCAGAAGAATGTCGGCGCGTTAGGTTTGTAGCTTGCTAGGCTCAAATTCTCTCAGCATTTTGGGGGGTGATGAAGAGAAGTCGAGGAGGAGGGAAGAGAGCAATAGCAATAGTAGTGTGCGGAAGTTGGTCACGAAGGTTACAAGTAGGTAGGTCGGTCCGTCGTTCTATAAAAGTTCAGGCCAAAAAAATTCAAAAAATTCAACTAGCTCTGCCCTTGCTTGTCTTGCCCCTCCTTGGCGAAAACCGGGGGCTGCACTCGCCTATAAAATCCGTGTCACGAAGACTGCAAGAGAAAAACTCTTCTACAATACGCTTTTACGAGTATACACATCACTATTCCATCTTCAGATGGCGCACGCCTATTAGTGCTCCCCACATGGATGGGCCGGCCAATCAACGGCCCCCTATTGATGCATTATCTGGGTGGTTAAAAGAAGAGACTTCCAAGTTCCCCGCGGCCTCGTCCAGAGGGTCGAAGACTTTTTGCTGCATGCAGTAAGCGGGGCAGCCCGATGCCAATTCGATGGCCACCCCGCCGCTGAAGAGCCATGGATAGAATCCTTGAGCAGGGGATGTCTACCTAGCTACGCAATAGGTAAGTCTAAGCTTTATACTCCTAGCAGTCCGTATATGTGGGTGATGTAACTGTATCATAGCTAGGGCACCTCATAGTTACAGCACCTACATAGATTCAACAGTACATGGATGTGAACCAGCAGAAGTTATAGGCATCATAAGATTCTACATTTTGCGGACGATGCATGTCACAGCCAGTCAAACGAGAATGTGTCCGTGAAATTGTCTTCTTTCATTCTCCAGTTCTCTATGTCTTCTCAAGTCTAACGGCAGGATTCCTCTCGATGAAAGACAAATCAACTTTATGTCCCAGCAACTCGCGAATATTATTGACCTAAGCAGCATCCAAATTAGTAGTTGGTCATAGAGTAGAAGCACATTTCTCACCTTGTACTTGATCATAGTTGGCCGCTCTAAACTCAATCCCCAACCGAAAACACGCATATCCTTCGGCAAACCCATTGCCTCTAACATCTCCGGTCTGAACATGCCACTGTTTCCGATCTCGACCAGCTTGTTCAACCCTTTGTGGAAGCTGAAGATCTCCATACTGGGCTCGGTGTATGGGTTGTAGGCCGGCTTGAAGCGCAAGTCCTCAATACCCATCTTCTTGAAGAAGATCTCCATAAACTCCATCAAACCTCCCAGTGACAATCCATAATCGGCAATAACACCCTCAACTTGATGGAATTCAGCGAGATGGGTTGCATCCACCGTTTCGTTTCGAAAAACACGATCGATTGAGAAATAACGAGCTGGAGGTGGTCGTCCATCTGGTCCCTTCTGGGAAGCAAGTTTGTGAAGCATTGCGGTTGAAATAGCGGTGGTGTGAGTTCGGAGGACTAATCGTAGAGACTCGTCTTCCGCCCATGGGTACCTATAACCAATTGAACCATATTTGCCGTTCTGGTGGACTTCCTGAACATTCTTCCAGTACGATTCGTAGTCTCCCTTGTCATCGGCATCCTCGGCATGAGGTTTATCTGCAGTCTTTGGGTCTGAGATGTAGAAAGTATCTTGGAGATCACGAGCTGGATGTTGTTGAGGGACGAAAAGAGCATCAAAATTCCAGAAACCAGTCTCGACATACCGATTGGTTGGCATTTCCTCGAAGCCCATTTCAAAGAAGATTTGGCGGAATTCATGTCGGACCTTGTTGAGGGGGTGTAAAGCTCCAGCGTTTTGGTCTGCCCCGAGAGACTTGAAATTGTAAGGCTTGAAAGTAGCAGTCTTCCAGGCACCACTGAGACAAAGTTAGTAGACTCCAGGGGAAAATGTGCCTATAACTTACGAAGCAAGCATATCTGCCGTTAAATCTGTCTCCTCCTTCACTATCTCGAGGGCGTACTTTGGACCCTTGTGGATTTTGAAACTGATGACCTTCTGCATCTTTACAAGCTTTCGCTTCTTAAGGTCCGTGATGATCTTGGGATCCCAATGTGTGCGCGTCTTTTGTATGATTTGTAGTTGCTCTCGAGTATCGTCTTTTATCGAGTCCACCTGCGCCCATTAAAACACATCCAGCCAGCTTGCTTGCATATTCAAACTTACCAGCGCAGCCAGACGACCATCTTTCCCCTTACCAACCCATTTTAATTTGAAAGCCTTGCCTTGTCCCACTTTCACAACGTTCTTGTCTCCAACGGCAGCCTCCAACTCCGCACCTGTGAGCCCCTCTTTGTTTTTTTGCAAGGCCTCCCAAACTCGTGCTTCATGACTGCCACTTTCCGCTATTCCTACTGCTTCTGCCTCTATAATGGCTTCTTCTCGATCGATCGTCTCATATGTGATCATAGACCGCGAAGCCAGTCTGTCTAACGCGCCCTTGAGATCTGTCGACTTTATTGACGGGAAGGTTTCTGTGGAGAGGATCGGGTCTTTTTGGGAGAGAGCTTGGAGAATCTCGGAGGGAAAATCGCTTTGCTGGCTATTTTGTACGTTCGCCATTGCTTTTTAGTGGTGGGCGAGGATTATTATTCAAAGTTGCATTATTTAGTTGTTGGAGTCATCTTGAAATAATTTTGGAAGCGAGGCTCAACACCTCAGGCTAGAAACCCCTAGGCCAACCTATCAGAACTCGCTATTTTAGGGCATGTACTTCCGTACTATGTTATACTCATTCGCGAAGAAAGTACAAAATAATTACACTATCTCAAGACAAATGTCGCTCTTCAAAGCTCTTCAGTTCAATTTAGTTTCTAAAAGATCCGAAGACTCCATTTCCAATCAGTGAACATTTACATAGTAGTTAAGTCATAAGCACTTTGCACCACCCTGAAGCTCAAGTAACACTTACCGAGTACTCAAGTGAAACCAAATAGTGCTTCTACGACAGGTCATGAGGTAGCAGCGGAAGAGCGCCATTTCTAGTTTCAAAACCCCCATGAAAACTTACATCAGTCGCTTTTTAGAACACCTCCATCACTAAATCGTCGGATAGCACATTGAACCTCTTAAGCTCACCCCGGCCCAGGATAGAGAATTAATGAGCGCAGTATTTACTACACCTTATATCCAGAGTATCGGAATATATATCGAGTATTGAAATTCGAGCAAGCACTGGTGGCTAAATCGGGCGTTGTGAGGTCCATCTCGCTATTAAAAAACGTAATTACATGACGATAATTCAGCCATAACCTAATAATTCTTGCAACGAAAGGCTTTACCAAATACCCTAGACGTTTTGTAATGATACTATACCATTTTTGTAGCATAAATCGATGTCTCTTTGACCTATACTCACTGACTAAAGCCTTTCCAAAGTTTCAAATAAGTGCTCTTTCTCTCCACCCACCCGCCTTCTCTTCTAATGATGCCCTTCTCGTCTGCCACGCTATTTTTAAACCCCTTCCAAGCACGCTAGCACTGTAGCAACCACGGAGTAGACGATCGAGACGCAAATCTGAAGCATTACAGCAACAGCAAAAGGAAAATTAAGCAGATGAGCAATAACATCGAAGAATCTACCGGAGGGAGCTTGCCACAAACACCACCGAGGCGAGACGCCCATAACCAGCATGGGTGTTAGGTAGTAAGAAAGGCGCCCTTTCAGCAAATATAAGCAATGCTATATTATACGTTGAGTTCAGAGAGACTACCTTACAAGTCCCCCGGATCAGACGAGTGGTTCACTGCATGTTCAACTGCTAGGAGTTGCTCGGGATCTTGGGTTTTGTTGTTTGTAGTCGAGTAGAAGCTAAGTATTGTATATTTGAGAGCTACATGAAGCTACTGCGTTCATTTGGCGGGGGCTCATAGAGTGTTGCAGGATAGTTCGAGTTGTGGGCTGAGGAAGTGGTCCTGTTCCACCAGTAATAGTCCCGGCAAATCCGTCAAAGCCAATTGATCTCAAAGCATACCTGTTCGGTCCACTTGTCTATAACAGTTGACCAGCGCATTGTTGGATTGCTGCTGGGTATGCGTTGATGGTCTGGGTGGGAAATAGGGAAATAGATGAGGGGAAACGTTGCAGGAAGCCCAATTCGAACAGAAGTGCAAAGGTGCTTCAGTCAAATCCAAAGAGGGAAACGGAAATTTGTAAAGGGGACTAGGAACTAAAGTGAAACTCCTCCATATGGATTGACACAGATTCCATGCTTATTGGGTGTGTGTGCTGCTGGAACCAGCTCTGTTGCAAACCCTAAAGTCAGTTAAGATGTTGGGAGCTCGAATAAATCGATCACAGTTCTTTCTCTCTGTCATATAACGCTTCATCTGAAGTAATAGGTTGCGATTTTTATCATCCCAATAATAACCCTCAAATCATTACTTTAAGCCACGGCTCCGTCACCCTGTTTGATGACACCTAAAGACCCATCAATAATCGACCATATATCTTTCGAATTCGTTGTGATTTTTTGAGTCGAAAATTCGTCGTCTTTGTCCCCGCAAAGAACGTCCGTATCGTCGCCAAGGAGACGCTGCAACTCAAGCATGGTTTGCCGACTTTCATCAATTGCCATGCTACCCTCCTCCAACTTTTCCAATATCTTCTCTTTCATCACATTTGCGGCCGACTCTGATGCATAGACCCAGGCTCTAGCTCTTCGAGATGAGTCTGGTTTCTCATGCTTCGATATCTCGTCCCCAAATGATGACTCTAGAGAAAGACCTTTGCGATGCGATGAACCCGCTGGCATTGGATGTGCCGGGAGCAAATGACTCTCATGTGCAAGGCGTTCTAGGCATTGACTGGATGTCTTGAGTTGCTTTGCTAAATTGATTGTGAGATGGGATTTCAGCTGAATGATAGCTTTCTGCTCATTGGCAACAGCGACCAGCTCTTCCAGGTAAGGATACACGACGTGACTCAGCTCATTAACGCCTATAGATTCCAATACCTCAACTGGTAAGTCTGGTTCTTCATCGGGCGTTATTTGAGCTCCATGCTGCAACCTCCCAGTCACTGTCAAGACTAGCTTTTGTCTTACTTTCGTGTATTGAGAGTATTGTTGTTGGACTGTTGCGAGTTGGCCATCTATACACCCTGTGCTTCTCTTCTCGGGTCTGGAAATTGTATTCACATCATCCTCGTCTGGGGAGCTTTCGCCTGCTCGAGAAAGCTCTGCCTCGATCCAATTGATCAACTCGTTCCTTGCGGTACCAAGCGCTTGCAACCTTCCGGTTTCTTTGACAGGCGGACTTTTTTGCTCTGGTTTGACTTTCGCGAGAAGCCTCTGCTCTCTTTTCAAGAGCAATTTCGCTCTCAGTACTGACTTTTCAAGCTGATCCACAAGATCTTTCAGATCGACGCCACCGGATCGTTGTTGGGTACCGGAAACTCTCAAAACCTCTGGTGGAACTTGGGGAAGAGACTCCACATCTTTTAACACCTCCTTGAGGTCCAGAAATCCGGGTGCAGCTGTAGGCTTTTGGCTGAGCATATCGACGTAATCTTGGATGATGCATAAGGCCTCATGCTTTTGCTGTTGCTTGACAAGGCCAAGGAAACGGTCCATGGGGTCGCCAATTGTATCGTTTCCAAGACTCGTGCGGGCATAATCTTGCCCTTTTACTTGATGTGCTTTACAGGTCTGGGCGTATTCCCTCCTCGCAGTGATATTCGTCCGTACACAACGTAGATACTCTTTCTGTAGACCTCTCACACCATGGGGTGTTGATTCAATATTGCACGAAATGTCTATGAGAGATAATGGCCTAGGTAAAGGATTTTGCCCATCTGGATCGAGGGTGGACTTTAGATGGGCGGCCAAAACGCGTCGAATATGGGTTGCCTCTTGCCTTTGTTTGATATATGAGCCTAAAGAATGTTGAACATTCTTGAAACCCTCTGGTAGATTTTCTGTTTCTTGCATCTTGAAAATCTTTCGGATTTGGAAGTGGGGTGGTATCAATAGAAAGTAGAATAATGCGTTGTTGATTTTTGGAGCACAGTCAATACTGGAGCTGGAGTCAGGTTCAGCCTCAGGTGGCGCTAAGAACACGCTAAACCTTATTTCGATCCACCAGATCGTTTTTTATCGTCGATATATTTTCTCAACCAGCTTGCGCTTCTGATTCAAGTGGAGGCCTGCCACTTTCATATACAAACTACGCTAATATGACGGACCAGCAGCGTGATGTGTCGCAGTACAAGTACTCGGCGATGTCCAACCTGGTTCTCCAGGCGGACCGTCGATTTGTTACTCGGCGCAATGATGAAGTTACAGGAGACCCGGAGTCACTTGCGGGGCACCTGAGCATCCGCGACATGGGATCTCGTAACGCTCGCGACGATGCCCCGAAGCAGAAGAAAAAAGCTTCTGGGCTCCCAGATTTAGAGAGGGGCGGTCTTCGGGAAGGGCAGGAAGTACTGGAACGAGAACAACGAAAACGAAAGCGTGGAGAACCAGCACAACTTCGAGGGACTGGGATTTTGTCTGCAGCGGATGCGTTGGTGGAAGGTATCGTGTATCGACCGAGGACATCAGCCACACGAGCAACGTACGACCTGATTCTGACGACTGTTGCAAACAACCTTGGGGACGTTTCGCATGAGATTGTGCGAAGCGCTGCAGATGCTGTTCTAGAGTTCTTGAAGGACGATGACATGAAGGATTTTGACAAGAAGAAGGAGATTGATGACTTGCTGGGTGCGACAATGACCCCCAAACAATTTAACGAACTGGTGAATCTGGGGAAGAAAATTACCGACTATGAAGCACAGGATGAAGACGAAGTTATGGCAGATGGAGAAAATGGTGCGGAGGATGGAGCCGAAATTGACGATCGCCAAGGGGTGGCCGTTGTGTTTGACGACAACTCCGAGGATGAAGATGGTGCCGAGATGGTCGACGAGATTCGAGACGAGTCCTCCGAAGACGAAGCCGACATGGAGGAACGTCCAGGAGCCGAGGAAGCTTCAACTGCTGGTGGCGCCGGAGAAGATAGAGAAACAGGCGCAGAAGAACTACCTGAAGAAGAGGCTATAATTATAGATTCTGGCCCAGCTAACGGTGGAGCGGGGAAGGAGAAAGAGAAAAACTTCATACCTGCTCGAGACATAGATGCGTACTGGCTCCAGAGGCAAATTGGCACAATTTATTCCGACGCACATATTCAACAAGTCAAGACCCAACAAGCTCTGCATACGCTTTCAGGAGCTCCCGAGGAGGAAGGTGGCGAAGAGAAGCCACTGAGAGAAATTGAGAACGACCTGGCGGAGCTCTTCGATTATGAGAACCATGAGCTTGTTCATAAGCTCATCTCAAATCGAGATAAAGTTGTTTGGCTCACTCGATTAGCTCGAGCCGAGGATGACGAAGCGCGCGGTGTTGTTGAACGAGAAATTGCTGCTGAGGGTTTACGATGGATCTTAGATGAATTAAGAGGTGTGACTTCTTCCGGGGATGGATCAAAGAAACGCAAACTAGAGATCAAGATGGACCTCGACGTGCCCGATTCTTACACAAATGCTTCTTCTAAAGCAGAGAATGAAGGTGACGGTGGCCTTGTTGGTGGTCTGCAACCCAAGAAACTCATCAATCTCGAGAATCTTGTCTTTGACCAAGGAAACCACCTGATGACCAACCCAAAGGTCAAGCTTCCGGAGGGATCGACGAAGCGTACATTCAAGGGTTATGAGGAGATTCATGTCCCAGCTCCAAAGAAGCGCAATGAGCCAACTGATCGTGATATACCCGTCACGGAGATGCCAGAGTGGGCTAGGGTGCCTTTCGGCTCAACGGCGAAGCTCAACAAGATACAATCCAAATGCTTTCCAGAGGCATTCAATGATGATGGCAATATGCTCATTTGTGCCCCCACTGGTAGTGGAAAGACCAATGTCGGCATGTTGACTATCCTTCGTGAGATTGGGAAGAATCGAAACCCCGAGACTGGGGAAATCCACCTGGATGCGTTCAAGATTGTCTACATTGCACCCCTCAAGGCGCTGGTCCAGGAACAGGTTGGAAATTTTGGTGGCCGCCTGAAGGAATATGGAATTCAAGTCTCCGAATTGACTGGTGATCGACAACTCACAAAGCAGCAAATAGCTGATACCCAAATTATTGTAACAACACCTGAAAAATGGGATGTTATTACACGAAAGGCAACAGATCTCAGCTATACAAATCTGGTGCGCCTCATTATCATTGATGAAATCCATCTTTTGCACGATGACCGTGGACCTGTTCTAGAAAGCATTGTTAGTCGGACTATTCGAAAGATGGAGCAAACAGGAGATCCTGTTCGCCTTGTTGGACTTTCAGCTACACTTCCCAACTACCGAGATGTCGCAAGCTTTCTCCGAGTTGATCCAACGAAAGGAATGTTCCATTTTGACGGATCCTTCCGGCCCTGCCCACTTCGCCAAGAGTTCGTTGGTATCACTGAGAAGAAAGCTATCAAGCAGTTGAAGACAATGAACGACGTCACTTATACAAAAGTACTTGAGCATGTCGGAACCAACCGCAATCAAATGATCATATTCGTCCACTCGCGCAAAGAAACATCCAAGACTGCCAGGTATATTCGAGACAAGGCTTTAGAGATGGAGACTATTGGTCAAATCCTCAAGAGTGATGCTGGTAGCAGAGAGATCCTTAGTAGCGAGGCCGAAGCTGTCAACGACCGAGAGTTGAAGGATCTACTTCCTTACGGATTTGGTATTCATCATGCAGGCATGACCAGAACAGATCGAACTTCGGTCGAAGATCTTTTCAGCTCTGGAGACATACAAGTGCTAGTCTGTACTGCTACCTTGGCTTGGGGTGTGAACTTGCCAGCACATACCGTCATTATCAAGGGCACACAAGTCTACTCACCAGAAAAGGGTAGTTGGGTTGAGCTAAGTCCGCAGGACGTGCTGCAAATGCTTGGACGAGCCGGACGCCCACAATATGACACGTACGGAGAAGGTATTATCATAACCACACAGACGGAAATGCAATATTACCTATCACTGCTAAACCAGCAACTTCCAATTGAGAGTCAGTTCGTTAGCCGGTTAGCCGATAATCTCAATGCTGAAGTTGTCCTTGGCAACGTTCGTAGTCGAGATGAGGGTGTTGAATGGCTTGGCTATACATATCTCTTTGTTCGGATGTTACGGTCGCCAGGCTTGTACAGTGTCGGGGCCGATTACGAGGGAGACAGCGCCTTGGAACAGAAGCGGGTTGACCTGATTCACTCTGCTGCCGTCGTGCTCGAGAAATCTAATCTCGTCAAATATGACAAGAAAACAGGCAAATTGCAGGCAACCGAGCTTGGACGAATTGCCTCACATTACTACATCACACATAGCTCAATGCTAACATACAATCACCACATACAACCTTCGATTACCCCAATCGAACTGTTCCGTGTGTTCGCGTTGAGCGAGGAATTTAAGTACATACCCGTCCGTCAAGACGAGAAGTTGGAGCTCGCTAAATTGTTGGGACGCGTGCCGATTCCTGTCAAGGAAAGCATTGAGGAGCCTCACGCGAAGATCAATGTGCTTCTCCAAGCCTTCATATCCCGTCTTCAATTGGAGGGGCTCGCTTTGATGTCCGACCTCGTTTATGTTACCCAATCAGCTGGTCGAATTCTCCGCGCCATTTTTGAAATCACCCTCAAAAAGGGATGGTCCTCCGTTGCAAAAACAGCGTTGGAGCTGTGTAAAATGGCGGAAAAACGCATGTGGCCAACTATGACCCCATTGCGTCAGTTTCCATCTTGTCCGAGAGAGGTCGTTCAAAAGGCCGAAAGAATCGATGTCCCGTGGATGAATTACTTTGATTTGGATCCTCCAAGGATGGGCGAGCTGCTAGGAATACCAAGAGCTGGCAAGACTGTCTGCAGTCTAGTCGCCAAATTCCCCAGATTGGAGATCCAAGCACAAGTACAGCCAATGACAAGATCAATGCTGAGAGTCGAACTGACAATATCACCCAAATTTGAATGGGATGACGAGATTCATGGCGCAGCGGAAAGCTTTTGGATTATTGCCGAGGACTGTGATGGAGAGGACATCTTGTTTCACGATCAATTCATCTTACGAAAGGATTTCGCTCAAGCAGAAATGAATGAGCATATAGTTGAGTTCACTGTACCCATTACAGAGCCGATGCCTCCGCATTACTTTGTCTCTGTTATATCCGACAGATGGATGCATTCTGAGACCAAGCTACCGGTCTCATTTCAGAAGCTAATTTTGCCGGAGAAGTTTCCGCCTCATACACCTCTTCTTGATCTCCAACCTCTTCCAGTTGCTGCTCTCAAGACCGATGATTTTAAGGCTTTATATCCCGAATGGGAACGATTCAACAAGATACAAACGCAGACCTTTAACTCTCTGTACTCAACAGATGAGAATGTCTTCGTTGGCGCTCCAACAGGAAGTGGAAAGACGGTCTGCGCAGAATTTGCCTTGCTTCATCATTGGTCGAAGCATGATGCAGGTCGAGCAGTCTATATTGCGCCATTTCAGGAGCTGGTCGACCTCCGATTACAGGATTGGCAACAGAGATTTTCTAAGCTTCGTGGAGGGAAAGAAATTGTCAAATTGACAGGTGAAACCACGGCCGACCTTAAGATTCTTGACCGAGGTGACCTGATTCTGGCTACACCAGCCCAATGGGATGTTTTATCGCGACAGTGGCAACGACGAAAGAATATCCAGGCCATCCAGTTGTTCATTGCTGATGAGTTACACATGCTCGGTGGCCAGTCTGGGTTCATTTATGAGATCGTTGTCTCCCGGATGCATTACATTCGCTCCCAGACTGAGCAACCTCTACGCATTGTCGGTCTCAGTGTCTCGCTCTCTAATGCTCGAGACGTTGGCGAATGGATCGATGCCAAGAAACACAACATCTATAACTTCAGCCCGCATGTTCGTTCGGTGCCTTTGGAGCTCCATATTCAATCGTTTACTATTCCTCACTTCCCATCTCTAATGCTTGCTATGGCCAAGCCGACCTACCATTCCATTCTCCAGATGTCGCCAGACAAGCCTGCACTTGTATTTGTACCCAACAGGAAGCAAGCACGATCTACCACTCGAGATCTACTATCCGCTTGCGTTGCTAGCGATGACGAAGACCGCTTCCTACATGCCGATGCTGCGCAGATGGCGCCACTCCTTGAACGAATAAGCGAGGAGGCATTGGCGGAATCAATTTCGCACGGTATTGGATATTATCATGAGGCCTTGACCACAAGTGATAAGCGGATTGTCAAGCACCTGTATGACAATGGAGCTATCCAAGTCATGGTAGCATCTCGCGATGTTTGTTGGGAATTGGATTGCACAGCTCATCTTGTCATCGTAATGGGGACTCAATACTATGAGGGCCGGGAACACCGATATGTGGACTACCCATTGAGCGAGGTCCTGCAGATGTTTGGCAAAGCTTCACGTCCACTTGTAGACAAACTCAGCCGAGGAGTTTTGATGGTACCAGCTGTCAAGCGCGAGTACTATAAGAAATTCTTGAATGAAGCTCTGCCAATTGAAAGTCATCTTCAGGTCTACTTACACGATGCATTTGTATCGGAGATCAGCACCAAAATGATCGAGTCTGCTGATGATGCAATCAACTGGACGACCTTCACCTACTTCTATCGCCGGCTTTTGGCAAATCCAAGCTACTACAGCCTTACAAACACATCGCACGAGGGCCTCAGCACGCACTTGTCTGACCTTGTTGAAACCACTTTGAAGGACTTGGCAGAGTTCAAGATCATTGATTTAGATGAAGAAGATGACTCCGTGACACCTTTAAATGCTGCTATGATCGCTGCATACTACAACATCTCTTATATTACTATGCAAACCTTCTTACTGTCACTCACTGGGCGGACAAAGTTGAAGGGTATTCTAGAGATCATAACATCAGCAACCGAGTTTGAATCCATTCCGATCAGAAGACACGAAGATAGTCTTATCCGACGCGTCTATGATCGAATTCCAGTCAAGATGGCCCAGCCCAGTTACGACTCGCCCCACTTCAAGGCGTTTGTGCTCCTTCAAGCACATTTCTCAAGGATGCAACTTCCCATCGATCTGGCGAAGGATCAGGAAATCATTTTAACAAAGGTTCTCAGCTTGCTTAGCGCCACGGTTGATATCTTGTCTTCTGACGGCCATATCAACGCCATGAACGCAATGGAGATGTCTCAAATGGTTGTGCAGGCCATGTGGGATCGTGATAGTCCTCTAAGGCAGATCCCTAATTTTACTCCGGAGGTTGTCAAGGCTGCCAATGACTTTGGGTATGTGCCCCTCTCATTTAATAAACGTGTGTTTACTAAAAATGACCCCTTTTACAGTATAAAGGACGTATTTGAATTCATGGAGGCTATGGACCCTTCCGAAAACCCCAACTACGAAGCTCTCATCAAGCGACTGGGTCTGTCGCAATCTCAGTTGGGACAAGCAGCCAGTTTCACGAACAATAAATACCCGAATATTGAACTTGACTTCGAGGTTGAGGATCCGGACGAGATTACCGCCGGAGCGCCTTCGTATCTCAAGGTTAAGATCACACGAGAAGTGGATGACGAGGATGAGTCGACGGATGTGGACACAACTGTTCACGCGCCATTCTATCCAGTGAAGAAAATGGAGAATTGGTGGCTGGTTGTCGGCGAGGAGAGCTCAAAGACCCTGCTCGCGATCAAGCGCATCACAATAGGAAGGTCTTTGAACGTAAAACTGGAATACACCGTCCCGACACCTGGAGAGCATGAGCTCAAGCTATTCCTCATGAGCGACAGTTATAGTGGGGTCGATCAAGATCCGAGCTTTTCTGTTACTGTGGCCGAAGGCATGGAGGAAGATGACGAGGAATCGGGCGAAGAGTAAGATCTCGTTGGCTTCCAGCTGCCAAAAATTGTGTTGTATAATAGACCGAATATCAGGGAGTGTTTAGAACAGGAGATACAAGACGAGACGCCTTCCAATGGGATCCCTTCCCTTCCCTTGGCTGTCAGTGATTGTGTTGCCGGTAGCACGGGCAGGCGCAGAGCACCCAGCGATTTGTGATTGGCCAGGCTCCCGGTAGAAGGGGGTTGGGGTTGGTTGCCCCAGATGGCGTTTGCGTTGTTCTCAGAACGTGAGCTTTTTCCAGCACCGACTTTTCTCTTCGATTCCATCTGTTTTGAGTCATTCTACTTACTATTCAACTCATTGAGATTGCTCTGTGCGCAATTGTCCCTTCCTATTGTTCTCTTGTTCTTCTTCTTCATCAAGCGATCTGCCTGCTCTGCTTCGTATTCGTCGGAGTCATTCCGTTGCATCCATTCAATTGTCTGGTGCCGTCACAACAGGTAGTTCACGAATGTCACGTGCGCGCGATCAGCATCGAATATCCAAGATCACGCTAAAAAACGGGCAAGAGTCTCCAAGCGAATCCATCCTTTTTCAATAATCTCCAACTTTCTGCATTGTCAAGCTGTCGGCCATCAAGGCATCGCCATCGTCACGAGCATCAGCAGGGCCACCATTGATTGCTATCTCTGAAGCTGACCCGACGCGTCCGGTTCTCCTTCCTTCGGCCCTCGAAAAGCTCCCTCGACAACTTTTTGGTTTCGCGACACGCAATATGTCCGAAGACAACATCTCCGCTGCCCCTCTCCCCGAGGTCACAACTCCGGAGCCTCGCCCCGAAACAGATATACTTCCTGATGTCAAGGATACTGCAGGCGCGAACGACAGCGATGTTGTGGCAAGCGCGCCCGAGCCTGAAAAGGAAGTCGCGCCAGAAGTCTCCGCAGAAGTCGCGGATGGTATGTTTGCTTTCCTCTTTTCACATTCCTCTCCGTATTCTATCCAATTTGCTGATTCATATCGATCACTTTTCAGCTCCTGCGACCGACACTACAAACAGCGACCAAGCCTCTGACAAGCTCATCGAAGACAAAGCAGTCGCCATCTCACAAGACACCGAAATGAAGGACACCATAGTGGACAATGAAGCTGCCTCAGCTCCAGTATCCGCCAGCGAGTCTGCAGAGCTCGCTGTTGCTACCCCAGCCTCGAGTAGCAAGGCGAAAGCCCCTCGACGCAAATCTGGAGTTCCGGAACACAAGGGCAAAAAGCTCAACAGGAAGGCTTCTAGGGTAAAGATGACACATACAGATGCTAAGCCGGGCGACTACTTCTTTGTCAGACTGAAGGGTTTCCCATTATGGCCGGCAATCGTTTGTGACGAAACGATGCTCCCAGAACCCCTGCTGAAATCGCGACCTGTAACTGCAGCAAGAGCAGACGGCACGTACCGCGAGGATTATGAAGATGGAGGCCCCAAGGAGAAGGATCGCACCTTTGCTATGATGTATTTGCACACGAACGAATTGTAAGTCGTTGAGTACTCTGTCTTTTTACACACTGCTAATTGCTCCTAGTGGCTGGATTCCTAATTACGATCTCCTTGACTTGAACCCGGATGAAGTTGCCACCAGTGTCGCGCCAAGCACGCGGAAAGACCTGGTTGCTGCTCATCAACTAGCTGCGGAGCAGCATGATTTGGATTATTTCAAGCAAATACTTAAGAATTTTGTTGAGGCGCGCGCCGCTGAGGCAGCTGCAAAAGAAGCTTTCCGCGCTGCTAAGGCAGCAAAAAAGTCTACTCCCAAGAAGGCAAAAGTTATCGTAGATGTCGATGGCGATGTCGACATGGAGGACGCTACTGGTGAACCTGAAAACGAAGAACTGGATGTCGCAGGATCTGTGAAGCCTGCGAAGCCTACGAAGAGCAAGAAGCGCAAGTCTGATGACGATGCTGAGGTAGATCGTCCCCATAAGCTATTTCATTTTAATGCTGATATTAACCAAGACTTCACAGCGAACCGACTCCGTCAAGAAACCGAAGACCACAATTAAGCTGAACACCCCGAAGGCCAACGGTACAGCTACACCAAAATCTACCAAAGACTCCGCTGTTAAATCGACTAAGCCGAAGACAAAAAAGTCTGCTGCGAAAGTCGCTGCCAGCCCTGAAGCAGTTATGCCAAAGGAACCAGAGCTCACACCCGAGGAGAAGCAGATTAAGAAAGAGGCAAGTTGTATTTGCCTTGTTCCCAGAATCTGATATTAATTGTTCTTTAGAAAGAGATATTGTTCTTGCGACATAAGCTTCAGAAAGGCCTGTTGACCAGAGATCAAGAGCCAAAGGAGGAAGAGATGAAGCAGATGTCCGAATTTGTGACCAAATTAGAGGGATACGCAGACCTCGAAGTCAGCATTATCAGAGCCACAAAGATCAACAAGGTTCTTAAGGCAATTTTGAAAATAAACACTATCCCCAAGGAGGACGAGTTTCAGTTTAAGCCTCGATCTACCGCCCTCCTCGACAAGTGGAACAAGCTTCTCGCGAGCGAGCAGAGTACGCCTGCTGGTGGGGCATCAGCAAACGGCATTGGATCTGAAGCCAAGCCAAGCGCAGAGGATGCGAAGCCCTCTTCAACAGAGCCTACTAATGGTGTGAAAGAGGCGACCGAGGAGCCAAGAGTGGATGCCAAAATTGACGAGCAGCCCGCACCCGCTGAAACTTCAGCTTCCGAGGCAAAAGAGGAACCCAAGACTGTAGATGCTGCAGCGTCACCTGTTGAAGAACCCTCAAAGGTATGCGAGATTCTCTGAACACCCAGTCATTTGGTCGGGCATGAGATTGACTGAAATACAGGAGGCAGTGCCAGAGCCAGCTCCAGTCGAGCCTGTCGCTTGATTGGCCTAATATCTCGGCATCGAGACTAATGGATGATAATCTTTCTAGTAACGATTGAGCACCATAGACCTTCAACGAGAGGATTGAATAACGACCCAACAAATCGCGTTTGCTTGGTATTGCTCCTTCTCCTAGCGTTTGTCTAGAGAACGCAAGCCTTAGGGGGTATATCCGTCACCGGTTCACGACTGCTTTGGCGATTTTATCTCGCATGTAACACTACACAATACCGGAACTTCCGCTCCTGGTAGGAAGCTGCTTAGTATGCCATAGCCCAATGTACAAATTTGATTTCCTAAAATTGCACTACCGGAGGGAGGTTGAGAAGTTGGGGTAGAAAGGGTCTGGCTTTCTCATGGACATTCGCTCTTAGTCTAGTTGGTATGGAATGGTAGTCCTCGACTTGCGCAGGCAATAAAATTCTCGAATTATGCACAAAGCCCCATATATGTTAGAAGGTGTGATGAATAGAAATATCTTCACTGGATAGATAATTGCATATGAGTTGGTATTGAGCTATGTTTGTCTAGCCAGGCAAAGGCGGTGGCCAAATCAAGTAATTCGTAGCGTGCCAAATCTGGCAGAATTGCGAAATTTATTTTGCGACAAAGTCCCCCTCCACTTCCTCTATTCGGAGTTTCCATTTATATTTCAACCACAACCCCAAGGACAACCATGATGACCCCAAACCCCGAATTCTTACGCTTCACGACGCATAAATCCCTCACCCAACGCCTTGTTTTCTCCACATTGACAGGACGGCCTATACACGTATCCCAAATACGCTCCTCGTCCCCTACAAACCCCGGACTCGCGCCCCACGAAATATCCTTCCTCCGACTCCTAGACAGCATAACAAATGGCTCGTCTCTACAGATATCATACACGGGAACAACCTTCACGTACGTTCCTGGTCTTATCACCGGGAGCGTGGTAAATAGCGGGGATGTGGTGAAATGCGCATTACCGGAGAGCTGTCGGCGGGGTGTCAGCTGGTTCTTAATCCCGCTGTGCATGCTGGCTCCATTCTCAAAGGCGCCGCTGAACGTCAGATTTGAGGGTGAGGGTGTCATCACGAGTGCGACGGAGACGGGGGATGTTTCTGTGGACAGCGTGAGGACGGCGATATTGCCGCTGTATGAGCAATTTGGGATCATGGGCGCGAAACTGGAGTTGAGGGTGCTGCAGAGGAGTTGTGCTGGCTCGGGGGGCAAAGGGGGAGGTGGGGTGGTGGAGTTGAGATTTGGTAGTCAAGTTAGACTGCCAAAGACGCTGCATATGAACCGGAATCCGGGGCGTGTGAGGAAGATTAGAGGTGTGGCATATTGTACGGGTGTGAGCGCGAGTGGTAATGCGAGGATGATTCATGCGGCGAGGGGAGTGCTGAATCCATTAGTTGGGGATGTACATGTGGCGGCGCAGTATGATCAGGCTCCTCTTATATCGAGTGGGGATAGAAATGATCCGGGGAAGAAGAAGAGAACAGGAGTAGGGTTTGGGTTGGCGTTGATTGCGGAGAGTAGTGCTGAGGGGGTCATATACTCGGCCGATGTGGCGGCGCCCAGTTCTGGGGGTGTGACACCTGAGGATATTGGAAAGCAGTGTGCATATCAGCTACTGGAGAATATCTCACAAGGAGGATGTGTTACCAGGGTTGGTGCTGGGACTGTGCTCACACTGATGGCCATGGGATCGGAGGACGTTGGAAGAGTGAGGTTAGGCAGAGATGTGCTTGGTACGGAGGATGTAATACTACTGGGAAGGGATCTGAAGAAGTTTGGAGCAAGTAGTTGGGGTATGAGGGATGCAGAAGATGATGAAACTGGAGACATCATAGTCAGCGTCAAAGGAATAGGCGTAGGAAACGTAGGGAGAAAAGTAGCGTAATAAAACCACTTCCAAGGTCTCTTTTGATATCCTCATCTTAGTGTTGCAATGAGTTCTTAGTATTTCGAACTATTTGGGTGCTCAATCCAAGAGAAACATGCTCCTAAACACATCCAACTTCGTAACCCTAAATCTTTGATCATTTAGAAGGTCTTTTGGGTATATTTCTCGCTTCAGGTCGTTATTAGTATCACATATAAAATACAAGACCATCCTCACGCCGTCAAAGATCGCTGAAGCTGCAAATTCGCAGCGTTCAATCTCCTGTTAGCTGCCACAGCCGCAAAGCCCGCCGAGAACCCAGCTGTCTGCAGCGCCGACCCTGTCGCATTTCCATAATCGTTCCACTGTGTCCTGATATTTTGCAAGATGTGGAAATCAGCTACAATAGCTGTGCCGGACCAAAACGTAGCCAATGCATCCTCTTCTCGCTCTTCTGGGGGAGGCGGCTCGGCCAGTAGGCGGGCACGTTCTTCCTCGAGATCTGTGGGTATCGCCGAAGATGGTCCATCTTCTCGAGGGGGCAAAGGTTGCAGCTCTATGTCCCCATTGTTCCTAACCGTGTCTCTCGTCATCCCTCGTTCCTCGGCATCGTGGTCCTGACTCGCAGACACGGTGGACCTTGGCTCATTCATAACTGGATTCGGTGAATGAAAAGCCTTTAGCACTGCCACAAGCCTCTCCCTCTCGATATGTACAGCCAGCATAAAGCATTGCAAGACGAGGACGAGTACATCTAGCAAAACTAAATGGATCTTCGATGTAGGCCCCTTTTGCCCTATTAAATCGATTATAATGCCCCCGTGTAAATACCCTTTCATAGCCTCCCCAGCTTCAGATCTTGCCGTAAATACATGGAGCAGAAAACAGATGATGTTGGGTCCGAAGATGGCGCCTATATAAGGTCGATGTTGCGGCATAGGTGGGATAAAGTTTGGTTTGGGCGAGAGGAACATCATTTGGTTCAAAGCTCGAATGAGAAGGCGGAAGAGTGAGCAGCTGGCCAATGTGTTAGCATGGCAAGTACCGTATTTGTACATGGTAGGGGTGGGGGTGAGAGACTTACTCCATGTAATATAGAATGCATAGCTCGACATAGATCAGCACATCGAGATTCTGCATCAGAGTATCGACGAACTCGAGCTTCTTTCTCGTCTGCTCCCGCGCGCTCTTCTGAGCCGGCGAGAGTTTGGCATCTTGCCCTGAAGGAGGAGCGGCTGCGTCTATGGGCGAAAGATTGTCCGTCGGGGGGAGGGGCTCATCATTGTTCATAGCGTGATGGGACTCATCGGGAGCTTCTTTTGGGGCAGATGTTGGTTGACCTCACATGATTCGGGTGGCAGAGCTAGGAAATGTTTCACTGCCAATGTTGGAGTGATGGTTTGGCTGAATATCCTTGGTATTGAGATTGAGATGGGGGGAATGCAATAGAACTGGATATTACAGTAGAAGGAAGCGACAGCGATTAGAATAGCTTCACGTGATGGGTACGGTATATACTAACCGCGTTATGCTTTTTTTTGATTACTCGTGCTTCAATTTCGAATTCAAAGCGCATTTTATTGTTCGGAATTTATACTGTATAAACTCCTATAATGTTTTACGGCCTTTTCCATAAAAGGCTCGCCAATTAAAAATACTTAATTCTTTGTTATACTTCCTTGTGCTATATATAAAACCGGCATCCATCATTATTAACTTTTAGTGTCCCACCTCGAGTTTCAACTCAGACTCTGGGAGTCCAGCATCAAAACAGTCTAAGTAGATATAAAATGGAATCCCCCCCAACGAGTCTTTTCCTCTAACCGCAAGATACCTAATCTCCTACACGTATCCCATATATCCGGGCGCGAAGGCCTCAAGCACTACCGTCTAAGCCTTGCCTTCAGCCCAGAATTCGCACGTATCTACCTCAATTCCGAGCTCAATACCGCGTACTTCACTTAGCCATCTCTAGGCGTTGCACCAGGGCGTCGGGCCGGTTCACGAACCTAGAGAGTATCGCGGTAGTATGTAACTCGTCCGACCCGTAGGTAGGGAAGCAAAAGAGTTGAGAGGATGCAGTGTATGGCAAATGTATGAAAACCATTATTTCGAGTTTTTTGAAAGACTAATCTCTACGGTACTAAGTTATTTTGTACTAAAGAACAAGCAGTGGAGTATCATGATGAAAATAACCTACCAGCACCAAGCTTAAATGCAGCGAAAGGACGTGACCAAAGAAAAGCGTGATCCCTTTATGTACCCCCTACCATCTCCCTCCAGCATCTCTTCGTTTTCCAAATCATCCGACACCGTTCAGCCTTTCACCAATTCCTTCAGTCTCTTCTCAATAATCTCTCTACCCTCAAATGTCGACCAAACCTCCGAAGGCGCTTTATTGACAACATCCCAGGCAACAAGTTTATTTGTCAAGTGTGTCAGATCCCTTTGTTTCTTCTCCCACTCGCTATCTTTTCGGACATTGATCCCAGAACTGATTATAGCCAAAGGAATATGCGGGAGTTGAATAGTCCTTGCGCTACTGACTTCGTTCTTCGTCAAAGAATCGGCTACTAAAGATTCTTGAAGCTTGGCTTTGATGAATTTTCCGTTTTGGTAAGCTGAGCGGCCATAAACACGGTCTTCTCTGGTGCGGCCTTTGAAAATAGCACCAGGCAATCGCTCCAAGCCGAGGGGAGAAATAATACCCCATGCCCAGAGTGTGAAACCCCGGCCAGGGGCACCGATACGGTGCAGGAGGTCTTCGTGTAGGGGATCTATGAGAAGAAGACCACTGATCTCACGGCCGTGACGGGCAGAGAAAACGCGGCTGTACACGGTACCAATACCAGCGCTTGCAAGAACGAATGGACCCTCCTCTCCGGCACGGGCCAAAGCCTCAGACAAGGCATCAGCTGCCATGCCGGCGGAGAATGGGGATGGTGCATTATCTGACCACCCAATTCCGGGACGATCCGAGTAGCAGTAACGGCTGATGCTCCCGTTGGCAACTGCACCCAGAGCGATTTGGTTCATTCCTCCAGCAAATGGTCCATCGCCGGCATCGAATAGAACGGTTGGAATTGTCTTGCCCTTTGAATCGGTTGAGCTCCCTTCACAGAAAACATGGATTTGGTACTTGTCGCCATCAACATAGTAACGCTCTCCTGGTGGAGCGAGAGAAGCATCGCGAGATCGAAGGATCAGGGTTGCAGACAAAAGAACTGCAACTACAGCTAGAATGATTAAAATGATAGTAGAGGTTAAAACAGAACACCATTCCCGGAGTGTGCGACGGGTTTCCTGGCGGCCAGTCAAGCGTTCTTCTTCCTCGTGCTTGCCCCAAGCGACAATCCTGTCAGTCAAGACGGTCCAGAAAGCGATGAGGGTGGCCCAGACGATACTGGTAATTCCAACCCAACCTTCTTCAGCACGAAGTTTTGGTACAGAGACAATGATAATCATGTCGACCAGTAGAATGAACGCGAGGATCAGACATGTGGCTTGTGCTGCTTTGGATGGTGTGGAGAAGAATAGGAGGACGATGAGCAGGACGCCGAGGGTTAGAGTTGTGTATGAGAAGTCGAAGAAGCCCGAGCCGCGGCTGTGCATTCCAGGCGGGCTCACAAAGATAGAGACCAGTAGAAGTGTCCACCATAGGAAAGTTGCAACGGTGAAGATGACAGTGAAGTATCTTAAGGCTCGGACGGTCCAGAGATTATATGGTGATACCTTGTACGTATTAGCTCAAAAGGATTTCTAGTTGCTGAGACTGGGAATGATTGTGTGGTGCAGCAATGGCGCAGCGGAGAGAGAGAGAAAGGAAAGCTTACAGCAGGATCATCTGGACTCAGATATCCATCGTGATTCTGAGGTGGAAGCAGATGGGTTCGCTCGTTTGCTTCAGAGCTGCGGGGGGCTTCTGGGCTATGGTCACTGGATTCGCCATTCTGAGGGGTCTCTTCATCGTCACCCTTCTTTCCCCAGAGGGAGACCATCGTGATGGATGGTTGAGTGAGTGAGTAGGTGAGGATTAGTTGTAGTGATTGTGACTCCTGCCTCTTTTGACAGAAAGGGAGGGAGAGGTGGAGGGAGAGGTGGAGGAGAGACAGAATGATTAAGAGGGGAAAGAGAAAACAGGGTTCAAAGGAAACATCAGCATCATCAAGCCACGACGGCAGGGAGCACGACTAAGGTGCTGAGAAGGTAGCAAGCAGTACTTTACTTATTCGTAAGGTACGGCGATAACGACTTAGTCGTAATGTGGCTCAAGATGGAGACAATGAGTTGATGCGCCTGTTCTGGTTTGGCCACTTCTAGGAGTATAAAACATTCCACCACTTCCGACTTTAACGTTGACATCATCATGCATGCATGATATATGTCCAAATATGTGCAACATTAAGTGATGCACAGCACAGACTCGAATAAATCGTGGTTTGCACGTGATGTGACACTATCAAGCTGAACAGCAAACAGGTACGAACAGTCAATTGCACAATGCGCGTCATATAATAGTCTCCACTTATTTAATATATAATATATCCCCTTTTCCACTCCACTCTACTCCACTTCCCCTTTCTTATCTAATCTGATCATAAGCGAGATCTTTGTTGATCCATTCCTATTCCTATTCCTGCATCATCAACATCAGCATATTGTAGCATATTCTGATTCACACCTCTCTCTCTACTAAACAAACTTCTCTTCTCAACTCCTTCTACAGATCAATCCTTCGCATTATTATTGTTGAACCTACCGCCCGCTAGCCATGAAACACACATCATGAGTGGTCTCCAACGACAGTTCGCAAAGGCCAAGTTGGCAAGCTACCCCGCCACTATGCCTTCAGCCCCGCCGACCTTCAACGAAGCAGACGAAGAGGAAGAAGCAGACTCTTTCAATCCAGAGATCTCGGATATACCACAAGGTGACGACGACTCTTCGTCCGCATCCTCGGCATCCTCCGCTTCTTCAACTGGCACCATTATACCATCTTCGAATCAAAAGCTATTTGCTCGACCACGCGGGTCTGTCAGCTCCGCATCGACTCTTTTCTACCAGCTAACCCGTATATGTCTATTAGCCCTCCAAACAGAAGAACCCTCGAGCAAATACCTTGGACAACATATTTCGAGCGCGAGCTTTTCCTCGAATCGAAAACCGAGGCCTCAACGGTCATCCACCACGCCTACCTTACTTCACCCGTTGGTAAAGCGCCACTATTCGTAACACATCATGGTGCGGGCTCATCTGGTCTCTCATTCGCAACGTTGACTGCTGAGATTCGAAAACGACTGCCGTCCGCCGGTATTCTCTCTCTCGATGCTCGAGGACATGGGTCCACCACTGTCTCCCCCGAGGGCGAGGCATCGGACCTCAGTCTAGCGACATTGAGTGCGGATCTGTTGACTGTTATAGAAAAGACCAGCATACAAATGGGTTGGGAGGGTCTCCCATCGCTAGTCCTAGTTGGTCATTCTCTCGGCGGCGCAGTTGTGACAGATGTTGCAAAAGGTGGAAAGCTAGGCAACGCCGTCCTCGGATATGCAGTACTTGATGTGGTAGAAGGGTCCGCCATTGATGCACTGCAAAGCATGCACACATACCTATCAACAAGACCGTCGGGATTCCCATCTTTAGAGTCAGGGATTGAGTGGCACATCCGGTCGAGGACAATACGAAACTCGGTCTCTGCTAGAACGAGTGTTCCTGCGCTTTTAAGTTATGACGAGAACGCAAAAAGCTCCCGTCCCTGGGTATGGCGAACAGATCTTGGGTCAACTCAACCTTTCTGGGAGGGATGGTTCATAGGGCTTAGCAAAAAGTTCCTCGAAGCCAGGGGTGGAAAGCTTCTCCTTCTTGCCGGGACGGATAGGTTGGATAAAGAGCTCACGATAGGCCAGATGCAAGGTAAAATGAGTCCTAGATCTTCCTTTCATACACGGTGCTGACTCGACGTAGGCAAATATGCGTTGCAGGTCTTCCCCGAGGCAGGCCATTTCATACATGAAGACCTTCCGGAGAAAACAGCCATGGTCATCGTGGATTTTTACAAGCGGAACGATAGGAGTGCACTGGTGTTGCCTCCAAAGGTATCAGACATGCTTCGAGCCGGAAAGAAGGTGTGAGACTGCTGTTCCGAATATACGGTGATGATACAGATGAAGATAGGGATGAATAGTTCTCAGGGGGTCAGTGATCCTGAAGAGACCCCGCTGGTAGGTATTTTTGACGTTTACAATACGCAAGATTTCCCTAACTTGGTGTATATTTAGGTTCTGAAACACGTGTAGCCTCGTCCCTTGCTTGGACTGAGATATCCAGTAAGAACCAACAGGCGTGAACGAGATCTTGAAGAGTCTACTCAAATCTTTAGCCCAATATAACTAAGGGCATGGGGTACAAAACTGCTCCTTTGGTGATGAGCAAATTGACAGTCGGATTTTTATGTTAGAATAGAGCCGTCTGTGAAGAACGCCACAAGATGTGGACGATTTGAATCCTTCGCTACTTGCATCATAATTTTGGTGCTTCGCCTTGTTAAAGATTGCATATGTTCATATAATCTCGGGGGCTCTTCTGCAATCTGAGGCTTTCCATCTTTAGTATCATCCAGGCGATGGGTTGCTCGTTGCATCCTGCCAGATATGTCCGTATTTAAATGAAGGTCATGGTTATTTAGAGCGTACCAAGTTACTAGGAAGAACATATAACTTGAGTTATCGTCGCTTGTTGCAGGGTATGGGAAGGAGTTTGAAGAGGCAGAAATAGGTTTAAAGGGAGATGTCCCTCTAAACTGCAGGCTTTGTAAGGGATATCAGATCTGAATTATATCAAGACTTTGGTTTTCTGATTACTTCTAGCGATAGTAATTTCTGACAGGAATGTGAGCGAATAGTTATAGGCATCTTCCTGGAGCTGCTGCCGAATCGCTCGGGATTTGTAATTACTTCACCCTTCACCACCCCAGAGGCAGAAATGGAGCTTAGCTCCAGTATTGCTATCAAAAATGATGCTTGAGTTGTATTATATTGAGAGTTCGCGATTCATATCAAAGCTTCTACTTTGCTAGCACTTTGCTTGTATACGGGTGGTCATATAGAGGACTAAGTAACTTGAAGCTTGTTTACTAATACCACAATACTTCTGTAGTTCCTTTTCATTCCCTCTAGTAGTTCAAGAGGGTCGTATGGGTCTCGGCTAATTCCAATTTGGGGTGAAGCCTCTCATATTGAATCGTGGGTTGTAAGTCGCTTCTATATATGAACTTTCCAAAGTCTTCATAATAACCGAAACACTCCAAATAAATTATGTGATCAACATTGAACTCTAACACTCCACCAGTAAGTGTCTATCCTTAGGCATGACCGAATACAGTTGTTGCAACTGCTGAACTTATTTAAGGTTATATCTTCGAAGCTGACTGATTCACATTCGATCCGTCGGCAATCCCAATCTCTTGAAGATGTCAGGTGAACTCACATCTTCTCTCGATTCGTACCATAAATGTCTGACTGATTATAGGACTTCCACATGCAGTCATGTCTTACTCGCGTATCCATAGGGACGACCTCGAGGCCAAAATAAAGGAAATTGGCCTGGTAGCATGTTGCAGACTGAAAGAGCATCACGGCGTAATACTATTCTGCCATCGTAACGGCCTGGAATCACCTCTCTGTTATGGCTGTGCTAGTATCCCCTGTGGCACTTACCATCGCACATCATCCTTAAGGTTGAAAAGATAGATATGCGGCCGTATTGCTGGAGCACCCGGCGCAGAAAAGGTCCTTGAAGGACTCAGCAAGTGTCTTGAAAAGGATGCTGCCATCTCTGTCAGGTGCCTTCTCGATGCAAGAGGTGTTCCGCCGTCTAAAGATGTTTTGTATAGCCACAAGAACCTTCTCGAGAATGTGCAAAACTATCCAAGTATTCTTGCTCGGGCTCTGAAGATGGTGGAGGTTGGAGCAAAATCCACCGAGCGGTCCCAGCCTTCTAGCAAAGGACTTCTAGCCAGAAAGAGACCTGTGGGGATGAGTGGCTTTCATAGATTTGGAAAACTTCCTCTCGAGCTTCGATATATGATTTGGAAATTCACAGCTTCTAGCCGCGCAGTGGAACTCTACCACTGCAAGCAACGCATAAAGTCCACTTGCCCAACCCCAGTGGCACTTCGAATCAACCGGGAGTCAAGAGAGTTTGCTCTAGACCAGTACAGCGGCAAGTGGAGAACCACTCTCGCGGGTGAACAGGAGAGAAACTTCAATGCCATTGAAAACGTATATTTCTCCTACGAGACTGACATCCTCTACTTCGGCAACCGCTCATTTGCATTCGAGGACCAGATGTTCATCATCAAACATATCATTGACCACTGCCCCAGGGCTCTTCGAAAGCTAAAACGCATCGGGGTGTACATGAACAACAACTTTTCTGCTGGCGAGCGTAAGCGATTCCTCACGCATATGATCCACTTCTCTGCCCTCGAAGAAGTCATGCTTGTCCTGGAGGATAACGTGATATGCTTCGGCCAGCATGAGACTGAATTGGTGGAATATCCGGTCGGCGTAGAACAGAAGTTGGCGCAAAGGAAGGACGAGACTATGACGAAGCAATTCAGGGCGTCGGATGTCAATGCGGGTGCTCGAGTAGCGGATCTACCGGTCTTCAACAGTAGACTTGTTCGATCATACCGTATGGGCTAATTATTAATTCGCCCTCTCGTCTTCAATTGTCAGTACTTTTCAAATCTTAGTGTTAAGCTGTTCTTTGTTAAAGGAAATAAGACTGGTTGGTTGTCAAGTGGAAACCGTGGAGCAGGTAAAGAAAGATAGGAAGGTCGGATGAAAGGAGTGAAAGGTCGCGAGTGTACGATCGAGTGGGAGATTCTATTAGTAACAGGTTTAGGTTTGTTGGATGAGGATGAGGATGTTTATCAAAGTTTTAGGCCAATACTGAACACAAAACCCTATAATTGGAGAAACCATTATCCTAGTTGTTAAGAGGGCCATGAGGAATGACTCCGTATGGAAGACTTGGAGCCTTGTCTTGCCCGAACAAGATGACCAGATCCGAGTAAGTACACTTACATATCCTCAAGTCAAAACGATACTTTCGAAATGCTACAGGAGACCACGACGCAGAATGGACCCAAAGTTCAAAATATCATTAAATCAGCATATTCATATAAAAGTTGTCCCATAATCATCATACCTCTCGTCAACAAGAACAACCACCTCCCCCGACTCCGTCACCTCCCCATCCAGCACCCTCTCGTCCCCCTTTGCCTTCACCTCAGCCGGCGCCAGCCACCAATCTGGACTACGATCTCGCTGCTCCTCTCGCGCCCGCGTCCCATAAACAACCACCTGTTCATGAAACCTCACTCGCTTCCTTCTCCTCCCCCACCTCTCCTCCTGCCATGCTTTAGAATTCCACCCATCTCACACGCCCCATACCCTCTCCCCCCCCCCCCCCCCCCCCCATTCTCTAGCAACCATCTGTCT